AAGGCTCAGACCATCACCAACAAGGAGGTGAAGCGAGCACAGAGCAAACTCAGACAGGTTGACAGACTCATGCAGCACGCCAGTTGCTCAGGGATTCTGAACCTCAAGCCCAAGCTTGTCTCTGCCCTCGAAGAGCTGACCGAGAAACAGGCAACCGTTGTGCCCAAAGACTTGACTTTCATAGAATTTCGAGAAACTGAACAGCAGTCACTAGGAGAATTAGCGCTGAAGGAAGTAGCAGCTGAGGCTATCCCAAGACAACTAAAGGAAAGATGGTCACTCAAAAGAAAAATCAAAAAAATTGGACCGAGACAGGAGTTCAGGGGTGCAAATAATGTTGCAGCCTTCTCCAACAATGACATTGTCATCCTTGATGCGACACTCAAACAGCTGGTGTTGTATTCCATCAGACATAACCCCAAAGTTTCTGTTACAGTGGAGAGGCTGCATATAGACCACCTGACCAATCCCACCCACATCTTGGTCAACAAGAATGACCAGATGGTCTTGCTTGATGGTTCAGTTGTCAAGATCTTCAGCAGGGACTGTCAGCTGTGCTATCGGTTCAGACCTACATGTAGCCAAAAGAACGACGACAAGCCAACGTGCATTGCCGTGGATGACACAAACCTGATAGCGGTGGGTTACAGAGACACAGAGAAGATCTCCTTACACACTCTGGATGGCATCCTCCTACTGCAGATGGCTGCACCGCTGATAGACTCCTACCTGGCCATGGGGGAGAACCAGCTCATCTACACCAACACCAAAAGGAAAATGATCCTGGCAACCAACTACAGCGGCAGTCCGGAACCCCTGATGCACTACACGGACAAGTTGACTGGAGGACCTACCGGGGTCTGTTTTGACAGCAAAGGCAGTCTTTACGTTGCAGTGCACCGGCAATTTAATTCCACTGTGCTGCACATTTACCAAGACAAAGAGGCCAACAAAATAAATTTGGAGAGCAAAAAATCTACACGTGGCATCGCGATCACTCCTGCAGGTGAACTGGTGATAGCAACAGGACGATCTGTCAAAATTTATGAGCAAATTACCTCTTAGGTGATTGCTCTACTCCCTCTCTTACATGTAACATAGCGTCAAACATTTCGTAGGAGTGGGGGGATCAACCAAAACATTTGTCGAAAATTATCTGGATGTGTTAAAATTAGAAAATCAGATATTTCATAATTGGAATGACATTGCATGTATGCAAATCTGACCAATTAGCCTTAAAATCATTTGGCATTATGTAAAGTAAAGGCTGGTTTTACAAGATTTCTTAGCACGAACAATGGTTCAACTATTAGTTAATCGCTCAAATGACACTGGTCAAATTGTGGTTTTCAATGGTTCCCTCTATACAAATCTACTGAACAAGGCTACTGAGAACCAGTGATATATAACCCAATTTGAAAAAGCCAACTAACTCGAGTAAAGGTTAGTCAAACTGTGGATAACCACAGCTCACTTCCAAACTTGCTCTACATTGTAAGTTTCAAAAATGTGTGATGTCTTTCATACAATCAGTTTTTTGGGCACTTCCCTGATCGATCTATCCAATATCCAAACACTTTTTTTCAACATATCAACGAAAAACCCTCTCTGAGCCCAGTGCTGTGAACTGTTAGCTCTTTCATTTGAAGGTAGCCAATTATGCACAAAGTTTACTTGTCCAATGTCAATTTGAGATGTACATGCAATACCAAAAGTCACTTTTGGTAGTTACATTTACATGTATATTAGGTAAAGCTCAGTTCACAACAAGGACCAAAATCTTGGATCAATGCCTCAGGATTTATATCCTGGTGTCATTACAAAATCAAGTTATAATACCAATATTTGGTTATCAAAATATCTACTGTATATATCCTGGTTTCATTGAACAACAATAAAACCAGTACATGTATTTGGTTAAATCTTTACTATATATCCTGGTTTAGTATAAAATCAAGTATATATCAATGTTATATTGCATCCTTCAGACAACTTCTGAGATGTGAATTTTGAGGTTGGTTTTCTTTATGGGTACCCCGGTACCCATATCTTACTTCAATAGGGTACCAGTGGTTTGCTTACTACCCGTATAAAATACACGCCGCTAATCTGTACTGTATACAAGCATATATATCCTGGTTTCAATATAAATCAAATTTATAACTTAAATCTGTACTTTCTGTATACTTTTACACTTGGAAATTGCACATGTACAAGCCTTTAAGTTGCGTTTTTGTTAAAATGTTGTTTGGATTGTACTTGTACATGTAAGTGTTAACATATCAAACTATTTTGTTATTTGTTGTGGTCAGGAAATCCATTTTGAAAAACCCATTTTAAACCCCTTTCCCCCTTCCAAGATTCACCCCACTGTTTCTATTTTGTTTCCTTTCTTCTTTGTGCAATTATCACACAGCGATAATATTTGTGTGATCTTTGACTTCATATTTGCTGACATTTTCCCAGTTCCTAAAGTCACGACCGGCAACCCTTCACTCGTTTCAATTCTACTGTTTTTTTATAAATTACTGAAATATTTCTAACATTTCTGTGAGGCACACATACCTGGAGACGTGCCAACTTTTGTAACAAAAGAAAAAGCCGATTCACCCTGTGATGGATTACAGGGTATGTGTGGGCGGGAATTATAAGCCCTGCATGGCAGTCGCTGCCAGACGAAATAAATTTTGATAAAAGACTGTTTCCAGTGAACCGCCACAATGTCTTCCATATACAAAAGTCCTGCATTTATCATCAGGGTTTTTCCATTTTCTAATTTGTTTCCTCAAAGAAAAGCACATGCTGTTATATATATTTGAAAAAAAAGATGTTTCCAATCTAATTTGTTTTCTACTTTTTTTCTTTAAGAAAATCACATGCTATGATGTGTGTTTGAGAACAAAAACAGCTATCTTTCACTTTATTCATCCTTTATTTTTGACACGTCCATTCAATTAATATGTCTATGCAATAAACATATTTATACCTGTTTATTGCATTCATTGGATAGAAAACTTTACAGATTTAATGTACAGAGTTGATTCACTTGGTTACCATGGAAATTTGCAGACAGTTGGGATTTTTTGTCCACTTTTCTCGCCAAAAGACTCAAGAGGGCTGTGCATGGTTGTCGCCCTTCCCACAATCAGAAAATTGTTTTATAATTATACTCTTGTCTTTTTGATTGCACAAATGCACAGTTGAACCCTGATAAGAAGAGCACTGTTAATACAACATGCTTATAACAAGCAAAATTTTACGTCCCAAGTCTTTGTTTTCCTTTGTTTTCCTGTTATAACGAGGTAATTAGTAAAGTCCCAAGGATCTTGTTATAAAGGTGGTCGACTGTATATAGTTTTCTTTATGATCATTTAACCAAAGTGTATGTTAATTTTTATCGTGAATCTTTTTATCAAGAATTATCCTTATTTTATATAATTTTTATTCAACATGTATTATTCATTATTTTCAATGCACAAATGTAAAGCTTTCTTAACATTCGTGACGCTGTGATGCTGTAGAATTTCTGTAACACGTATTCTTCCAATTCCATGCACTTTATCCTTTCAAAATCTGGTCATTATTATCCATGTTGATGAATTTTTTTATTCGATAATCAGTGGTTTTTATAATTTCTACAATATGTTGTCTATAATTTTGAAGTTTCAATAATTATGTCTATAATTTTGAAGTTTCAATAATTAGGCCAGAATAATAAAAATAAATAATAATTCTGCTTTGGGTTACACCACCTATCCTATCTGACAGCCCCTACCCTAATTTCTTTTTGTAAAAAATGAGAAAAAAACCTGAAAATCATCAATTACTACCTTTTACCCTTGACTACAAACAGATGCCTCCATATGATCGCACACACAAAAAACTGACCCCTCAAAAATTCCCTAACTACTTTCAAATGCCATGTAATCTGAAGCAGAAGTAATTTTTCGGCCTTATTATAAAGTCTTATCCTATGAAAATCTGGTCATTATTATCTATGTTTTTGGTATTTTTGTGTTTGCAAGCTCTCAAATAGCATTGAGAATACAGTACTTTTTTCAACCGAAAATAACAAACTTTGTGATAGGGAAACACAACAGTTAAATTGGCCTCTGGTAAAAAAATTTAAATGTGGTTTAAGGATCTATTTTGTGCTTGGATTTATTCCGAGTTATATAATGTTCTGCAGACTCCAAACCTTTTGGAGAATGTAGCCACACTATTCAGCTCTATGTCCTTGTAAAAAAAATAAGCCTCTTTATTCGCATATGGGGTCCTCGCTGGAAATCCAGCGACAAAATAAAGAAAACATAAGCCAAAGCCCACGGATGTTCCCATTCATTACCACCTGATTCGCATATTGTAGTGTAGCCACGTGAGGTAGCTGTTCATACTTCATACAGTGTGTATGTACGCAGTGTTTGTTTATGGTGTAAATCGAGGACAAACACGTGCAACATCATTGGTGAATTGAGGACAGGAACCAAATCGAGGACAACCTCGATTAGAAAACGTGTACAAAACCAATGAGAGCTGTTGCGAAAAAGTTAGAGCACGAACAAAGGAAAAGGGAAGAGGAACAAAAAAAAATCCTCGATTTACACCATAAACAAATGTATGTGTTCACAGTACACCGCTGCTGTATGTGTTAGAAGCCGACTATCGAGCACTACCGCCAAATGCCTTGACCAAGGCTAAGTTTCTTAAAATCTCTAAAGAAAAGACTGTTATAAATACCCTGATGGCCACTACCTGCTGACGTCTCACTGATTACATACTCCCACATTTATTTGTTTCCTTTAATGTGACAAAGTTTTTGAAAGTTCCAGATATGGTATACTTTAGTTTGCAATTTCATCAAACAATAGACAAACTCTTTAATCAACAAAATTGTGCAGCGCACGATGCAGGTATGTGCTGCTCATTGTAATTACGTTTCACTGGCTACCCGACCAATTGGTACCCGGCATTACCCTTTAAATGACATCAGCAGGACTTACCTTCCTGTTGATCTTCATGCTGTTGTTCCTGTCAGCCTTGCTGAAGGCTCGACGGTACATGGCCTGCCGCCTCTTGCTGATGATGCAGTACTTCTGCAGGTACTCGGTAGGGCTCATGGTCTCCAACAGGTGCACGTCCATGGGGATCTCAAACCTGCAGGCCCTGCGGGACAGGGCTAGACGGCCTGCCTGCCAAGGCTGCTTCCTCTGCATGAAAAAAAGATGATCCTTAAAAGGTGCTGCAGCTGACCTAGAAGACCTGTTTTTGCTGAACATGAAGGGTCATCCTACTTTTCTCTCATTGACTGCATCACTGACTGACTGACAGGGTTACTGACTGAATGACTTGAGTCACGAGTACAAATGCGATGCAATCAAGCTACATGAGTCGTTTGTTGGGAATTTTCATTTGGAGATACAGGCCAAAAAAGGGCCACTTCATCACATCACTTCATCACATCTCGTGGTGTTCCGACTTCCATAATTTTTGAACTAAAGATGGTATCAGCATGCAGTTTTCACAGCAGTAATGCTGAGATTAATTGTGAGAACTCTTTTCAAATCTGTAATGAAATTTTTTTTGACCGGAATCGACAAACAACTCATTTAGACTGATCGCATCACAAATAATGTCCCGTCATTCAAACAGGCATACTTTATTACAAACTCTTACTGTTTGCCGTGAATGTGATTTAATCCTCAAGCAAATTATATTTACGGGAAATGGGTCATTTGGGAGACATTCCCATAGACTTGTGCACACATTTTTTTGTCCATCTTTAATGTCACCTAACCCCAATTTTACCTTAGGCCAAAAAAATAATAGTTCTGCTTCCAGTTACCCTACCTACCCTATTTTGACAGCCCCTACCCTAATTTTTTTGGGGGGGGGAAGGAGAAAAAAACCCAAAACCATCAATTACTACCTTCTATCCTTAAGTACATGCAGACACCTACATATGATCAACACAACAACAACAAAAGCCAAAACAAAAAATTCCTTACCAACCCAATTTAAAATGCCATGTTATCGGAAGCAGAATTATTAGTTTTTTGGGCCTTATCCTACCCCCACGAATTTTGGTAAACTTATGTTTTGGACCACGAGCAATCAATCTAGCCTATTTGCGACAGCAAAATGTTGCCTCTAAATAGGCGCTGCGACATTAGGGAGACATTGAAATGTTTCCCTAATGTCCGGTGTCTCCCTAAGGTATAATTAATGACGACAAAATGTCTGCCAAAGGTACCATTAACAGGTATTAACCTTTCACTAAACGCATGATGAATTTTTTTCCATTGGTGAAGGGTAAAACCCAATATTAAAAATTTAAACTCCAAATGGCTGAAACAAAGCAGACGTGGTCCTATCCAAAATGTATATTTTTTTTCAGGATGGGCTAAAACATCTTGTTTTTTTTAACCCTCCTACTATTTAAGAGGTCACCAATGGTCAAAATGTTTGTATCTCACCTCCTGGCATACTGTGTACAAACCAAATGGGGGTCTTGACCAATATTGACCCAAGTAATAACCAGGCTGACAATGCATGTTTCCATAGGAGGGTTAAAGGTTACCACTTTCTCAAAGCTTTTTATCCTGAAATTTCCAGGTTTTTGAAATCTGGAAAATATTTCATAACAAATAGAGACTGGTTTTACAGATGATAAACATACCCTGAGCAGGTGTTCTGGGATGTCAGGCGGAACCGAGTCACTGTCGGACACGTGACTCCCTGGACCTTTCCTTCTCATCTTCATCTCCATGTCCAGTAAATCCTATTCCAATTAATTAAAAATCATGTTACAATTGGAAAATGGTTGATGGCTTCTGCGAGCCTGAGCCAACGTCCAAGTTTCTAATGGATAGGTTGTTGCAGATTCTGATTGTTGAAAAACATCTGCCCCAAAATAGTGCAATGTTGTACCTCGGTGCGTTGTTTCATGTTGTTGCCTTCATGTTGTAGTTTCATTTTTTTGTATCAATCCTTCTGTTCAACAATTCACAGAAAAACTATATGTAGATAGCAAAACTGATATTCTGATTAACAAAAATTGTGTTAATCCTCAAAAATAACCTTTCAAGTTGTACCAATTATATAATACAAATTTAGCATGGTTTTAGGGTTGATAGTCGATTTTAGTTTTCTGAGGTATTGGAAGTTGACAAACTTAGTCCGTCAACTTCCAATACAGAGGAGAGCTAATTATAGACTATCCACCCAAACTATTACGTTTTATTTGTTTTATAGTCCAGCGGATATGTGACAAAATATCGATGAATTGTGCACTTTTGCATAAAAGCGTGAAACTTTGCACAGATGTTCATTTTCATGCCAGAAAGTGTTGTAGATGTGGAGCCATCGCAGCGATCAAGCTACATGAGTCGTTTGTCGACCCTGGTCTATTTTGTTTTATTACAGATTTGAAAACAGCACAATCTCAGCATTACTGCTGTGAAAACCTCATGCTGATACCTTCTTTAGTTAAAAAATTATGGAAGTTGGAACACCAAGAGATGTGACGAATTGATGTGATGAAGTGGCCCTATTTTGGCCTGAATCTCAAAAATAAAAATTCCCGACAAACGACTCATGTAGCTTGATCGCATTAAATATATAGAACCATTCTCTAAATCGAAATGTTGCCAATATTACTCTCCCAAAAATTGGGGCTGAGGAGAGTAGACAACTTTGCTGTGTTATATTGCAATGGTGCATTATATTAAAGTGCAAACAAGTGATTGTGCAAATGCAAATATACAAGTTGTACTTTTATTGTGTAGGGTTAATTTGGGATAACATGAGTCACTTAAAAGGAATGCACCGGGTGCATTTCCTGCTAGCACAAAAAGCGCCCGATCTTTATTGAGTGTATAGTGCCAAATTTGGGGTAAAGGATAAATAGTTTTTAAGGCTATTTTCCATTAACAATACATCTTTACGTTTGTGTAACCCTGCAAACTCAAACAAAATGCGACATGGATCGAACTGGAGCTTGATGTACGTGTATTCACCAGAATCCAAACTGTTCAAAAAATTGAATGAAAGGTTTGCAAACTGACCTAAATTTAGTCAGATTCAGCAAGGTTATGGCTAATGGTAACACACAAAATCTGCAAATGTATTTCGTTTTGTATGCATTAACTTGGTTTATGTTTTGACTTAGCTTGCTGCACTGCAACTTTTAAGGAAGCTGAGTCAAGCAAACCATGAGCAACATGCTAATTTGTAGCAAATTACATTTTTTTGTATAAGACGAAATCCGTTCAATTGCTGCAGCGATGCGTAACAATCGGAAACACTTCCGTCACCCCTTCATGTCCTTGTTTTGGACAGAGTGAAATTCAGACATGTCAAGAACAGGAACTCATATATGTTCCAGGTACTTCGTGCCATACATGCACGAATCAGTGCATTAGCATTGACAGCATTGTGAGGACTTTTTCATTGTTAAGGAAATGAGGACCACGCTTGTAGACAATTTCTACTGTCACCTCAGCATCTTTGGTCCCCACAATAGCTATTGCTCATCACTGGGGCTGCTCAAAGTATTCACAAAATGCTGTGGCCTCATGGTCTGGAGCATTGAATTCGTGGTCTGTGGATAATTCTGCAGGTTGTGGGTTCGAGTCCAGCCTGGGGTTATGGTGCATGTGCCCTTGGGCAAGGCACTTTGTCACTCATTGCTTCTCTCCGCCCAGGAGTAAATGGGTACCTGTGAGGGCAGAGATGGTTATTTTGTTTGATTTTGCTTTGCGCCGAAATGGCAGCATTCAGCTGTACATGTATACTCCCCAGGCAGCTGAGATTGTCTTTGAAATGTTTTCATTGGCCCAATGAGCAGGGTAATAATGATGTAGCGCTTTGAGCACCAATACTGGTGGATACAAATGTACGTGTGATTTATTAATACACATTATTGTTATTAAAAGCGCCATCTTGTGTTCATGCACAAGGCCAATAACCACCACGGAGACCCCTACCATTACCAACCCCACCACCACAACCACAGTGCGAAAACAGGACACACGATGATAAGACAACAAAACTGCAACACTAGACAGGATAAAGCCCGGTTCATACTTCATGCGAATTTGACGTCATGAAACATTTGCTGCGAAATTCGCCCGAGTTGAAATGTGTTCAACTTTTGCGAATACTTGCCACAACGTCACAAATTCGCTTTCGCTTTCGCGCCGAACATGAACCGAGCTTTACAATAACGAACCATTTGGCCATGTAAGTGCTACCGCACTATTAAAACAAAGTGTGAAAAATCACAACAGCACAAATAGTTTCACAAATATAAAATCGACAATGAACAAAAACTACACTCAACAAAGACAGTGAATCATCCCACAACCAAAAACAAAACAAACAAAAATGCTGCATTTGCGTGACTTTATAGGTTGCCGTGAAGTTTTGTGCACACTCTGCAATGTGGTGCATGGCAAGGGGTGGAGCTTGGGTATGGGAATGAAGGGGGAGGGGAAGCAAGTGTACTTTTCATTGGAGTGCGTGGTCAGCCGTGATATAAAACAAGTTGCATTGATACATACTTTCATGGCCTGTTGAAAATGTTGAAATCAAACAGGAGCATCGTTGCATGGGGGAAACAAAGCAGTGTCAATATCAATGAAAAATACAATGGGAAATCACAGCAAGTACTAAAACACTGGTCACGTAACATCCATGTTGATTGTCGTGTGACTCCAAACAACTAATCACAAAGCTGGTCAACAGAGTCAAGTTCTGTTTTTCACATGGATGGACGTCACATGTACATGGAATCGCATGTGTCCATGATAATGTTATACCCCAACTGTAGCAATGGGCCAACTATAATTTGTCCTAACTATATAGTTCGGATATAGTCCTGAATATAGTTGGGATTATTATACCTCACGCACAGGGTAAATACGCATGCATAGTAGACAGTCTACTATGCATGCGCTTTACGAAGCAATCGTAGAACTGTCACACGGGTGTAGTACGCATGTGTGAACATCGCCCTGGCTACACGTGAAAAGGTGGTTGCACATGTAAATGTTAATTAGCATTTTCACAAGCTCAGTGATGCTGAACTGGAGAATATTACGGACAATAAAGATGCCTCCTCTACTAAAATAAGTTGACCACAATACGGACTCTTAGGAGTTTTTGTATTGCAAAAGAACTGATTTTTTTTCTGAGGTTGAGCAAAAATATTCTTCTAGTGAGCTGGATAAGTTTTTCCCAAGATTTCATGTCCGCGAGGTGCATACTGCAACAGGATAATTCGGCAACTGAATATGTATGAGGTATAGTAAAACAAATATAATATGGTTTATTTCGGGTGGATAGTCAATAATCAGCAACCTCTCGGTATTGAAAGTTGACAAATTAGTTCCGGAGGCAAAGTTTGTCAACTTCCAATACCTCGGGAGGCTAATATCGACTATCCACCCTCAAACCATGTTATATTTGTATACTGCCCTACATGTAACTATAGTTGGGACGATGCTAAAGTTGGGACGTAACAATAACAAACAATCCCCAATGAATATGTCAATGTTTTCTCTCTCAAAACAGCCAATGTCAAAACTTTTCTCCTTCGAATATTTACTGCAAAGTTTAGTCTTCTTGGTAGCTTGGACAGGTTTCCAGTTGGACAGATATTTGTTATACATTTCAAGAGTGGTGCTTTTTGGGGACAACACCACCTCTGTGCTGTCAAAGGAAAAGACACATTTGTGACATTAAAAGACATTTATATATGTTCGTTTATCAGGGATTTGTATGTTTGTTGTAGCATGTCACTGAACAGTTTCATCACATTTAAAATGATTCAATATGAGAATACAAAAGCAAAGTATACATGCAAATTCGGGACTGGAAATATAGGCTACGTCAGCGACCCGCTCAAAGTGAGCGAGGCCGGAAATATGAGTGTGCTGCCCGAGGGTGATGGCTTCAACCCACCTGGCTTGAGGTCGAGTGAAAAGTTATCCAACTCCTCGTTCTGTTTTGTCAAAATGATGCCGGCATGAACTGGTTTAGTTGAGGACAAACAATATTTGCAGGTTTAACTGTCTCCTTTTGTGCTATTTTACTTCTTTTGAAGTTAAATTTCCTATTTCTTGCATACCAAAAGCAAATCGCAAACATTTTCACAGAAAATTATGTTTAATTACTAGGGAAAAATACACAAGCAAATTGTAAAGTAGTCAGCATTAAAGCAAACCACCTTTTGTATTGCTCAAATTAGCTGAATATTGTCAAATTTAAATCAATCAAAACATATAACTTGTCGTACCTGAGAATCAACGGCCATCAGATCCACTTTGTACTTTGGTGGTGGGCCCAGTTTCTTCTTCTCCGGCCTGTCGTCTTTGTGAGCGGCCGACTCCTCAGAATCACTGTCAAAAAAAAAGACCACATACTGACTGTGAACAATAGCTGATGGCTGTACAGTGAGATTTCAAAGCTTTTTCGAAATGTTGGCAACTTTGAAAAATGTAGGAAGCTTCTAAATGAGCCTCTTTCCTTCAAGAAAGCACCTGCAAGATTCTGAGAGTAAATTGTGAATGGAAATGTTCATTTTTTGGAACAAATGGAGAGTTCAATTTTTAAGGATCATAACCTATCACCCTGCCTGTTACTTCATGTATCGCCCAAAACCGCCGGGGATAAATACAATGTAATATATACACCCCCAAAAAAAGAAGTCCACGCTCATTGGAGGGGGCATAATTTTGAATCTGATCATCTTACGATAACGTCATTTATGTACACCTTTGGTGAATGTTGTTAGCTACATTTTTATACCCATTTCTGTAAATCGTCCAATATTGACAACGGTTTATGAAAAATGATGCAGTTTGAAAAGTAGCAAATTTAAAGAGTCTGCTAGTGGAAATTGCTGTGTGACCATGTAACACTGCCCGAAACTAACAGCAGGGAATACCGATCGCACAATGCTTGTATGCATGGGAGCACGCGGATTGACCTATCGCCGTTTGCAAGTTAGCCACGCCCCTAAGACAACCCTTTGGAGTTTTTGAACACTAAATTTTGTTTGTCTCAGATTTTGCGGGTTCTGCGTCCATTTGTATATCTTGTAATTGGACAATATTTCACAAGCTGCCTTGTGACGCGATTCTCAGGCGATTGTAGCGCGATAGATCAATTGAATTACCCGCGCTTTGTTCAGGCACTGTGCAGTTGATAGGAGCCATTTACGGGCATGTGTGGTTACGCTTAGCAATTTCTCCTCGGGTAATCTTTAATTTACAACTTTTCAAACTGCATCAATTTTCATGAACCGTTGTCAATCTTGGACAATTTACAGTCTTTGGTAGCAAACAGGGTATCGAAAAAAAGTGAACACAATTCCCCAAAGGTTTATATAAATGACGGCATCGTGAGACGATCAGATTCAAAATAACATGACTCCCTCCAATGAGTGTAGACTTTCTTTTTTTGCGGAGTTCAGTATAGGTGCTAATGGATTGAAGTGCCTTGTTTGGCTCTCTCGATATAACATTCTTGCAGCCTACCTGGTTTGTTCCGGCAGTGTTTCTTCTGGCTCCTCCTGTACGTCATCGGGTTTCGTCGAGTCATCTTCAGGAACCTCTTCTTTGGCTTCCTTAGGCTCCATCTCTGCCGGGGGTTCCTCCACCTGTGTAGCAACCTCCTCAGCCTCTTTCGGGGCGGGTTCAGACGGCGGCGGTTTGGGTCGCGGCTGGGGGAGGGGAATACGTGTAAATAGAAAAGTCCACCTGAGTTTTTGGTTGGCCTCAAACAATTCAAAATTTATATGGTAAATATTGAATAACTAAACATTGGTGAATTTTGGTGTTTGACGTCTTATTCAAAGTGAATGACTTGTGCTAGACAAAAGCAGTTACCTCTAAGTGTCATAGATTCTTACTTCAAAACATCCAAGAATTTTCTTCAGTTTAACGTGAATTTTAAGTTGTTTAAATTGAGTCCAAGGTTGGATGCCAGCCTGATGATTCAAGGCACGACTCAAGAAAAATCACAATATAACACAATTCTGTTGTTTGAATTAAATATAAAATAAATGCTTTGGAACGATTTATCTGTGGTTGTGGTTGAGTCATGAAAATCGCCAGACCAGTCAAATCCCTTGCGTTTTTCCTGGAAAAATGGAAACTCAGTTTCCAGGTTTTCCCTGATTTCAAGAGAGGCTGGAGAACCCTGCAAAGACTCACCTTTGTTTCTTTAGGGATCTCTGGTTTCTTGGCAAGGCATGACTTGGTGGTCCTCTCCGGGTTCTGAGGCACAGTCTTGGGCTTGGCTGGGGGAGGGACTGGCGTCTCAAGAATCCTAACCTCCTTCTTGGGTTTTGGCTCCCTTGGGGGTGGGGTGGGCTCCCTTGGTGGTGGGGTGGGCTCCCTTGGTGGAGGGGTGGGTTCCCTAGGGGGTGGGGTGGGTTCCCGTGGGGTCGGGGTGGGTTCCAATGGGGGTGGGGTAGGTTCCCTTGGGGGTGGGGTTGGCTCCCGTGGGGATGGGGCTTCTGGTTCCATGTGTGTTGTCTCAGGCAGTTCTGGTTCTGGGCTGTTTCTGCCGGACAATGCTGGGGACGGCGTCTGTCAAGAGTAAAGAAATATCAAAAGTTAACACTACAGAAAGAGAGAATTCAATTTGTGGACCCTTTAATTTGTATTATTAATTGCTTTAAAAAAAAAATAAACTAAGCTGTTTTAATACCTGCATGAAATTTACATATCAATGGCACCGCACATAAATACTCACTAGAGAATATTTTTGAGTCAAAATAAGGAGATAAATTATATTTGAGATTTTTTTCTCTACCCAAAGAAAGTTGTTAGATAAATGCATGAATGCCTAGCATCTCGGCCTAGTTGCTGAAAGTAAGCAGAAAGTATTCAAAATCGCTAACTCAAATTGGCATTAACGTGTGTCATGTAAGCAAAATGCTGCAGAGAACCAGTAACAAGCAATATACAGGGCGACTACAAAAAAACGTATGCCAAATGGCAGGACCAATTTTTGAATGAAGTTTTGCTGTAGCACTTTCAAAATCTAGAATATGAAAGCCCAGCCATTAAGCTTTCTTTTAGTACAAGAATCATTCAAATCACTCCTGTACTTTTCAAGTTATGGCATTCTGAACACAAACACAGTTTTAAAGTTCTGTCCACGGATCACAAAAAGTAAGTGTTCTTTCAGCAAAACGAAAACAATTCTCATAGGGATGCATGTGAATTGTTTTCATTTTGCTGAAAGAACACGTACCTTTTTATGATCCGTGGACAGAACTTTAAAATGGTGTTTGTGTTTAAAATGCCGTAACTTGGAAAGTACATGAGCGATTTAAATGATTCTTGTACTAAAAGAAAGCTCATTGATTGGGCTTTCTTATCCTAGATTTTGGAAGTGCTACAGGCAAAACTTTAATCAAAAATTGGTCCTGCAATATGGGATGCCTTTTTTTTTTTACTCACCCTGTATACCACATGATATTTTGACTGGTAAGCCAGGTATTTAACTCGTCTATCCTAAACTAAATGCTTATGCTTAGCAGCTTCATGAAGCTGGTACCCTGCTACTCACTGGTGCCTTGGGTTCAGTCCAGGCTTCTTGTCCCTCATCGGTGGGCGGTTCCTCAGGTTCATATTCTAGGGGAGGCTCTATCGGTGTTGGGATGCGGATCGATACGTCTTCTTCTAGTTCTTCATCTGTTTAATGATAATGTATAAATTTTCAATGACAAATCTATGTACACCAAAAATTTAAATTGAGTAATCAATATACATAGTGGCCTAAGTAGTTTTAATAGTTTGCTGACTCTTGAGTTTGTAATCTGCCAATAACAAATGATTCAGATATGATTAGTGATTTGCCTTACCTTTTTACTTTTACAAAAGGTTATTGGAATTGCTCAATCGTTGCATGACAGGGTTTAGAAATAGGAAAGAGATTAGAAGATCTCCTGCCAAAAAAAAATTAATTCCTCATTTCTTAGCTACTGAAACATCAGCAATACATGGCTCCACTAGTTTCTACTCGTTGGATTCCCTTAAAAAAAGGAAGAATCTTTTTGATCCTGCTACATCTAACAAAATCCCAACTGCTGGTTATTTCTCTTTAATCTTGACTGTACAGTAATCAAATGGCTGTTTGTCAGTAGTTAGATTCTGTGGGATTCAGCAGGCATCGCACTTTTGTATGATTCAATTTGATGTTTGAACAACACCGAAACTGCTTAGGATGCAAGTACAAAATGTGAATACTATCTTCTGTCTCATTATTTAGCATAGTATCTTTCTCTTTCTCTGTTCTGAGCAGCTATTTTGCTCCCCATTTTCTCATATTATTTAGTTAGTCTCATTATTATGTAATGTCCTTGATCCCTATTGTCTGTTTGTCCGTCATTGGTTATTGTTGCGTTTCATTTGTATTTGTCTATTGTTTGTCTGTTTTTTCTTCCAATTCCTTGAAATCTTTTGCTTTCCATTTTTGCATTTAAATATAATAGGCATGTATATAAGCTCAGGCTTTTTAAAATCATGCCTCCATCCTAATATAACTTCTTACTGTTCGCTTTGCTTTCACTTTGCTTTTGATGGAAATAAATGTTGCTGAAATTGGAAACAAAAACTGAACACATGTGTTCGTTTCCATGCAATTTAATTCAACCTGGGTTTCTGATTTGCAGAGTTGTACTAAAGTCCTCACAAATCCATCACAAGTCATTCAGTCTCAAGTCAAGTCACAAGCTATAGGTCTCGTTCAAGTGACGTCATTTCCTACAGGCCATCCACGTGCATCGGCATTTGGAACGTCAACTTGCATAACGCGCATCAGCTGCGTCGTATTTCGAACACATTAAAGGCCCTGTCACACTGTTACGTTCTGGCATGGAGTTTGTACCGCCACCAAGAAACTTGACTAAAACGCGGTGGGAACGCAGATGACGGCGTGGGGACTCATTGATACTAGTTGAGGACTTGAGAAGAACGCCAAGGACTTCGCTGAACGCCAAACTGCCATGTTCGTTTTGGACATGCACAAAACAAACGCCGCACCTCGACGTTTTGACCAGAACGCGGTAAGGACAGTTACAGTTCTCCTACAGAGAAGGCCGTCATTGAGCGAGCCCTATTCAAATGAACTGTGACAAAGACATTTCTCATTCCCTGTTGCTTGATTCCTCACTTGTGACGGACTTGTGATTTAACTTGTGCGTGATGTGTGAATGTGATTTGATTTATCTGTGAACTTGATTGGGAAAATCACCGATATTGTCTTCCTCAGACAGAACCAATTCTCCATCCTCCTCATCGGCATCTGACGACTCCTCCAGGGAAGGAGACTGGCGCTTGGCCGACTCATCCTCAAATGCTATCCGTCTCCTCGGGGGCGGGGACGGGGTACCATCCCGCAGTCCCAACTCCACCCGCTTGACAAAGTTGGTGTAGCGTGGAATGCTGCCTCGTCTTATCTGTGGGTTATCAGAAAACACAGCTGTTGTCAAGTCTATCATACATCCAGGCATGCAACTTGGAAGAAACCAAAAAAGAGGAAACTCCAATCTTTACAAGACTTTGTGCAGTGTTTTTCAATTTTTAATGGCATAATGTTAAGTGAAAAACAAGGAAATCAGCTGATCCGAGGAAAAGTTGCATGCCTGTACGTCGATACAAGTGAAATCACAGGTCACGGCTATAGAGGGTCTACCCCCCCCCCCCCCCCCCCCCGCACTTTGGGCCGAAAAAATATCCCCCTCCCCTTGACAACCAAACCCTTGTCTTGAGACAAACCTGGTTATGCCTAGCTACAAAACAATGAGTTCAATCTTTGGCCAGGCCATGTTCAAAGAGACTATTAATTGTAATTTTATAATATTATTAGCTTTAGATTTTACAGGCACATGTTTTCCCCCATGGTTCATTTGGGCAATTCTAGGGTGTCGGGCGTACATTTTTGAAAATTCATAATGTGCACAATAAAAGTTATAATCATACAGTGGAATTTACTTCTGAAAAAGAAATTACTCATCCAACATTTTTTTCTGCTGTAATTGAAATTGGCTCGACACACAATGGTGTCAGATGTACTCAGACAAATTGATTCTTTTACGTACTTCTTGTGTAATTTTTTTTCGCTTCTAAGTATTGTTCAACATTAGAAATAAACTATAATTCAATAAAATACAGATTAGCTTCAAAATGATATACACATTTTCTTTTTAACATTTGATTTTTTTAAAATTTTGGCATTGAGGTTTATAATTTTGTGGGATGCCAATTTGTAAAATTGTAAACTGATTGTAAATTTGGTAGTTTATAGGAAACTTGGGGGCTCGTTTTTGGTCAATTTTCCGGGGACAAACCTACCGACCGACCAAGCACAAAGCCCTTTTCACACTAGAGCCTTTCAACCCGGGTTGAACACAACCCCGGGCGAACCCAGTGCCGCCCCCGGTTGAGTTTTTATTTTTCAACCCCGCGTTCAACCTTGCATCGTTTCACACTTGTTTCATGCAAATCAAGCTTATCATGCTCAGTTACTACTGTTTTGAACCCTGGCAAGAATTTCAACCCGGGTTGAAAATCTCAACCCTGGTCTGGAGCAGGGTTGAGTTCAACCCTGGGCGAAATCAGCCTCGGGGTTGACACTGGGTTGAAATTCTTCAAGTGTGAAACGATGCATGTTTTCAAACCCTGCATCAACTCTGCGTCAACATCAAGATTTGTCTTGTGTGAAAAGGGTTAAAAAAAGTGATATGAAGAAGCTCCTGCTAGAGCTTAAAAATGTTAAGTTTCAAAATTTGGACCAGCTTATTGTCAAATGCAAACTGACTCCCCAGCCTGTTTTCAAGTGACTTGGTTTACGTCCATCCATGGTTGTTATGAGCACATCAGATTACGGCCATATCAATGGTTGTCACGGCTACAGGAAGCTATTCAAATACCAGGGGGATTTATGGGGTACTCTACATAATCCTGAATGGTCCTCCACAGACTTATTATTGCTTCGTAATAGTCAACGCGGAAAAGTCCAAAGTCTTAATCAATGCCACACACACATGTGGGCAACATGGTTAAGGGTTTGAATGCAAGCCTTGTTAGTTGTGAAGCTCAGACGCCATGAGTAATGTGATTAAACAAAGTGGCCTGTACTTTCCCTCTATTTAATATGTGGCAAGGTCATGCGGGTCCAGTACCCTTGTATACGAGTTAGATAACAAGACAAGTCTCTATCCGGTTTATATACAGGGTGAGTAAAAAAAAAACGAAACCCAAATGTCGGAACCATTGTTTTAGTGAAGTTCTGCATGTAGCACTTTCAAAATCTAGGATATGAAAGCCCAATTCATAAGTTTTTTCTAGCACAAGAATCATTCAAATCACTCATGTACTTTTCAAGTTACAGAGTTTTAAACACAACGGCCGTTTAAAGGTCTGTCCACAGATCACAAAAAATTCAGGGTTCTTTCACCAAAACGAAAACAAATCACATTTTGTGTGTGAATTGTTTTCGTTTTGCTGGAAGAACACACACCTGTTTGTGATCCGTGGACGAACTTTAAAACAGTGGTTGTGTTTAAAATTCTGTAACTTGAAAAGTACATAAGTGATGTGAATGATTCTTGTACTAAAAGAAAGCTTATGACTTGGGCTTTCATATCCCAGATTTTAAAAGTGCTACATGCAGAACTTCACTAAAACAATTGTCCCGACATTTGGGCTTCGGTTTTTTTACTCACCCTGTTTAAGTTCATTGTTTGTTCGTTTGGGTGTTTTTTGGGTTCTAGCCAATTTTTCACAAATTGGAGTTTTCTTTTCTGAAACACTTGGAAAATTACCTCACCGATAAATAATTAATAGTTTTTTCTATCTTTGTGAGTGTTCCTCACTCACATTTCAGCAATTACTAATTATTAGTTTAACTTCGAACTGGAAAACAATGTGTCTGAACGAGCTAAACTTTTCAGTTTAATTTTAAAAAAACCTCTCACTGGATCATTTTGATCTTAAAATAATTCCAGACTTTTTAGTGTCCTCTAAATTGTAGGTCTACTTACATTATTGTGTCTTGGTAATTGTAGAAATTCTCGTCTCTGCAGGAATAAACAGAATAAAAATTTACAACACAATGTGCAATAGAAAAATAAAGCTGTGAGTGTTCCATGCTCCACCCAATTTCCCGCAAAATTTGAGCTACAAATTATTATTACAACTTTTGATTTACATTTTCAGGCATGCAACTGGGAACTCAGAACAAAACGAGGAAATTTCAAACCACACAAGACTTTGTACAGTGTTTTTCAATTGTAATAGCATTCATGAGAAAAAAAAAAAAAAAAGGAAATCAGTGGATCCGAGGAAAAGTTGCATGCCTAAATATTAGGGTAAGCCCTTCACTGAATAACAGCACAATGAAATGTTTCTTTTAAAAATGAAAACAGAAAATAAAACAACAAAAACAGCGGGATTCAAACACCAAACTTGCTGCTTACGAGTGGAGATGTCTTATCATTATTAAACCAATGAGTCTGTCAGGAAATGATTACATCTGGTACAGCAGACAGTACTTTTCACCATCAGTCATCATCAAGTGATAAATATATTCAAATGAAAAGTATGAAAAACAAGGTGCTACAAATGAGTCAATTAAATTAAACTTTTCTAAAACATTTCAACTTTCTATACATTCATATATTGATGAGAATGTTTCCCACTGTCAAAAAAGGAACCTTTAAATTAAAAATATGTTACAAGCCTCATGTTATTATTAACAGTAAAAGACTTGTTCAGTTTTGCCTCTTGAAGAACTGATTTACTGAACTTCAAGAAAAGAAGTTGTGCGTGTAGCCTTGCTCTAGGCTCCATCATGCAGGGAAAATCTAAAAGACCATAGGACTTGCTCTTTGAAACAGAAACCTATGGGACTTAAATGGTCCCCACTCCCCATGCTCCCCTGGTCAAGTTGATACTTGACTGTTGACCTCTGTTAGCCAGATTTCAAAGTGAACATGAGCACCCATACCGTTGCTGGGGCAGTTCTTGGTCTAGTCCAGGCCACATATCTATCATAATGCGAGGGCACATGGGCCGCCACGAGACCAGTAGACGACGTCGGCCTGTTACTGCTGCTGGACTTGGGTCGGCATTCAACAGGACAAAAAGCACACTTGGAGTCCCTTTCGTCTACGCAGAGTTTGATCGTCTTCTCCAAGTGATACTGGCGTTCCACAGCCGTCACGCTGCGGTTCTGGGCAGGGGAAGGGCGGTGGTGGGGCAGAAAGGCACTGCGTGGACGCCGCTGTCTTGACACAGGCGACCGGTCCGCATCCTGGTAGTGTGGATAGTTCGGGTGGTACGACTGGGCACTCTTGGGCCGTGGCGTAGGCCTGGCGGTGAAGCTGTCGCAGCTGCGACTCGTGAAGCGTGTCGCGGTGGCGCTCTTCACACGCCTCCTCTGCTGACCCTGCGGAGTTGATGACCGCAACACGCTCCTCACGTCGGTCGTGTCGATCCTGTACTTGCTCATCTCATCCCGGATCTGACGCTGGCAAAAGTCTTCTTGTTTGAAGTTTCGGTAGCCCACGGCCAACCATGGCAGGCTGGGGTCTAACATGATTGCACTTGTGTAAATGGTGAACTAAAGGTCAACAGCTGTTCACCCAATCATCTCTTGAAATACTGCAGAGTTCTTGGAGGCCTGCTGTATCCCAACTGGAACATGTACTCTGCAAAGAAAAAAATACTGATCAAGTCAAAACTACATCCATCAATTTGACCTCTTTTGCTTGCAATGCTTTGGAGTATAAACAAACAAAAATTCATTCTGGTTACATCTACTTTAGGGAAGTCAGGTTGGCGCAGTGGTTACTTTCCTTGCCTTCCACCGCTATGGCCCGGGTTCCATTCCTGCCCGGACCACATGTGGATTGGGTTTTCAGTCCCTACCTGATTCCGTGGGTTTTCCCCCAGAACACTCCTCTGGGGTTTTTCTCCCACCTCTAAAACTGTAACTTCTTCTCAATGTCTTCCTCTACAGGTTTCTTTAGGCTTGCGAGCTACAGTGCCGAGGACACTTTTGAGGAATCTTTCATTTCATTACCCAAAAGAAATAAACTAAAATAAATAAAAACCAGGACCTTTGCAAATACGAAATCCAACTCTTTTCAAACATGACGGTGAAGCTGGCTTTTGTCAAGCCCGAACAGAAACGACTGGAAAAACATTGCAAGATCTTGTTTGTTAAGAACGGTTAAAGTTACCCGACAATCGGCTCCTCACATAAAAAATGATTTAAACCACAGCTTTTTAAGAAGTGTGTGTCCAGGTCTAACCTTGCAATTCATGTGATTTTTGTAAATATTATGAAGAGAACAAATGCTAAAACACCTGCTTTTGAAGCAAGTACTTAAGCACAACAGTAACATATAAGATCCAGTTACACTACCGATATGTAAACATCTTTACTGAATTTCACAAAACAAACTCGCTATGAATGTGCATATATCTTTTCTGTAAGAAAACCCACTATTAATTAACCCTTGCAAAGGTCTGTGTGTTGTGTTGGACTGGTTTAAGTTACAAGCCCTTATGCATGAGCAACTCTGAAGTTTCAAATAACAGTTTCCACAAAATAAAGGGTGAGTCAAAAAAAGCGGAACCCAAACCCCAAACAATATATTTCATATTTAAAAAAATATGTAGCACCAAAAAATAATAATGACTGGAAAGCCAATTTCAAAAGCTACTTTTAGATGAAAATATTACTGAAATTGCTTAATCCGTTCAAAGAATATCACCATTTAAACGCAATGACCCTAAAACCTGTCTCGTCCAAAAAACAATTTATTGTGTGTTTTGACTGTTTGGAACAACAAAGAGAATGACGCAGAATACTTGTTTCAACAACAGTCACCAACTGTAGTACACAATATTTTGATTGACAACCCTGGTTAGGCAAACAATATGATTTATAAAATCTACTTTTTGAAAAGACGGGCCTTCAAAAGGACTTTGTTGCATATTGTTAACGTTTAAACTAAGATTTCATCGCGGTGATGTTTGAAGACAATTGTGACGACGATTGTTAAAATCGCATATTTGGGACGAGACAGGTTTTAGGGTCATTGTGTTTAAATGGTGATATTCTTTGAACGGATTGACCAATTTCAGTAATTTTTTCATCTAAAAGTAGCTTATGAAATTGGCTTTCCAGTTATTATTATTTTTGGTGCTACATATTTTTTTAAATATGAAATATACTATATGGGGTTTGGGTTCCGCTTTTTTTGACTCACCCTGTAGGTCATCATTGCACCATGCAGAGACTGATAAGACACCCACTATACTACAGTACAGTGAGCGGTATCTAAAAATCTGTTTTGAATGAGTGGCTGCTCTATGACGCAACTTAGACTTGTAACTTGATTGCAATAAACAGTTCATTCTTGAAATCTTCAATATAACTATGGCGGCCTCCAGGACAATAAGGATCGGTTTCCCAATTGAAGATAAAATTTTTCTTTTCTTCCCTAAGGTATATGAACTTTACCACCACCAGTTGTATTTTCAATTCCCACTGAAGTCTACAGAGGTGCATGAGGACTGTTTTGGGAATGAGATCTGAAGATTTTGATTGGGGTAATGCTAATGGTGAAAATGATTGGAATTTGATTAATGATGGGTACGATCCAAGGACTCTACTATCGCCCGACCACGTCCTAGTTTACTCGGATCGAACATCAGACAACTCGACCGTTGAGACAACTTGACTTGAGACAGCAGTCGGGATGGTGTCAGGTCAACTTGACTGGTTGCCAACTCGACTCTGACCAACTCGAATGTTTACCAACTCGACCGTTGAACCAACTCGACCGTTGTGCGTTCAACTGTAAAATTCAACAGGACGGTTTGCCAACTCATCCGTTGTCCACCTCGACCGTTGTGTGTTCAACTGGAAAAGTCAACTTGACCGTTGTCCAACTAGGCCTAATATTGGCTCCCTAATAATAAATAAATGTTAAATCATTTTTATACGAGCTTGTGTTTTGGAAATATGGCATTATTGGCAAAATCCAGTGAAACATTCAGGTCGAGTTGGTTCGAGTCGAGTTGGCAAACGGTTGAGCATGTCGAGTTGACTGATCCGTCGGGTAGCCTAACAAAAACATAACAAGCGACAAGTGACAAGGAAGGAAGGGCATGAAGGCAGTGGCGTCACCAGACTTTTCAGTCTGGGGGGGCACAGGGGGGGCACCAGCATTTGATGGGGGGCACTTAGGTGGATACGGATCGCCGTCCTGGGGGAGGGGTCTAAGGGGAGGGGGTGCCCCCCTCCCCTTTGGAAAATTTTCGCATACGGAGGATGGGCTAGATGCAAAATGGTGCCACATTTGATGCTAAATTCGATCTGAAGATATCTCCAGAAATTGCTATTTTCGAGGTAATGATTTTAACAACGCGCAGGATTTTTTTGTACCAACCCAAATCTCAGATGGGGGGGCACTCGGGGGGGCACTAGGTTTTCCAGGGGGGGCACGTGCCCCCCCTGGCCCCCCCTTGGCGACGCCACTGCATGAAGGGCAAGGCCATTCGAACACTTACCGCTTTGCAGTACTATTCCATTGTGAAGTTGGTGTGATGTAGCCAAAACTTCCTCTGAAGTGAAAATGTGATGCCTTCAAAAATGAAAAAATACGACTAAGCCGCTTCGCCCTGAGCTGCGATCGGGCACCGCTGCGATCCGCATCCGGCCGGCAGACTGCACTTGTTGCCCCGTTTTCTAATCACCTGCTGTTTATACACAACAGGTGCCACTCAACCGCAATTCAAAGAACACAATGAGAAGACAGGGTATCCGTCTTGTTCGCCGGCTCGTGGAGTTGATTTTTAGCGCCCTCTTGCGGTACAATGTGTCCATGTGTTGTCTGTTGCTATGACACCGCTGTGCCACTGTATGACAGGCCTAACGTCAAACGATTCCGAAACTTTGGTCCATTTTTCATTTGGGTCCATTTTCATTTTGGTCCATGAGTGGTGTAATAAGTCACTTGTCCTTGTACTTTTGGTAAACAAAGTTATTGTTATAATGTATTCTGTAATACGGGAAATATAGGAAATGGGATAGGGGACTAGTTATAGGAATACAAGCCATTGGCTTCTACTGCTGACGCTTCTGTGTATCCATCTTAAAAATAAGTTAATCCAAATTTAATTTGACCTGTTTTTCCTTGCACATTCTTTTTACTATTTATAATGCACACATCCAATGTTAATGTCAGCATGAATTTAATTACAAACAGGACATGGTTTTTATAGTTTGAGAAGAGTTAAGTCGCATGACTCGTCATAATGAGCACGAATTTGTAGTGCTGGACTTTTCGTTCAACAGCGGGTGTCGATTTTAGTCTATCAGAAGGCCGTGGGGGTCGGGTTGGGCGGTTTTTTTGGGGGGGGGGGGGTAAGGGCAGTTCTCCCCTTCACTAGTTTCTCGCCAACAACAACTGAAGCGACAGGTGTAGCATGAATTTAGATTTCATGAAATACGGACTCATTGGTGGTATTGCGCATGCTCTTGCATAGATAATTAGGGAGGGACCGGTCACGTAAGAGGGTTTAACCAATAAAAGGGAAAAAGAGTCAGATTTTCATTCGAGTCCGATTTTCATATGACACCGGCAATCATTATTGTTGGGCAGTTCAGGCTACAGCTTTCAGCTTTGTGATAAAGTCCAGGTTGAAAAAAAGAGCATTGAATTTGCTCTACCGGTCATATCGAATTTGTTTTTCTCCTATAATTTGAATGAAAAATTTCAACGGGAATTTTTTTTTTTCAATTTTGGGCGCTTTCAAGTTTCAATTGACTGAAAGTGAATTTTTTTTAAAATTGCTTTTGCACGCCCATAAAAAAGATACGCCCGGAATAATTAATTGTCAAGCTGCATAGATTATTTCTTCAAAAGTTTGGTGCAAACTGACTGCGTCGCTTCAGAAAAACAAGGAATGATCTACAGTGAGCTTTAGGCCAATGGGCCTTATTCACGAGTCGGCCATATTGAATTGAAAGTTAGGTAAAATTTTCATTTTTGGAACTTGCGAAGAGAAATGAAAGCAAGTAAATTACTAATTAATTCAAGTCTGCTTCTATGTGAATAATTTAAAATTTGTAATTAAACTTTCCATAATGCTTTAAGCGAGATTTAAAAAAATATTACACTGCATAAATAGTCTGGCGCCATCTCATTCAACAGTTAACAATTTAAAAAATACAGTCAGGGAATTCGACAAAAATGGCCAACTCGTGCATAAGGCCCAATACAGACGATTTTTTGGCTGTCAGTTATGTCTACATTGTAATAGCAAAATCAGCTTTTCGAGTACTTTTACTGGCACATAGTTCAAATCCAAGCCTCCTCCGCATGCTTAAATATCCAATTGTGGCAGTTGTGACAATATTTTAAGTTCCACTCCTGATTTTATTTTGAGCAAAGTCCACTTTGTTGTAAAATATTGTTAAAACACACACACACACACACACCCAGGTTTACGTTACATACCTTGTGTGGACATTCCTTTGTTTTCGTGTAGTTAAGAAAACTCGGTACAAAAAATAACTTTACTTAAACTGTGAAAACTCTTTTAACCCAATTTTTTTTTCTATGATTCCCTATAGTGTTTCTCTTCATTCTGCTACGGATAAACCTAACCCAAAAATGCCTCTAAACCTGTTTTCCAGAAAGGGCAAAACGTTATGTGGACACGGCTTAGTCCACATAACGTTAACAAAACCTGCATTATGTGGACATCTTTTGTTCACAAGTCCACGTAGGGAATGTAAGACAAACTCACATCCACACACCCACACAATACAGCATTGCTTAGGCCTACACCAAGGACCCGTGGGTCTAGTTTTCCCCCACTTTAAATACTGTTGTTGTTTTTTGCACGAAAAAAAAAATGTAAAGTACTTTACACAAAATTGTACAATATATGATTTTAATAATACCGCAAAAATAAACATGAGTTAAATTTTATGTTCACCCACCCCTCCCCCGCATTCATTATTATGGTACGTTTTTATCATGTTGACGCAACCGTGATTTTTCCCGCCTTGTTATTATAATCCGAAAATAAGTTGGGGTCGCATACTGATCGTTGGACTGATTCCTGTTTTGTCTGTATAATTTTGGGAATCATAAAGGGGCTACAAAGAAGATTGTCCAGAGTTGATTTACTCCGGACATTCCAATACAAAGAGGTCTTCGTTAATCTCGTTTGAACTTCCATTGACTCCGTATAATACACTCTAAAATAGCAGTCAGATTAGACTAGAATTCCTAGTCAATTTAAACAAAGAAAACCAGTGTTTTGACGAAGTCGTTTTTATACAGGTATAGTTACTCAACGATATCTGAATCTCAAACATCTGATTCGAAAGAGATACTCTACCGATAATATCTGACATAGACATTGAGCAGGGCTGGATCCATTATTGAGATTGTTAGAGCACAACTTATCATCTCTAAGCCACAATTATAAACACACATTTTGCAGACAAGTGCAATCGAGCATAATCTCGAGGAAGGGGAGGGGTGGGGCCAGGGATTCATACCCTAAGCCTCCCCTTTGCTCCATTCGCCAATGTCACAAATGCAGAGCCCAAAAGAGGATACTTACGACAGATTTGGGTTTCGTGTATTTGTACCATCCGCAAGTGTCGAATCTCGAACTGAAGTGGTCGATCAGCGTGAAGGTGTTGGCACCGTCAAGGGGGAGGGAGAAGGCTCGGCCCCGCCGGATGTTCCTCCCCACTGCCACTCCGGCCGAGTCAGACTCGGAGTCGAGACCCCTGTATTTGACCCGTGCGACGGGGAGCCGGAGTTTGGCTCGCGCCGGGAGCAAGTGAATCCCCAAGGGGCTGAACGGGTTTGTCGGTGAAATGTCATCATCATGTCGCCATGAGGTGCAACGCATGGTGTCGACGGAGTAGCCAGCACGCTGACGCGGTGGGTAAGGTGATGGTACAATCCGCGGGGACGTCAGTGCATCTAGCTGTCTGTCTGTTGTACACATCATGTTCAAGGCGATCTCTTTAGGCGTTGACGGCTCGATGTTGGAAAACTTCCAGTCTCTTTCCAAAAGTTTTCAAATTGCTCACAGAGTCTGCAATACGCAGCGCTATAAAAGACATCTTTTAGCCCTACCTGAATTAAGCCATTTCAATGTACATTAAGAGGTTCAGTGGGGGCTTAATGAAAACTCCAGAATATTAAAGGTATAACTTCTGTAGACAGACTCGTCAGTTTCAGTTGATCAAAGCACTTCTAACTTAAAAAGTGTTCCAAGGGGAAATGTTTTCCACTGTCCAATCAAGACGGAATCCAGAAGGGGGACATTCATCACACGAACCTTGTACTGTTGTATAATGCAAAATCAACCGCGGATAAACAAGTTTCAAGACGCCAACTTGAACTCGTAAAACGTGGGCACCAATACTCTTCCGACCCGGAGAATGAAAGGGCACCAATGCCACCCAGTGAAATGGATCCCCTTGTTTCATTATGCCAGAATGACTTTGTTTATGGCGTTATACCAGCCGAGGTAACATGTTCGGGTTGTGTTGTTACAAGCCTTTGCTAACCTTTTGTTGAGACCGGGGAGGGGGGTAATTTTGAGTCGATGAGTGGACGGCGAGAATGGGCGAGTAATACCAAAACCGTAATTACCCGCAATTCAGGTAGATGGCGACAATGGTCTAGAAAGACGACTAACCATGGGTGTTCTCACGCGGAACAGGAGTTAGGATGGGGTTACTGCAGGGGCAGGGGCGAATTTCTTTTCCGTAGCAGCATGCTCCAAAGTCATGAATAATTCAAAAGTCTGAATTATTGAAGTTCCTGAAAGTGATTCTGATGTCTGCTGGGGAACCGTCTTGTGCGTCCCCCTGCCCGACGATTTTGGAAGATACATGTACCTTTTTCTTGATGTTCGAAATGCAACTGAAGATGCGGCACAAGATCATGCATGATGTCTGGTTGTGTTCACAGTACCAAAACTGGCCTATAAGAGGTATAGGCCTACACACCGTTTTTCAAACCAATGGAACTCAGTGATGAATGACCAGCTGTATACATCCAATATATCAAACGAAAGCTTAGTGCCAAATTGCCTAAAGTTGATGGCCATGAAGTTCATTGTTTGTAATATCCCCCCCCCGCCCTAAAGGTGTAATGAGAGCCAAGCTTGGAGAGAAAGCGATGATCGAAGGTATCGGAACAGCTGGGGTGGAAGCCAACCCGATCCGTAATCAACTCGGTCCGAGTCAACTCGGTCCCAAGTCTACTCGGTCCCAGGTCAACTCGGTCCCAGTTCAACTCGGTCCCAAGTCAACCGTCAGCTCGGTTCCAAATCAACTCGGTCCCTTATTGGAAAATGTACACAAAAAGGTCTTGTGATTGTGCCAGCACAGAAATGGAGAATCTTTTTTACGTTAATTTTCTGGGCTGTGTGCGCACCTAGGATTTGCTTGGGGGGGGGGGGGGGGGGGGCCTCACAATTTAGTTTGTTCAAAATTGTAGAACTTAGAAGTTACAATTTTTTCCAACAATTTTTAAATATTGGGTTAATTTTTTTTGGGGGGGGGGGGCAATTTTGACGTTGGTGGCGCCACTAACACCCCTATTATACTACTCGAAAATAGGCCACATACATACCACCAAGGTCAAAAGGGACTTAAAAAAATTGACAACCTCTTAGGGGGGGGGGGCTCCCTCCCCCATCCCGAGCCCCCCCCCCCCTTGGGTGCGCCACTGGTGTGACGGTGTTTCTAGCCAGCCTCTACAGGCTTTGGAAGCAATCTTGTTGAAGCTGGGGAGGGGTAATTTTTAATAACCGCTTTTTTTAAATTGCAGTTAATTTCCGGCATGTATTTAATATAAACACCAAACTTCCGGCATGCTCGGCGTGTATTAATATCGACACCCAACTTCCGGCTAATAAGTCCCCTTAAAAGCTGGAGTGTCATAATTGCCTAGCGGTTAAGAGCATCGGACTCATGCTCTGGTGTTTCAGAGGCAACAGTGGCGTGGGTTCGAACCCACCGGGTGGACACTGTGTGCCCTAGGGCAAGGCACTTCACCATTATTGCGTGGGACGTAAAGCCGTTGGTCCCGTGTGTTGGTTGAATGCACGTAAGAACCCAGGTACTGAGCACTTATCGCTAAGAGAAGGTTCGCCCCGGTGTTTCTGGCAGTGCGATCACCTTCAGCCATGAAGTATGCACTTATAAGAAAGAAGAAAGAAAGAGCTGGGGGACGTCAGAGTCCCCTTAGAGTGCTATCAGAGAGATTTTCAAGAGTGACCGTGGCGACGCCAAAGCCACGGAAACGAAAACCGAGTTGACTCAGACTGAGTTGACCCGGACCTGTAACGCACCTATCAAAATGTTTCCCCCCCCCCCCCGCAGCTCAAGGTCTGATGTCGGGATTTGGTCACGTTTTTCATGACCCAGGGTGGGGATTCGGGTCACTCAAATTACATTTTTTTTACCATTGGCGTGCTACCATGGAAATGCATTTACTAGTGCGCCCCACGTATGTATGCATGATCGGGGATTGTCACTTAAATTTTGCCCGAGGGGTGGGGATTTTGTCACTTCAAAAGTGACAATCCCGACGTCTTGGGTGGGGCAGCCCGGGGGGGGGGGGGGGGGACTATTATTGATAGGCGCGTAAAGCGAACCTGAAACCGATACATCAAGTGCCAGGTGACCGTAAGGTCATGGCCCAATTCTGCTAAATGCAATTCAAAAATCTGTCAGATTCATCAAAAATCTGCCAAATTCCCCAGAATTACTCAGGCAACTTTAAATACTTAAAATCACGTGTAGATATTGTAGTATTGCCTTTATTAAGGTTTAAATTACATTATAAAAAATCTATAGTCACATAAACATGATAAAGATGTTATGACATTGTGTAAATTTCAGGCAATTAAAACGCAACTTTGTCATCACTAGACTTTGTCGGTACCCTAAATTTCACCTCAGAACGTACCTGCCAACCTGTCCCATTTATGTAAGGGTTTGTTCGAAAAAGATTGAAGCTTTTTTTTAAAACAAATATACAATTTTTATCAAATTTGCTGTTTTTCTGTCGAATATTCACTTTTGCAGAATTCTGCCAGAAACCTGCCAAAAAAATCCATTCTGTCAATTTTTTTCTCTCAAACTTTTCACAAAAAATCTGTCAAAGTTAGCCGAAAATCGGCTAAAACGGTCACCTGTCGGGATCCGTTACGTTACAGCACGCAATTCGGTGACGTTGCTATTTTGCTTGGCTTTTGTAGGCCCTACAATCTGAAATTCCGAAGTGATACGCTAGTAGTATAAACATTCAGGACATGGTAAGGAGATGTCTTTATTTATGGATAATTGGATATGTACGGTTTTGTAAAGTGTCAACTGAAATATTCAGTCAGTTGTGTTTACGATGTTTGTGCATCATCTATTTCGTGACAAAATGCGCCTATCGATACTAGCCCCATAAATGTGGCCATTTTATTTTTTACTGGACTACCTCGGTATATAAAGGCCACACTTGGAACATGTACAAAAACATGTAAAACTTTGTCAAATTTTGATTTTCATTATAGGCTAATCAGAAATGTATTTAGGCCTACACTAAATTGGCAACGATCGTTTGACTAGTGGGTGATGTAGTGCAGTGGGTGGATAAGACCGGTGTGATTAAATAACAAGATTGCGGGTTTGAATCCCAGTGAAGTAAGTAACTGGTAAACAAAGAGGATTGGAGGAGGGTACAGAGTAGCTGGAGTTACCCAGCCCTGAGTTTTATCATTGGGTTGTCATCTAGGGCTGGAGCGCATTTTTCTCAAAACTTGTAGTATTTGCAAAAAAAAATTGGAAAATGTTCAATTTTGTCCCCGTTACACACTAATTGCAACTGCAACTCACCCCAAACTTGCCTGGAATAACCATTACACAGGTCCTTGAAGTAAAAAACGATCCACGATGAAGATTCAGCCTACAATTGCAGTGAAAACAGGAGGAATAACCGCTAACTTGACAACCTTGCTGGATTGGCCAGGACCGCTATTGGTTTGTGCACAAAAAAAATTGTGTACAATGAATGGCGGTCGATTAACAGGCACAGAGAGCGATCGCTGTCAACTACTCGTTTTGCCGGCTGCGCTGGCTGTTGGCGCGTGACGTCACGCGGAAGCGTAACACCCGATGACTGTTTCATGCACTATTGGTTGCGGTTCCAGTACCAAAGCTGTATGCGAGTGGTAAACCTTATATTAGTGCATGAAACAGTCATCGGGTGTTACGCTTCCGCGTGACGTCACGCGCCAACAGCCAGCGCAGCCGGCAAAAACGAGTAGTTGACAGCGATCGCTCTCTGTGCCTGTTAATCGACCGCCATTCATTGTACACAATTTTTTGTGTGCACAAACCAATAGCGGTCCTGGTCAATCCAGCAAGGTTGTCAAGTTAGCGGTTATTCCTCCTGTTTTCACTGCAATTGTAGGCTGAATCTTCATCGTGGATCGTTTTTTACTTCAAGGACCTGTGTAATGGTTATTCCAGGCAAGTTTGGGGTGAGTTGCAGTTGCAATTAGTGTGTAACGGGGACAAAATTGAACATTTTCCAATTTTTTTTTGCAAATACTACAAGTTTTGAGAAAAATGCGCTCCAGCCCTAGATGACAACCCAATGATAAAACTCAGGGCTGGGTAACTCCAGCTAGGTACAGAGTGAGAGTTGAGGAGGGAAAATGGATCAAAGAACCATAGAAAGTAACTTTTTGGCGCTTGAAAATTTATTGATAAAAGTGACGTACGTTTATGTTTGACATGGAGAGCTGGCAATCATACAGTGTGTTATACTCTGTGGTTTTTAACATTGTTAAATGTTGCTTGTATTTTCTGCAGTGTCGATGTGACTGTGGTTCCACTATTGATTTGTGAATAACCATGACGACAGTTAAGCTGCTTCCTCCAAGATTGGACCAACCTGACTGATGCTGACTTGCTTGCATGTAGTGTCCATCCGTCACAGAAATCCTAACATTTGACGAGTCAACATACATGCAATACTCGTGATTTTAAACTTGTGCATTCCTGAAATAAATATTTGTAGCAAAACGGTAACATGGCTGCCTCCGGTGAACAGCGCCCTCTGTCTGACCGTCTTGAAAATGTCCTCCAGGGGATCATCCCGGGACTGGGGACAATGGAGGACCCGCCCCGCCCACCTGGGGGTGGTGGGCAGGGCCGAGACGCAATCATCATTGACATGCCGGCTGTGAACCCAGAGGAGGAAAACAGGAACGGGGCCGGTAACCAGAACGACGGTGCGGGAGATACCAGCGAGGGGGAGAATGGAGATAGGCAAGGGGGTCTTGCCGAGGGACAGTTCAGGGCGCTTAGGCCCCTCATGGAACGCACTCTGCCGTTTGTACTGATCTTGCTGCTGAAAATCCTGTATGATCACAGAATAGGTGAGCAACTGTATTGCCTGGATCATTCATGTACTTCAAGTGTCAATGTGATGACAGTGCTTGGCAAATTTGTGTTTAAATAAAAAGAAATTCAAATATCCCGTTCCCAAGTATTTGTTTTGAAAATGTGACCAAATACAGCAAGATGAGTCTGAAGTAGCCAGAGCTATTTTTGAATTACAAGGCCTTACACAAATCTTGTACTGTGGAAATCAACAAGAACCGTCCCATTTTTTCTCCAAATGTCCGTAGTTTCCAGGATGGTTGCCATGAGTGATCTATCAAAATGATAAGCCAAGTATTAACTTTCTGATGCATATATGAACATTTAATAAACGAGTTGGGACAAAATCATTAAATATCTCTTTGTGGAACATTAATTGTCACAAATTTTCAAACACGATTTTGTTTGTGTGTTTTATCTCCATGTACGTGAACCTTGCTACTGAACCGAACTGAAATTGCTGAGCCCAACCTGAACTGAACTAATTCAGTTTCAAAACCTATATTATAAACCCTTTGCCATTCTAAAACTGCTCCATTTATTTTGCAGTTCAAAACCCTTTTCCTTCTAAACTTTCCCTACTGCCTCGTCATATAAGATTTCTGAAAGTATTGACATTATATGAAGGATTACAACTCCCCTCAACCACCAAAAAAGAAAAATCAACATTCTCACAGCTAAATTTTCTGGATGAGTACATTCTGAGTATTTTCTAAAAGTGATTTTCTTTCTTACCCCTTAGGTGTAATTGTGCTCATTGGAATGGGGGCTGCATTTTTCCATTTCAACGGCAAACTCAAAGAACAGGTTGCTCAGAGGGTGAGTCTTATAGGGTGTATTTGTGAACGAGTGAGGGCAAGTAACCATGCCATATTTGGAGGTATCAAGCAGGGCCCAATTTCATGACTCTGCTTACCATTACTGAAAAATCCCTGCTTACTGTAGCAGGAAATTTCATGTTTACAGTAAGCGTATTTCACGGGTTAGCGAGGAATTTTGGCTTCTGCGCATGCGTACACCCTGTAACTAAGGATCCTGCGCTTACACTGGGTCCGACCTTAAGGTCACATATGGTCTAGCGGTAGAGCACAGCATTGATGATCGTGAGATTGTGGGTTCGAGCCCCGCCGTGGCCATGCGTGTTGTGCCCTTGAGTAAAGATGCTTTACCTCAATTACTCCTCTCAACCCAGGTGTTAAATGGGTACCGGCATTATTCAATGCTGGGAAGGTAACAGACTCGCTGTGGAGGAGGTGTGGCGATCCCCCCACAGCAGCATTTCATGGACACAGGTTCGTCCCCTTTACTTTTACCTTAGCCGGGCTACTTAAGGAATAGTTTGACTAGCCCGCCGCTGTTTTGACTAGCATTTGGTTAGCGGGCTACCGCTAAAGTTGGACCCTGGCTTACAGGGTTAGTGCAGAATTTTCCTGCTAGCATTCTCAGCGCAAACTGGTGATCATAAGCGTGGAATTCTGGGCTTAGCAGAGCCATGAAATTGGGCCCGGATGTGTATCTCAGGTTATTGACGCAAGTTTAAATGTTCCTATAAATACATCTTTACAATAGCTGGCACAATGCTTTCTCCATTAAAGGGGGCTGCCGTGAATGTACACTGATAGCTTGCTCAGAATGGTTTGGGTAGGATAACATCAGCCGATGAAAACATCTATTTGTTTGCACACCCGTGTTCACTGGTAGCGATAACTTAAAGTTGCCATACAACATTCCAGACTCAAGAAACATTGAGATTTGAGTAGATAGGTCTGGGAACTAGACAAGGCAATGTAAGAAGCTCCTGGATGTCCGCGCCAACCTATCATGATTGGTATCAGAAAGAATTATTAGTATTTCTAGTCGTGCAATTTTTTAGTATCATTAGAATCTCTAGTCCTGAATCCTACAAACTTAATGTAATGTTTTATTTACACGCCCAGGGGAAAGACCCTACATCCTGTTCGAGCTACCAGCTGTCACTTGTCCATAACCCAACCCTGTAAACCTTCTTTTTCAGGACAAGCGGAACTTGAAATCCCTGCTCTTCATGTCTCTCCTTCTGCCATTTAATATTGCCGTAGTCTACTACGTCTTTGCTGATCAGCAGCTGCCAAAATGGTGAGTATTGAACTAGCAATCCAAAGGTCTATGACCTTGTGGCTCAGTCTATTATAGAACATCCCTGAGACAAAATCACATTAAGCCATAATAACAGTGTCCGTGTTATCACTAGGAGCCATGTTGTGACGTGAAAACAATTGTTGGATCAATATACTGTTTCGTGAACAATAAAATTATACTGCATCAACATGACAATACACATAACCTTCCCAACTTCATAAGCTTTCTTTTAGTACAAGAATCATTCAAATCACTCCTGTACTTTTCAAGTTACGGAATTTTAAACACACACACCGTTTTGAAGTTCTGTCCATGGATCACAAACAAGGCAAGCAAAACGAAAACAATTCTCATAGGGGTGCATGTGACTTGTTTTCGTTTTGCTGAAAGAACGCTTACCTTTTTGTGATTCGTGGACAGAACTTCAAAACGTTGTTTGTGTTTAAAATTTCGTAACTGGAAAAGTACATGAGTGATTTGAATGCCTGATTGTTGTAGTGAAAGAAAGCCTATGAATTGGGCTTTCATATCCTAGATTTTGAAAGTGCTACATGCAGAACTACGCTTAAAAAGGTCCCGTCATTTGAGTTTCATTTTTTTTTTACTCACTCTGTACTGTTCTAAACTGACTGACTGTATTTTCGGACAAGGTTTTTCTGGTGTTAAAGCAAGTTCTCGTCGTCACATATATTCCCCGAAAAATATTCTTGTTTGTTTTATAACTCTGTTCCAGTTTGATATTTCTAAAACCGAACTTTGAAAAAATGGACTTCTGGACTCTGCTCTGGGTCATCGGGATCACCGATTATGTCATCAAATATATCACCATAGCAACCAAGTGCTTGGTTACCGCTCTGCCAAGAGTTTGTCTGAGCTTTAAGAGAAGGGTACGAGTGAAGATTACTTTATTTTTTATTTTATCTCATTAGTGTAGAAATAGACTTGATTGTTTTATCCTTATAGATCTTTTTCATTGCATCTTTGAAGTGTGTGCTTTAAGTTTACAGGGATCTTTGCATGAGTAGATTATTTGAACATTAGATTTAAATGAATGAATTAATCAAGAAAAACTCCGCAAAGATGGCTACTGAATGCAATAGGTCTATACAGAGAAAAGAAACATTGACATTTTTGTTATTAGAAAGAATTTATTTCACTTGTGTGTGTGTCATTCTATTAAGAGTTTTAAAATCCAAAACAGTGTGGTAATGTCTTTGTCCTTGTCTCCAAAGCTATACTGAGTGAGCTGTGATAAATAAAGCATGTTTTGTTGAGAAATGTTGAAAATTGCTTCATCTCAGTAACTCTTTGTGTGTGTTTTAAAGTTTAGAGGTGAAGTATCAGTCTCTCAGTTTTAGTTTATCGGACATTTGAATTGGCCAATTATTGGATTAAGGACTGAGGCTAAAAAATCCCAAAGATGATCTTCTTACTCTTGAGTTGTCCATAAAAGGCAAATCTACTTTCTGAGTACCCCTGTAACGTCTCAACTAGACCATCGGTCCAAACTTAACGTGGGACTGTTCTAACTGAATGTTCCAGTTGGGATGGTCCCAATTGAAGTTGGGCCGTCCCACTTACGGTTGGGCTGATGTATAATAGGGGCCTAACACCCCTTTTTGAAGAATGTTCTGTTATTCCAGCCAGACCCAATCTTTGCGGAGAACAAACGTTTCTACTAACATGTTTTCTCTCTTTAGGGTCGCGTGTTCCTGTGCATTGAGAATATCTCCCAACTCTACCGGTCCCTAACCCCGGTTCCTGTCTGGACAGCATTTTTATCAGAGGACACGGACTCGCATTGGTTGTTCAGCTATGCATTGGTCCTGTTATACATCATGGCAAAGGTATGCATGAAGACCCATTGCTCAGAATAAAGGTTAATTAACCCCAACCTTCCCAAATCCTCCCAAATCCTCTTTGCAAAATGGAGGATTTTAAGAGCTTGCCCCGAATCGTGTGATTAGCAACAGTGTCTTTGGTCTGGAGAATTCCAAGTTAAAATGTGCCAAGCATTCTGAGCAAGTCAGTGTACCAGATGTTTTCAAATTTATATCCCATAGGGTATATAAGTCACTCGCAAATGGCTTATTGATACATGACACTTTTGAACTGAAGGCCATCTTTTACCTTCTGTTTTTTATTACAGAGCTATATGACGTATTCAAAGATTTTCGAGTGTTACACAACAGTAAAAAATGTCTTTAAAGATTCGGTAAGCCTATTTGTTTCATATTTTTTTTTGTGAAGACGAGGAAATAGAGGATCATTAAAATCGTTAGCTATAAATTCAGCAACCACAGCACTTGTCAAAGTGAAAAGCATGCCCAATGTAGCAAGAGCCATCAAGGCCAAACTGCCTCAGTGTCTGTTTTCACCAACTGCAGCTGAATAATGCAGTTGTGACATTGTTTAATGGGACTAGCTTTCATTATTTTAGAATTGGCCGTTTATGCATTGGTCATGATGGCTCAGTGCAGCAAGGTCCCACAGACTTACAGCTGATGCACTGTGTTGCGTCTGGCAGGGTCAGGGCTGAAATATGAAATTATCTTTTTAAAAAACTTGACCAGTTGTCATTAAAGTCACAATGCTAGCTCAACTGAAAAATACTAATTTTCTGTCATCTTCAGCAATATGGTAGTCGGCCTAGCAGCGACCACATACAAGGCGTTGGAGAGGCCTGCCCAATATGCCAAGATAACTTCACCAATCCAGTTGAACTACACTGCAAGGTAAACTCCATTCCCATATCTCCTATTAATAAATACCTTGGAGAGTTGGTGGCTTGTGATTGGTCGAGACTCGATCACGTGGGGGTGTATTAACGGTGATATTAAGACCGGCTTCAAAGAACAAGCGAATAAATGGCCCCTGAACCAGCATTGATCCAGCCCCATGCAAGCCAATGATTGGCCAAATTTACAACAGTCCTACGGTAGCTTGTAACAATACAACACTGCACATGCGCTCAACCACCATCGCGTGAAGCCTTACGCGCGCGTTGCAAAACAGTTACTATGGGTGCGCGCCCGTGAGGAAGGTGTGGAGGTGACCGCTGATAATGAACCTCGACTTTGTCTCGGTCCATTAACAGCGGTCACCCCCAAAGCCGGTCATTATCACGCAGTGAAGACCGGATCCTCACACTGTTATTCCCAAGTAATATAACACAAACTAAAAAGCTTGATACTGAGTTATACAGGGTAGTCCAAACAAAAGTGTACACTTTTTCAGATGCCGATTTATGAAAATCGGGGAGATATGTTGAAATTATTTTAAGATATTCCTAATCTACAAAATCTTGGTGGTATATGGTGAAAATGGCGATGAAAATAAAGCCTAAATTAAGAAATGGCAGCCATTTACAGAAAAATGGTCAAAAACCACTTTGTCCACGACCACATTAAGTTTATGACCTTGTCAAAAGAATAGCACTGCATGCACAAAGAACTGCAATAACAGTGACCATACCAGTATTTCATACACGCGTGTAAACCAGTTTGGTTTTTGACCATCTCTTTGTAAATGGCCCACCATTTCTTAATTTAGGCTTTATTTTCAATGCCGTTTTCACCATATACCTCCAAGATCTTACACAAATATAAAAATATCACACTCTTGTTGCCATGGATCGACCAATCAGCATCGAGGATTCAAGTTTGCTTGAAGATAATAGTTTGCTTGAAGATAATAGTTAATAGCTAGCTCAGCACCTTCATGTTGCGCTCTTGTTTTGATTTGTATTTCCTGCAGCACATTTTCTGTGAGGAGTGTGTGACCATGTGGTTTGACAGGGAGAGAACGTGCCCAATGTGCAGAGCCAAGGTTGCCGACAGTCCCCAGTGGAGAGACGGTTCCACAACGTCTATCATACAATGGTTCTAGGAGCAAACCAAGAACGTATCTCACTCCGGTAAGATTCTTCGTTTCTCTGCAGAAGCGTAACTAGGCAGGTCCAGCAGGGAAGGTGTAAGGCAGTTCTCCTGCCCTCCCCTTTTGTGTTCAATAAAAAAACTCTAACAAACTGGAAGCTTTCTGTGTATGCATGATGTGCAATCCAGGTGGACCCCTCTCATATTCAAAAGTATGGTCCACCTTTCAGGCCTATCAACTCTAATGTATTGACAGGCATGCAACTTTTCCTCGGATCCGCTGATTTCCTCGTTTTTTTAATTCTCAGGAATACCATTACATATTGAAAAACACTGTACAAAGTCTTGAGTGGTTTGGAATTTCCTTGTTTTGGAAAGATTTCCATATACGAAGTTCACCCAACACCCTGTGTACAAACCCTATGAGATTGGACTGAAAAATTCTAAGTGTTTTCTAAGAAAATGCTTGTATTTTCTCACTGCTCAAATTGACTTTGATGACATGAAATTGCTATCTGGGGGCTTGTTAGTCAATACAGAGGAAAATTAGTGAACTTCGTATATGGAAATCTTTCCCTTGTTTTTTTCTGAATTCCCAGTTGCATGCCTGTATTGAGTGTGTAACTCCCGCATTTCAGGTTATTTTCACGCATTCACGCCCGCACAGGATTTCTCACGCTAAAAAAAAATTAACAAATGAAACTCAGAAATGATGATTAAATGATGATCTTTTGCTCAACAAATTGGTTAAAGTGGTCAGAAATTGCCTCAGATCACACCACAGAGCGTCTAGAATCCAACAATGTTCAGGGCCCTTAAGCAGACCTCGAACCCCACGCCGTTAGGTCTTCACGCTTCGCGCTCAGATTAGTTCTGTTCAAGCTCCATCGCCAAATACTCACTCTCAGCTCTTACTCAAAGTTGGAAGCCCTGACATTTGGATCCTAAAAAGTAATTTGCTGAACAAGAGAGCAAGCACCATCAGGTCGCAACTCCTTTTCCAAAAAATCATTCAGTCTTATCACAGTTGACAGTTTCTCTAAGACAAACCATGGGTTGTTTATGTCAAATTACCAGTGATTTTTTTTTTGTAAAGTCTACTGTGATGAGTCAAGCAAGGCTGAGATTTGTCAAATATTTCCCGATTTCAGGATTTTTAAAGAATCCCTCTTCCTGAGGTTTTAATCTCAATGGTTCAGTGAACTTTTTTTTCAGACTCAAACAAGACCGCTTGTTTTTGTTTTGTTGCAGAGATTCTGTGCTCTCTGGAGGTGGAGGCCACATCTTGTTTTGTCCCCCCTCATCAGAGGCAATGCAGCTGGCTGTGTAAGATAATTACAAGAAAAAAATCTATCGGAAAATAAGATTTCCTTTTGCTTATATATGTAAAAGATAGTGTTGAAGTTAAGTCCATCACAAGTCCTCACAAGTCCTTGCAAGTCCTCAACAGTCCTCGGGAAGTCCACCACAACTCCTCACAACTCCTCGCAAGTCCTTGCAAGTCTTTGACAGTCCTCGCAAGTCCTCTCCAGTCCTCGCAAATCCTCTCCAGTCCTCTCCAGTCTTCACAAGTCTTTGCAAGTCCTCAACAGTCTTTGGAAGTCCTCGCAAGTCCTTGCAAGTCCTTGCAAGTCCTCGTAAGTCCTCGCAAGTCCTCGCAAGTCCTCGCAAGTCCTCGCAAGTCCTCACAAGTCCTCGCAAGTCCTCGCAAGTCCTCGCAAGTCCTCACAAGTCCTCGCAAGTCCTCACAAGTCCTCGCAAGTCCTCGCAAGTCCTCAACAGTCTTTGTAAGTCCTCGCAAGTCCTTAAGAGTCTTCCCAAGTCCTCGCCGTTCCTCGTCAGTCCTCCATGTTGAGAATCCTGTGGAAACTCTGCTATTCTCAAATATCTGAGCACCGTATTCATGGTGATGAAAAAGTACAAAGTTTGAGCAGATGGGACTTCTTCCACATATCTACAAAAAAAAATTAACTTTGGCCTTTATTCCTCACTGATTATTAAATTGTGTCCTTCATATCTCTACTGCTTCCCATCTCTTTTGTGTTTTGTACATATCTTCTTTAGAAAAACACAAGTGCAGACAGTATGTGATTCCACAGCAGGTGTTTCACCTGTGCCACACTATAGGAAGTGGTTTGGCTGGTATTATAGCATGTGGAAAATGACAACAAGAAAAGTTTTGTGTGAACATGAGGCTTTTCATATATATGATATGTTGATATCTGGGCTTATCAACTTCAACAATGTGGTTTGTAAGAAGGCAATCAAGCATTGTAATATTCAACACGTTGGGATTTGCAAAATTTGAAATGTACATGAAAAAAATATTGAGGCATGACTTATTGCTTAACAATCAATCTTGCAATGTTGCTATAGACAGAGTTAGCTCTTGACTATCCAGTGTTTAGTACCCAGACGTTCAGGTTAGTTTTGTTTACAGTGTCAAATAAACGGAAATCTATCAGTTCAACGTAATTTGATCTTCACATAATAAGTGTCTTGAGTATGATGTCATTTAAAACATTAAATTAATGGATACATGTATATCATTTTAATTCCCAAGGTGGGTAATTCATTTCAATAAAGAATTCTTTGAAATTTAGCCCAAATGGTTCTAATACTCTTATGCATTTGCATTGATACTTAATGGTACAACGTACACTGTATGCACTTTTTGTCTTTTCAATTAATTAATTTATGTACAATTAATTAATTTATTGTTCACAATTTTATTGAGCTTATATGTACTTTTTGAAGAATTGTCCATCCTTTGCTTGCCTGAAAGATTGGAATTCTGTCCAACTTATGGATCAATTAAAATCTTTATTTTTAATCATGGCAATCTTTCTAACACCCTGACTCTTTTGTTTTGCACTGTCTTTTGGGGACTTACATGTAGGAACCGTCACTTTGACGAAATTTGGTTACGCAAATTTTGAAGGACGTCATTCAAATTAAACAAATGTGATTGTTGAGCCGTCGCGCATGACGTGTTTGCTATACCAGCTTCTGCTGCTAAGTATGGAAATGAAACTTCCACTTTCGCCGTTCACACTTTACCTACTGCGTTCACAATGTATCATGAATGTATCATGCATCATCAATGTATCTGGAATGGACCGGCAAAAAATTGCACTTGTGTAATAATGATAATAATATGTCGCTTATATAGCGCTTTTGAAAGGTCTCAAAGCGCTTCACAATTACCCCTGTTCATCAGGCCATGAGATCAGTTTCTGCAGCAGCTCATGATCAGCGCAATCTGGTCTCTACCTTCACAGGTACCCATTTATACTCCTGGGTGGAGAGAGGCAATTGTAGTAAAGTGTCTTGCCCAAGAACATCAGCACCATGTTCCCTGTCCGGGTTCGAACCCACGTTCCGCGGCGAACACCGTAACCATTGGACCAAAGCGCTCCGCGAATTGTGTAGCGAATTTCTTTCTTTTTTTCCCCACGGGGAGAGGGTCATCGCAGTGCTAATATTTACCCAAAGTATTTGGTATTTATTTAGTGCATGGTTCACGGTATCACGCTTACAGAATAGACTTCCCGTCGGTCACTACCTTTCCCCTACTTCCCACAAAGAAATCGTAATAACAAATACTTTGTTTATTATGCAGTAACCATGGAATGACGTCGAGGAAGGCCAATGCTCCGTACAATTTAGTCCTAAAAGCACTGAAAAGTGTTTAACGTTCCATACAATATTGTTATTCATGGACACAATAATTGCTACAAGATTTAGGCCTAAAAGCAGAATTGTGTGTGGTTTGAAGAACATGCAGTTCAACTGAGTGCGGAATAAAAACGTCGTTCACATTTGAAAACCAGTTGAAAAGCAGCACTCATTGTAATTTGAATCTGCAATAAAATTGGAATAATAGTGGAAGGAGTAAATGCGTTTGCCTCCATGGTTTGACAAAGACGGAAGAATGTATAATATGACAATGATAATAATGTAAGATAGTTTGGCATCACTTTTCAAATATCATGCGTTTGTTTCAGACTTTATACGGTGAACCAAAAAAGAGATTTCCAAGCAAGCGAACTTTTTCCGTTTCAGAAGTAACTACTCAACAGAAAGAGAAGGATAGAGACTATATCGATTGACTGATAGTTTGTCTTTGAAAATTCTGTCTGAAACTAAAAAGTCATGACATCTGTGACTTTATTCTCCAAAAGGAGACAATACAGAATTTGGAGGGGAGAGTTGTAAGAAAGGCCTCAAACGATATAATTACACCAATTGAAAATCCTTTTCCTGTTATCCATCAATGCCCTAAGCTCTAATGCTAAGGCATTTTGTAGATCTTAAGTCAAATTGACCAAATGTAGGTCATAAGTCAAACATTATGTAGGTCATAAGTCAAACATTATGTAGGTTGGAACTCGGAAGTCAAATCCGAAGACCCCGACAATAAGGCTATAGTGAATGAGACAATGTATCCTCCATGATAGATATCAGTAGAAAATCAATCCACCCTGTGGACACATTGCGAAACCTGTTGGAAAGCATTGCTTGCTTTTTTATTGACTTTCGCGGAACGCATTTCCCAGGGACCTGGTTGGATGCCGAACGTCACGTCACTGTTTGTCTATTTCGGGCCTTTTATCAGAGGATAATACCACATCAGTGTTTATGTGGGTACAGTGTTTCTCATAAAAGGCGTGCAAATTTTGAAGTGGTTGCAAAACGTAGTGGAATGGTAAACAGTATAGGCCCTACTATAGAATCTGTACAAAAAACTCCAGCAAACCAAATTATAGTTCATCGAGAGAAAATAAAACAAAATGTCCGTTCTTCAGAATATGTTGTGGTATCTAGACGTTCGCACTGTATTACTGTGCGTGGCTGTCCTTCTGGTTCTTCGGTGGTTCTTGGGGCGACCTAAGAACCTCCCTCCTGGCCCCTGGGGGTTCCCACTCATCGGTTCCGTTCCGGCCATTGTACGTGAGATACGACGAGGCGTGGAACCCCACGATCTCTTCATGAGGTATGCTGCGAAGTACGGGCCCGTGTTTCGTCTGAAAGTCTTCAACAAGACAGTGGTGGTCCTCAATGACTACACCTCCGTGAAGGAAGCTTTCCAACATCCTCAGCTGAACGACAGACCCAAGATGTATTTGGCCGAGCTCTTCAAAACTGAAGGTATGCGGCAAAAATGAGTACACACTACATTTCAAACAAGAGTTGAGATGTCTGATTTTTTTTACATTGCAAACAATGTTTAGATTGTCTGATTTTATGAGATTGTTTACCGAGCAATCCCTTAAAAAATATTGCATGCCGACTACGGAGATACCTTTAAGTAGGCAACCAACAACAACATAACAAACAACCAACAACTGCCCATTTTTCCTTTTCGGTAGTTATATCACCAGGGCTCCACATACAGGTTGTCCATAAAAAAAAATCAGTCGAATCGGGCATGTTTTCAGAAAAGTGGGGGTAGTATTCAAATCGTGTGTAATACATTGCTGAGTGGAATAATCGGTCTTCCAAATGCTTTTTGGTTAGTTTCATTAGGACGTTTTGTTCAAAAGATACAGCGATCAAAATACGGCAATTGAAAAACCACTTGGGCCACTTTTATACTCCAACAAAGGAAACAAATCTTTTGTGTGTTTCTTTAACTGCGTTTCTCACTTTCAAGGAAAGTGGCCCAAGACGATTTTCAACCCTTGAGTTTGATGAAGCATAGCGTTTGTTCCAATGCATCGATTTGAATGAAATAAAGTTTGCATGGTAGATTACTTATCTGACTTTAAGAGGTAATTTGAAAATATTCCGAATTGGTTTTCGACTGTTAGGGTTTTTTTGTGGGACAACCTGCAGTCCCGTACCATGTTTTCTAAGAAAAGTCTCAGTGGATTAGATTATTTTATCAGGCAAGTTTTAATTGATTGGTTAGCATGAACATTACATTAGTAATTGTATATTTCTTTGATTTGACAGGTGTATTAATGGCGTCTGGCCAGCCCTGGATCGAGCTTCGTCGTTTCTGCTTGACCGTCCTCAGGAGCTTCGGAGTGGGCAAAACGAGCTTTGAGGAGAAGGTCGGCACCGAAGCTGAGGAACTGATGAAGGAGATGTCTGCTTTCAACGGGAAGCCATTTGACCCCAAAGCTCTGCTTGGTAACGCAGTATCCAATGTCATTTGCTCCGTTGTATTCGGAAAGCGGTACGAGTACAGTGACAAAGAGTTCCAGAAGCTTCTTTTCTTACTTGGCCAAAATGTCAAGCTGCTTGGCGCAGGCGGTGCTCTCAATTTCTTCCCGGCTCTTCGCTATCTGCCTTTCGTATCGACCGATAAGTTGATGTCAAATTTGGATAAACTCCGGACTTTTTTAAAAAGTATCGTCGACAACCACCATGCTGCCTTCGACCCCGACAATCTGAACGATTTCACTGACGTTTACTTGAAGGAACTGAACAACAATGGCCATCTTCCTGAAAAAGGGTTAGGTGGAACCATAGCAAATCTCTTCTCGGCTGGTTCTGAGACAACGGCCACTACGCTCCAGTGGGCCCTCCTGTACATGGCTGTCTACCCCGAGATCCAGCAGCGAGTCCAGGCCGAGATCGACGCCGTGGTCGGTCGCAACCGGCTGCCTAGGATGGCCGACAAACCGGAGCTGAACTTCACCCGAGCCGTCATCTGGGAGGTTCAACGCCTGAGTCTGATTGTGCCGTTGGGTGTTGCACATGCTGCTGCCGCAGACACCCAATTCCGTGGCTTCTTGATTCCTAAAGGCACCCTTCTCTTTCCAAACTTGTGGGCGGTGGCCCGTGACCCCAAAGTATGGTCCGATCCCGATCAGTTCAAACCCGAGAGATTCCTAAACGACAAAGGCGAGGCAGTTCAGGCTGAGGAGTTGATACCGTTTAGCATTGGTCGTCGGAGCTGTATCGGTGAGCACCTGGCTAAGATGGAGTTGTTTATCTTCTTCAGCTTCTTCATGCATCAGTTTACCTTCAACAAACCAGACAACTCGTCTCCACTGTCCCTTAAAGGAAGGGGCGGTATCACCTACTCGCCCAAGGAATTTGACATACGTGCCATGAAGCGCGAGTAACTGAAACAATGACTTATATAAATACGAAGGGACTATAGGAAGGATCGCCAACTTCTTTTTTTAATCCTGACATTTTTTCGATTTGTTTTGCTAAAATTCTGCAAACTTTTCCCCAAAAATTTCGAATAAAACTTATGTTTTTCACCTCAAGACACTTTCACTGATGATGTAGACCATGTCACATGTGGTGTGGTTGCCCGTAGGCAAACAGTCCCCCAGCTTCTATCATGACTGTGCAAAGTACGTTTCAACCCCAATATTCCTAGTGATTTGCAGTGTAGAATAAAATAGATAGCTGAAAGTCGGTGTCACGTAATCACGGCATTTACAAGTGTGAGATGGGCCAAATATTCCTTATCAAATGAAATGTATATAGTACTACAGTGTGAGTCCAAAAAAACTATACACTTTAAAAAAAATTGGCCATAGTTTTTTCTGTAGTAATATAGATGAGATATGTTCACATGTACTTTTAGAGTAATTTTTCCTGCTTCTTTTGGTGACATTTTCACTGGATTAGTTTTCATGCATGACTGCAGAGGAGACAATTAAAGGGGTCGGGTGAACTCTGACTTGCGCCAACTGGTCAGGGCTGGATAAGAATGAGACAATTTAAAAGAACACATCCATCGTCTTGGTTCTGGTCATGGAATGCATAATCAGTTCAGATTTGTGGATCTTGCTTGCAAGAGTTTCAGTATAGGCATATCTGGATGACCTCCAGGAAAGGATAACTCGTGAAATCGACATTCTCAACAAGACAGGGAGGTGATTCGCCGTGCTGTTGCAGGAATGATGCGCCGAGCCCAGCTGTGCATTGAACGAGATGGTGGCCATGTTGAGGACTAAGACACCGGGGAATTTAATTGCCTTTTTAATTAAATTTAAATGTTTTGAATAAACACGAAGTTTAAAAGCTAATGAAATCCTATTTTGTCTCTTTGTTAGACAATGGTTGTGTTCTTTTAAATTGTTTCTTTCTTATCCAGCCCTGACCAGTTGGCGCAAGTCAGATTTCACCCAACCCCCTTTATTGTCTCCTGTGCAGTTACATGTATATGCATGAAAACTAATCCAGTGAAAATGTCACCAAAAGAAGCAGGAAGAGTTACTCTAAAAGTACATATGAAAATATCTTATCTTTATTGCTACAGAATAAAACTATGGCCAATATTAAAAGTGTATAGTTTTTTGACTCGCACTGTAAGGCGAAGTAAAAAAAAAAACATGTTTAGCGTCCCCGCCCGCTTCCTTTTTAGAGGCCGCCTCCTTTTTTTTTTTTTTTTTTTTTTTTTTAAAGACAAAAATTGATAAATTTTAACGATCTCTGACGAAAGAAATCGTATTTTTAGACTTTTATACCGTGTATAAAGCTGTGGAAATAGTCAATGAGTCCAAGTGGCGGCCATTTTGAAAAAAAGCTGGTAACCATCTTGAAAAATAGCCCGGCCGCGTTGTCTTGAAAAATGTGTCGGGCGGCCATTTTGAAAAAAAAAGAAAAAAAAAAGGGCCTCCTCCTTCCTTTTTGTCAAAGAGGCAGGACGCTAAACATGTTTTTTTTATTTATTTTGCCTAATTTATAGGTCCGCTTAAGCCAGAACACGTCATTGAACGGGCCGTCTACTGACGCGTATACGATCGTTGTGCATGTGTCTAGCCATGGGAGCATAAGCTCTTTTTAGGCAAAATAAAAAAAAAACATGTTTAGCGTCCTGCCTCTTTGACAAAAAGGAAGGAGGAGGCCCTTTTTTTTTGTTTTTTTCTTTTCAAAATGGCCGCCCGACACATTTTTCAAGACAACGCGGCCAGGCTATTTTTCAAGATGGTTACCAGCTTTTTTCAAAATGGCCGCCACTTGGACTCATTGACTATTTCCACAGCTTTATACATGGTATAAAAGTCTAAAAATATGATTTCTTTCGTCAGAGATCGTTAAAATTTATCAATTTTTGTCTTTTAAAAAAAAAAAAAAAAAAAAAAAAAAGGAGGCGGCCTTTTAAAAGGAAGCGGGCGGGGACGCTAAACATGTTTTTTTTTTTTACTTCGCCTTATGTGTGTACTTCTTTGTTTGCTCCAATATATTTTGCGTGGTCCTTTAAAGCCTTGGTCTATTTTTAACCACCAAGATTATTTGACTGTTTTTATTTGCATATTGTCTCCATCTCTGGCTATCCCCATCCTCGCGGGAGCCATGGAAGTATCTTAGCAAATATTTTAATAGGCCTTTTTTGTACTACGATGTGGCTGCACATTATGTCATTCGATTGGCAAACATTGCATTAAATAGACTTATTTGTGAGAGTGGACAAGGATCGGATCAATCATGGAAATCGATTGCCACGTTTCATTCGGTCATGCCACGAGCTGAATCCCAAATGAGCCTCAGCCAAATCTGAATTCCAACTGCGCATGTGCAGTTCGAGTTTTTGACGATTTTCATCTCCTGGATATAGACCCATCCAGACACGTGATAGTGTAGACACACGATGACTCATATATGCCCAGATGATATACACACTCTAGCAGGGAAATATTATGATGGGTAATGGTAATCTAATCTGCAATCTGTTAATCAACTTAGACATATTGTTAACACTTCAGAACAGGAGCCCCCCCCCCCTAATTCGTTGGTCCCCACTATGTTTGTGCAGTTTGCCCGCATATTCTACCCAACGAGAACATCGTCAAATCTGGAAGAACGCGTAGAAAGGCTTATGACCATGGGTGTCGCGGGGGGGGGGGGGAGGGGCAGGGGGGGCACTCCCCCCCCCTTGGAAAACGAGGGGGGGGGGGGAAAGGGGGGAAGGAAAAAGGAAAAAGAGGTCCGAAGCCATATTTTTGTTAATTTGATGGGGGGGGGGGGGGGGTAGGGCAAATGCTCCCCTGCTCACGCTCGGAAAAATTGTAAATTGAGAAGATAATGAAAAAGTTAATGAATTTTGGGGAAAAATTGCTTTGCCCCCCAGAAAAAAAATCCTGGCAACGCCCATGTTTATGACCTACATGATGCTTATCAGGTCAGCTCGACGCATAACCTACATATTAGTAAATGATCAATTTGACTATTCACCTACATAATTCTTGATGGCGATGTGACTTATGCCCTACATCAATAGGGCGTTGCGTGGATTTTTTTTACGGGGGGGGGGGGGGGGAATTTGGGGTGTTGCATCACTCAAACCAGAAATGACTGCAGTTCCACCGCGCGAAACTGTATGGCCTTCCAAGAAGACTTAAAACCTTGGGAGAGAATATATTATGCGTCTCGATATTTCCCAAAATATAACTCCTCACAATAATATAGGATATTGCCCCCGAAACACTTGAACGTGAATGCAACAGTATATACTGCAGGCAATGGCGCCAAATGTTACATTAATGATTACAAACATGTAACAGCGTCATGTATAGTCAGTTGGCGGTCGGTCAGCCAGCCCCCCCCCCCCTCCCACTCACCCCACCCGTTCTTCCTCCGTCACCCCTTCCCCAGAACAGTCTTGCCAAGACATCACCGTTGCGAAATTCAGACCCATCATGTAGCTGTATTATAATTTTCTGCCTGCAAATCACTCTTCCTTTTGGGGAATCACAAAAGAAATATACTCAATTGTGTTTTGGGGGAGACTGAGAATATAAATTACAATTACTGTAATAACAATGCGCTATAGCACTTGAAGTGTACGGATAAAAAAAATAAAAAATGAGATTTTGGAATATTTTGAATTGAATTACAGACATTAAAAAAATTGAATGTGAAAGTAATCCGAGTTTAATTTCCAGATGCAACTTAAAAGTGTACTCCAACTCACAAAATGGCCATGAAGTAGTTTGGCTATAAACATCATATAGGGCCTACATGCTTAAAATGAAAAGAAGTCCCTTTTTTCTCCTAACGTTAATTGTGTGAAGGTGCTTTGGGAAACGAAGGAGACTTTCATGGTTAATGCATTTTAACAATGACACATTGGAACGTATTGTACGACGGGTTCTTTGTTGGAAGTAGGGGAAAGGTTGGTACGGCCAGATATTCTATTTGAAGCAGAGACCAACCCACGCTATCATGAACCATGCCCTCCAATTCTTTGGGCGGACCACGTTGTTGCGATGCGCGACATTGTAGTGCAAAGTTTGTGCTTTGGATATGGACCCTTCGTGCCCCTTCAGGTATTCTTGCCAACCTCCAGCCAAAAAAAAGGAGACTGAAAAAAAGGAAATCAGGTGAATTGCAAATTGCCTACGATTTTATTTGCAGAAAGAATTATCGCACTCGAATATTCGGTCCGCAAAAATTGTCAGTGCAGTAGGACGAAGCGCGGTTAGATTATAACGTGCCTGCGCATTTTTAAGCCGGCCTCGGGTAAACCTTGCGACGACACAAATCCGACGGCGACAGACTTTTCAGGATCAAGCTGCGTCTGAGCTACGGCGACCGTCGGGAACAACTCAGTCGCCGATTTTGTGTGACCTGAGTGTAACTGCGACGATTTTAAAACGATCGGCATCAGTTAATTGTCGCTCAAAAAATCACCAGTCGCAAGAGCTCTCCAATGTGCTTGAGACACACATGAAATCAAAGCTTATTTCGTCATCTTTCATTTTCGGTTAAATTTTTCAGGGGTAATCTGATGACTTTTTGGAGAAATGTGACCACCCCCAAAAGTAGTCCTGACGCCCCATTGCAAAATAGAGCGATTTTATGGCCCAATTTCACCGAAATATCATAGGAAAACAAGCTCGCAGATCCGTCCACGGCTTCCAATCTTCCTTGTTTTCCTTTTTTTTTAACAAACCCTCAAGTTCATGGCCCTCAAAATGCTCTAATATCCGAAAATTCGAGGGCTTGCAAATCTTGATTTGGCCGGTGCAGGCCATTCGGGGCCTAGTTACTCGCCTGGACCCATACACTCGTATCATGCATGGTGTAATAACTATTGTTCCTAAGTATCGGCGACACCAAACAAAAGTAGGTCATTGATACTATTTTAATGTCTGAATCGTATTCTTTTAATTTCTCGGTTTCACATTTTATAAAATGAAAATGGACGACATAGGCTACTCAAAAGGTAAGTGTGAGGAATTTAATGTGTGTGGTTAGTGGAGGTTTTCCCCTGACATTTAGTTCAAATGGGAAAATTATTTTGAACTTTTTCGAGAGTAATGCCATTCGTAATCGCTTTTAATTTGCCATTACTATATCACTACAAGTGATTTATTCTTAGTCATTATAGTATAATGAAATATGTTCTAAGTGACTTTAAACTTATGCCAAAGTTTCCTTGCTAAATGGATGCGCCCTGACAGTAAACGCAAGCCCCACTAATAAGCTGATGTAGAAATTTTTTTTTTATATCTGTGTTCGGTACTTCGGGACTCGGAAATAGAATAATAATTAGCATAATCCCTTAAAAATAATCTAAACCGGAAATGTAAAATAGCGACCAAAACAATCCAGACCCATGTAGCTCTGTCAATGTTTTCTGCCTGCAACTCCTATCTCCTTCTTTGGGGGAAGTACATTGGACTATTGTCTGGTTTTTTTTTAGAATCTATAATTAGGCTACAGTAATAATAATGTGAAGTAGCACTTGCGGTGTTCAGATAAAAACAGTTTTTGGAATACTCTGAATTGAATACAATTTAAAGACTCTGAGAGTATTCTGAGTTTAATTTCCAGATGCAACTTCCAAAATTCCAAAATTTCCAAAAGTGCACTCCAACTCACAAAATGGCCTTGAAGTAGTTTGGCTATTAACATGTACATCTAAATGAAAACAAGTCCTTTCTACATGTACTCCTCAACGTTAAAGTGATTGTGCGAAAGCGCTTTGGTAGGCTTATTCATGGAGGAGACTTTCATGGTTAATGCATTTCAACAATGACCCATTGGAAAGTATTGTACGTGTGACGGTTTCTTTGACGTTGGAAGTAGGGGAAAGGTTGGAACGGATAGACATTCTGTCTGAAGCAAATAACAATCCACGCTATCATGAACCATGCCCTCCTTAGTATTAGTACCTTAGCACGGCAGATAGGCAATGGGATTGTTGGCCTTTGACAACCATTTGGCACACAGTCAGTGTATGTCATGAGAAACATGTTTGCCTATACATGGACGTCGCGAGGGGGGGGGGGAACAAGGGGGGCGCTTGCCCCCCTGGAAAAGCAAAAAAAAAAAAAAAAAAAAAAAAAGGGGGGGGGGGGAAGAGAAAAAAAGAAAAGAAAAAGAGGCGCGAAGTCATAGTGGTGTAAATTTAATGAGTTGGGGGGGGGGGGCAAAATGTCCCTGCTCCCTCTAAAACTGATAAATCGAGAATTTGTTGAGAAATACAAGAATTTTTGGTGAAAAAAAAATATGTTTTGCCCCCCTAGAAAAAATCCTGGCGACGCCCATGTGCCTATATATAGTGTCATCGCAGATTTGTCCTTTAAAAAAATATAGGTAGAATAATGACCAATGGTGGCCATTTTTAAAATTGTATTACTTGATATTCTACCTATATATATTTTAAAGGTCAAATCCGAAATGGCCCTATAGCCAAATATCTTTCTCATGACATACTCTGACTGTGTGCCAAATGCCATGCTTGTATCATCAAAGGCACAATTCCCCAAATATTTCTCTATCTGCCCCAGTATCCTGGATCAATACTGCAAGCAAACTCCCACGGATGTACAGGTTGCAGGTGTTTGAGGCTCAGGACCGTCTAATTATGTTGACGATAACTAATTGATGTTTGATAAATTGATTTCTCGGCGAGCCATAATTACTTCGGGCGGTCCATTCTGCCATGTTGTTAAGATGCGCGACATAGTGATGTATTTGTGCCAGAGTCACAGGTGAACCCTTCGTGCCCTTTCAGGTATTCACTCCAACCTCCACCCCCAAAAGGAGAATGAAAAAAAATAATCAAGTATAAAAGCAAATTGCCAAATCTTTTATTTGCAAAAGAAACACCGAAAGCGAACGTTAGGTCCGCAAAGGAGAGACGCTCCTAATTCAGTAGGGCGGAGCGCAGTTAGATTGTCACGCATGCGCATTTAATACGCGCGGCGACCAATCAACCAGTCACGATCAAACCGTCCGAAATACGTGGCTACGGCAGCTTGAAATTACGCACGAGTCTATGTGAAGTGGCTGCAGCCGCTACCATAGACTCGTGTGTAATTTCAAGCCACAGCCAAGTAATTCGGACACGGCTTAAGTCATATTTGTCTTGAAACAATAAATTCTGATAATGATCACGAACAGCGCCATCTAGTGTCAATTCGGGCTCAACGTACACCTTCCCTCGCTTTAAATTTCCAAAGTCAGGAAAGTTTCAGGATTTCCTCCAATCGTCCGACATAAAATATACGCCCTTAGGCCTATATTTTACAATAACATGACATCCCCAAGACATCTATTGGTAAAAGAGTATATTGGTCATGGTGATAATCTACCCAGGGGATTTATCCTCGCAGGCCTTAACGAATATCGTAATTTTTTTCAAACCACCTTCAGTGATTGTTCTCTTCCAAACAATACCATTTCAGGCGGAACAATTTCACGGTGTATTTGGTATTATACCATGCAGTCCTTTCTTCACTTTGAGTGAGGTTGCTCATTAAATCGGTCGGTAAAAAGCATCTTAGGTCGGTTCTGTAGTTGAGGATGTTGGAAAGCTTCCTTCACGGCGGCGAAGTCATTGAGGACAACCACTGTCTTGTTGGAGATCTTCAGACGAAACATGGGCCCGTACTTGGCAGCATACCTCATGAAGAGATCGTGGGGTTCCACGCCTCGTCGTATCTCACGTACAATGGCCAAAACGGAACCGATGAGTGGGAACCCCCAGGGGCCAGGAGGCAGGTTCTTAGGTCGCCCCAAGAACCAGCGAAGAACCAGAAGGACAGCCACATACAACAACACTGTGCGAACGTCCAGAAACCACATCATGTTCTGAAGAACAGACATTTTTCTTTACCCCACTGTCTACCACAACTCCTAATACAACTGGCAGATTGACAGTATGCCTATATTAACTAGAAATCATACGGCTGTACTGCTTAGGGCGTTTTGCAATGTTTGGTCCCAGCAAGATAATAGGCTTTCTCCGATATTTCTCGTTAGCCAAAATGCAAGCAAAGGAGACCTTGCAGCGTTGTTTGTTCTACGATTATCTCTGCAAGCACAGACATCCCATAATGTGTCATTTTGAATGGACATGCACTACATGTACGGCTATTAAGTATTATAACCTGTTTTGTTGAGATTTTTTGCAATCGAAGATGAAGACGCACGTTGCCATTTACGTACGGAGGTTGTCAAAATGCGGTGTTTAGATTGTTTATTATTTACTTATCACATTTCCAAGGTCTGGGTCAAAGAAATCCACATTCATTTACTCAATTGTCAAACTGTTTATGTACATCAAAGTTTCTTTCCAAAAAAATGATTTAATCATTCAAGTGTCTTTCCTAAGAATTACTATTCGTGCCTTATTCTTTTGACAATTTATTTATATATATTTAGCAATGGTTTAAAAAAGCTATCAAAATGGTTAAAAATATTCAATTCTTAAATGAAACCATCACCGTTGTATTTAAATCATACAGGCGCACAGTCTAGAAAACTAGGTGTGATGATGTACATTATACAACCTAAGCTCTGCAGCTTTGAGTGCTTCTTATTTAATGTGATCACAGTTTTAAGGAGCGAATTTGAAAGTAAAACATCCAATTATACATCGAACCTATAGATTGTTCTTTGTAGGACATTCCAAATGTTCCAGTATGGAAACATTACTGTATGGGTCTATACAAGCCAACTGTTCCAATGTGTTTAGAGAACCTCTTGAAAAGACCAAAGTCGACACATTGGTTGATTGTTCTATAGGCCTATGTAACAGTCCATGTCATTTAGTCATGTCATAACTTTACTGACAAGCACTTGACACTAAACTCTACAGTAAGATGTGCCGGTTCTGTTAGTTTTTAGAATGAAGTGGCGAAGAAAAGGACCAACGTGCTTGGAAGGTAGTACAGTTATTAAAAGAATTAAAAATTTTCTGGGTAACTTCGCAAGATCCAGGTATAACTTTTGAAAGTTACGGTAATTAGCAGACAAAATTAATTGGAAATAGGAAGAAAGGAGACTTAGGAGAGTATAGTGGAACCGACGGCATCTCCCTGTACACTCTAAAATGTTCCTGCTGGTCAGATTGACCAAGGGTCCGAGTTCTGAAATGGCCTAAGCCTTTTCCGGATCAAAAACGATACTTTTCCAGGTCAAAATGACACTTTTTGCCAAGGTTTCCGCTTCAAAATAACCTGGAACATTGTCATTTTGACCCAGAAGAATTTTTTTTTTTAACCCGGAAAAGGGTTGAGCCAAAATAGAACCCGGATTTCAGGTCAATCTATAGGGACTGCATAATGTTGTGTAACCTTAATCGCGCTTTATGGCACAGATTTTAAATTCCTTGGGCGAGTGGGTGAGACCTCCTCTTCCCTTCAGAGACAGTGTGGGTGAGTCGTCCGGTTTCTTGAAGGTAAACTGATGGAGGAAGAAACTGAAGAAGACCAACAACTCCATCTTAGCCAGGTGCTCACCAATGCAGCTCCGACGACCAACGCTAAACGGTATCAACTCCTCAGCCTGAACTGCCTCTCCCTTGTCGTTGAGGAATCTCTCGGGTTGGAACTGATCGGGATCGGACCATACTTTGGGGTCATGGGCCACCGCCCACAAGTTGGGGACAAGGAGTGCACCCTTGGGAATCATGGAGCCATGGAACTGGGTGTCTGAGGCAGCAGCATGTGCAACACCCAACGGTACTACCAGACTCAAGCGTTGAACCTCCCAGATGACGGCTCGAGTGAAGTTCAGTTCGGGTTTGTCGGCCATCCTGGGCAGCCGGTTGCGACCGACCACGGCGTCGATCTCGGCCTGGACTCGCTGCTGGATATCGGGGTAGACAGTCATGTACAGGAGGGCCCACTGGAGCGTAGTGGCTGTGGTCTCAGAACCAGCAGCGAAGAGGTTCGCAACGGTTCCAGCAAAACTGTGTTCAGTGATATGACCATGTTTGCTTTCATTACCTTTTCTAAGTTTTGTTTGATTGTTCTTCATTTCCATCAGGTATACATCGATGAAATCGTTCAGATTGTCGGTGTCAAAGGCGGCACGATGGTTGTCAATGTTATTTATTAGGAATGTCAGTATAGCCTTAATATTCGCTACCAACTTGTCAGTCGACATGAATGGCACATGACGCAGAGCTGGGAAGAAAACCAATGCACCGCCAGATCCCAACAACTTGACGTTTTCTCCCAACATGGACAGAAGCTTCTTAAACTCTCCATCTGTGTATTCGTAGCGCTTCCCGAAAATGACAGAACAGATGACGTTGGATACTGCATTACCAAGCAGCGGTTTGGGGTCAAAGGGCTTTCCGTTGAAAGCAGACATCTCCTTCATCAGTTCCTCAGCTTCAGTTCCGATCTTCTCCTCGAAGCTCGTTTTGCCCACTCCAAAGCTCCTGAGGACAGTCAAGCAGAAACGACGAAGCTCGATCCATTTTTCACCAGAGGCCGCTGCTACACCTATATTAATCAGAGTAGAAAGAAAAATACAAAACTGTATTTTATTAAATTCAGTTATTGGGTAATATTTTCACCATTGGCAAAGTAGTTCCACAATGAGTTTGACTGAGTCCTAGCAAGTGATTGTAAATAAAAAAAGTCCTACTCGTTAGAGTGACCCAGAATTCAAAAATCACACTTTGATCTAGACCCAGAAAACTTGGTAAAAGGTCATTTGCGGAAAAGGGTTAGGTTGAGTAAAAACCGGATTCTGTATCAATCTTAAGAGGAACTTTTTAAAGTGTGCCTTTCCACTGACCCCGCTTCCCCAGTCTCAGCCATACACAAATTATACAAATGAAATGGCGAAAAAAAAGATGCTGAAAAGGCACTTTCGTTTGTAATAAATTGAAGTCATTTAAAAACCGAACATCTTAAGTATAATCTTTGTAATACAAACCCCCTCCAACTCCCACCCTTCAGCCCCCCCCCCTCCCAACCTCCCAAAAAAATAATGCTGTTAGGCGCACATCCAGAGGGGCTTTTGGGGGTCAAGCCCCCCCCCCGAAAAAAAATTAAATAAATATAATATATATAACAGGATGTGCATCAGTAACAATTATGTGCTGTATTATCACGTCCACATAATTATAACAAAATCTGAAGGGCCTGACACCCCCCCCCCTGCAACTGCTGGATTCGCCCCTGTACTGGGTATTACCTTCAGTGTCAAAGAGCTCGGTGAAAAGCACTTTAGGTCGGTCCTGCAGTTGAGGATGTTGGAAAGCTTCCTTCACGGAGGCGAAGTCATTGAGGACAACCACTGTCTTGTTGAAGACTTTCAGACGAAACATGGGCCCGTACTTGGCAGCATACCTCATGAAGATATCGTGGGGTTCCACGCCTCGTCGTATCTCACGTACAATGGCCGGAACGGAACCGATGAGTGGGAATCCCCAGGGGCCCGGAGGAAGGTTCTTAGGTCGCCCCAAGAACCAGCGTAGAGCAAGAAGGACAACCATACACACCAACACGGTGCGAACGTCTAGGAACCATGACATGTTCTGGAGAAGAGACATGTTTCACCAGTCAAAATTGTTTGATGTCTTGGAAAGGATTTTGTCCGATAATTTGGCCCAAAAAATACACATAAAACCGAACAAAGTTCACGACCTGTGATGTACTAGACCAGACAGGGTATACTGTGTACGTGTAGTGTAGTCAATGCACGTGTAGTCAATGCACGCACATGCAGACAGTCTTTGCAAATTGTTGGCTCTGATATAGTCTGTGTATGACCGGCTGTGCATTGCATTACGTGCGATATGACTACACCTTTGACCCTATAGGCACAACAATGCTATGGGTAAGCTTATTTCTCATTGGGTAGAGCGAAGGCGCGGAATTTCACCTCAGGGTCATGTAAAGCTTTTTTTGACGAAAATAAAATTAGGTTCTGTGCTTTGAACGTGACTGCGCGAAAATCGGTTTTTAAGTGTTTTGGTCTCGCTCATGTCTGTTATTTTGCTGCAAACAGCCTGAACTTAAAGGGCCTATTTATTTTTGTAATATTATTTTAACGCAATCCTTAAAAATGCAATTTTTTGTTTCCGAGTCCCATTTAAGTTTTCATTGTGCCAAGTTCAAGTGTCGTTTAGTGCCTTTTTGGTTTTTGCTAATGCATATTAGGCAGAAACCTCAATGTTACAGCTATATGTCAGCATCAAAAGCTGCCAGATGTTTTGATAATTTGCTGTGTTAAATTTTCTATTCTTTGGTGATTCAACATGACAGTAACCCAATGAGCAACCTCGTCCCCAGTGCTTACTTTATTTCCAACCGCGTTTCCAATAGTAAACCCTGGATAGGAAACTTTCTTCCTGTATCCTGATTGGATACCGCAATTGGCTAGTAATGGATTTTTATCGTGTACTTGGTGCTATATATTCACAACGTGCAGTAGGCCTACGTGTTTTCGCGATGCATTCGTCCACGCCTTCTCGAAAAAACTAATTTCCTTTCCAATTTGCTCATATTAATATGAAATATGATACTGCATGTTGTCTTGATAAGATCGTAACAGTTTGATTTCAAAAATCGTGTTTTCGTAACTCACGCCGTGCTCGCGCTGCTACGAATTAACTCTGTTTTACCCCAGACACCGCATACAAAAACAAACGCTAATGTGTAAACGCATATCCAGGCACCAGACTGTTCCTCATTTGCATACGTGTGCAAAAATCTTGCACATGCAAATGATCCAATACCAGGGTGAGAGAGCAGGTAGTGGTGGGCGCGTACTGCTCGACACCCTGGGGACGAGGTTGCCCAATGAGAAACTTTTCTAATGTTTTCAATGAGCAAATTGTTATATGTTCACAATTTGAACACAAAGCACGAAACTTCCTAAAATGACATCCCTGCAACAGCGCTCTCAGTTGTCAAGGAACAGCATGGACACTGTAATGATTAAAGAAGTACCTTTTTCAATACAATTTATATTCATTGAAATTTGAATAGTAAATTAAACAGTTTCCACACATTTTAAGAGGAGTAGAAAGTTACACAAAATGCAATGTTGTAGTGGAGTCCATCACCTGTCTCCGCAAGTCACTTGAAGTCCACAAGGCCTACTCAGTGCGCTGCAGATTGAAACAAAGCGCAAACGATGCAGTGCCAAGAGAACAAGGCTGACAAAACAACTGAGAAAATTCTGAGATTCTGGGAACACAAATAATGACAAGCACCAAAGAGGGGTGGGGTTCATCTAGCTATAGCTCCGTCGCATATCTTGCTTCAAATGTCACTGAAGGGGATTTTCATGGTTAATGCATTATCATGAAGAACAAACCGTTGGAACTTTCTTGTACCATCGTGACGGCTTTCATGTGGAAAGTACGGGAAAGGTTGCGGAACGGACAGAAAATCTAATTGGAGCAGATAACAACCCACGTTATCATGAACCATGCCCTCCTTATTAGCCGGAATACTTTGAGTAAACAATTGTGACATATTTTTGAGCGAACGAGGGCCCTAGCTATTCCTATAACTTGGAGTACGAATGGGAATACAACATTACAAGTTGCTAGGATTCCAAAAGTACATAATAACAATAGTTAATGGCTTCGTGCGTCAACAAGTGAAGTTTTTTTTTTTACCACTTTTGAGAGCCCCGTGGACGGGACATACAGCATGCGCGTGTCGCGCGTGTCGCGCGCGCATGTGCATGGCGCGAAATACGCACATTGCAACTAATTATATTCTGGATGTGCGGGAAGAATACAGCGTCTCCGGCCTTCTTGCAGGTACTAGGTGAGGGGGCACCTTTGCACGGAGTCCATATTTAGACAATCTCGTTCCCATGGTGTCGAGCAAACAAACAAACACTGACTTAAAACACAGCCAGGCACCAGACTATTCCTACTTTGCATAGGCCCTACATGTGCAAGATTTGTGAACATGCAAATGATCAAATACCAGGGTGAGAGAGCCGGTAGTGCTGGGAGCGAAGACACAGCATTACTCTTTATCGCTAGGGTCGGGCAGAGCTGGCATGGAATTTGACGCAGGAACAATGTATGCGAAAGTATATGTGTATGCTGTTTATATAAATCATAGTTGTGTGTACATGTACTTTCGTACATATGAGGAAAGTGACCTACTCATTCTGTAGACTATGATATACTTATTATGCGTGCAGATTATGCAAAACAACACTGCATATTGACCTCCGACTTCTGACCATTCAGTGGGCGCCATCTTTCGTGGACCCGCCCGATGTTGTATGACAACAAAAGGGTATTGATCAATAGACGGCTTTGGCGAAATTTCTGCTCTACATGACTCCAGCAGATAGGGGAATTGTGCCTTTGATGCAGGGGTGTAAATCCCGGGGGATGGGGGTGGGGGGTATAAATCCCCCGACCCGGGGGGGGGGGCTATTGAATCATCCCCCCCCCCACTTTTTTGTGATGAGAAAAAAAAGCAGATTTTTAGGTATTTTCCGAACGTCCCATCAACTAAAATGTATTCAAAAGCACTGAAAAGTGGAGAAACAACGTACAAAAGTTTTTAAAAATTTCCATGGCCGGGAAATTTTAGGATTTTGGTTATCCCCCCTCCCCCCCACTCGTCGGCACAGATTTATGCCACTGCAGTTTAATGACACAAGCATGGATTTTCTCACACAGTCAGAGTATGTCATGAGAAAGATATTTGAGAATAGGGCCATCGGAGATGTGTCCTTTGAAAAAATATAGGTAGAATAACAGGCAATTTTAGGATTTTCAAAATGGCTGCCATTGCTTGTTATTCTACCTAGATATTTTTTTCAAAGAAACTTCTGCGATGGCCCTATAGCCAAATGTCTTGTTCATGACATATTTGACTTTGTGCCAAATGCCACGCTTCAAGCATGATGCTTGTATCATCAAAGGCACGATCCCATCACCTATCTGCCGTATAGGCGTCTCCGATTGGCTGGCGCGCGATGTCGCACGAAAAGTAGTCACGTCATTATGTGAACGTATAATCCTCAGACTCCGTGTTTTGCTGCAAACAGCCTAAAAGGATTTATTTCTTTATTACATTTTTTTTTACCCAGGGTGTGCCCAAACAGTTTTTAAAAAATTGTTGCCATTGGGCCCCTGCATGATCACACACACACACACATGTACAAAATATAATGCATTACAAATACAATACAACACAATGAAATAAAATAAAAGCATACGCGATTACTGCATGACTATAAAAATTACTATACACACATGTGCAAAATAATACAGTACATTACAAATACAATACCCCACAATGAAATAAAAAGCATACGAGATTACTGCATAATTGTAAAGCAACTATTATAAATATTGTACAACATTACAAAGAAACAAATGAAACGACATCGCTAAGGTGATTTAAGTTTACGCGAAGAATTTGGACATTTCTTGTAACATCAGGTATAAGTCGAAGTATTTTTATATCGGTCCCTGAGTGAATTGGTATCGGCATGACTCCTATGAATATAATTCTTGGTGCAAAGTCCTTTTGTTTTCATCAGGATGCAACGTTCACTCCTGATTATACCAACCTGTAAGATATACCAAGCCTTCCACGAGAAGGCACAGGCATTGAGTTGTCTGGTTTCTTGAAAGAAAACTGATGCAATGAAGTCATGTCGAAGTTCATCTTTTGTTCACGCAGAATCCTCATCGTGCCGAACGTTATCAACGCGACAGTTTAACCGAATTTTGGAACGAAATCGTTTATAGTAAGGTTTAAATTGTTGAACCGACACAGGTTTTCAACAATGAGAGAATATTATGTCATCTGTCATGTCTTTATTCTTCGGTTTAATTGTGTCAATCGATTAGGCTCGGATTAAAGATTAAACCCTTCAAAGATCGAAGATACTGTAAATGCAATTTTAACTTAATAAGTAAATCAGGGAATGACCAAAATGGAAAGCAATTAATATAAAAAGTGGAATTCGAAAAGTTCCAATCGGACATTTTGTTATTTTTTAAGAAACGATGCACGGCGAATTGAAATGGCACTTCAAGGGGTTAGTATAAGGGAAAAAACCTAATGGATGTGGTATCTGGGGAATTTCCTTTTTTTTCTCCTCGTGGTGCCAGCCCCGAATACCTCGACCTATTTCAATCTCCAAAGAGTAAAATATTATCTGTCACTATTCCAGAGTCTACTACTTATCGACATAACCCCACAGAACAACCACGTGCAGATTTGTGAATCTGAAACTGATATATCTGATAAGACTTTTGCAAAATGTTTCTTAGTAGAAAACTGATGCATGAAGAATCTGAAGAAGGTAAACAAGTCCATCTTAGCCACTTCTTCTCTGTAGAACCTTAAACAGTTCGAAGCACTTTAGTCAGATTTGACTAGATAACACTAAAAAATTGCACACAGACGAACTGTTACATATTTGAATGGGTGTTTTATACACAAGCATACTGTCGCAATGTAGTGTTGGAAATTCTCGAAGATGCAATACTCTTGAAAGTTTGCTAACTAGAAAACAAAATAAATTTGGAAATAAGAAGAAAGAAGATAGTGGAACCTACAGCAACAAACTACGTTTTCACTCGCGCTTCATGGCGCAGATGTCAAATTCTTCTGGCGAGTAGGTGATACCATTCTTTCCTTTTAGAGACAGTGGAGACGAGTTGTCTGGTTTCTTGAAAGTAAACTGATGCAGGAAGAAACTGAAGAAGATAAGCAACTCCACCTTAGCCAGGTGCTCACCGATGCAGCTCCGACGACCAACGCTAAACGGTATCAACTCATCTGCCTGAACTGCCTCTCCCTTGTCGTTAAGGAATCTCTCGGGTTGGAACTGATCAGGATCGGACCATACTTTGGGGTCGCGGGCCACCGCCCACAAGTTGGGAACAAGGAATGCACCCTTGGGAATCATGAATCCATGGAACTGGGTGTCTGAGGCAGCAGCATGCGGAACACCGAAGGGTACAATCAAACTCAAGCGTTGAACCTCCCAGATGACGGCCCGAGTGAAATTCAGTTCCGGTTTGTCGGCCATCCTGGGCAGCCGGTTACGACCGACCACGGCGTCGATCTCTGTCTGGACTCGCTGCTGGATCTCGGGGTAGACAGCCATGTACAGGAGGGCCCACTGGAGGGTAGTGGCCGTGGTCTCAGAACCAGCAGCGAAGATATTTTCTATGGTTCCAACCAAGTTATCGTCTGTCAGGTAGCCGTGTTCCTCCCCGATGTCGTCTTTTGCTTGGTTGTTCTTGACTTCCACCAGGTATACATCAATGAAGTCTCTCAGATCATCTGCGTCAAAGGCAGCACGATGCTTGTCAATGACTTTTAGTAGGAACTCCCGGATCTCCTTGAAATTCGACACAATTTCACTGGTCGGCAAAAATGGCACATGTCGAAGTTCTGGGAAGTAATTGATGGCGCCACCAGATCCCAACAACTCGAAATTACGGGCGAGTAAAAAGAGCAGCCTCTCAAACTCTTTGTCGGTGTACTCGTAGCGTTTGCCGAAGACAACTGAACAAATAACGTTGGAAACGGCGTTGCCGAGTAAGTGTTTTGGATTAAAGGACTTCCCGTTGAAGGCAGACATCTCCTTCACCAGTTCCTCAGCTTCGGTGCCGATCTTCTCTTCGAAGCTCGTTTTGCCCACTCCGAAGCTCCTGAGGGCGGTTAGGCAGAAGCGACGGAGTTCGACCCAGGGCTGGCCGGAAATCGTGGCAACTCCTTCAAAAATAATTGGTAAATCATCGCAGTTAATTTTTTAATTTGTTATAAACATGGAAGAAGTCAACTGGAATTTCGAGTTTTTCTTTTGTCAGAGTGATCGAAGAAAGCCGAACTTGGGAAAATGAAAAAGATTTTCTCCCCGGCCGGTATGATCCCCCCGAATCTCAAAGATCATTCTCAAGCGATGGATGTGTGTAGAATTGATTACAAATTAGTGCTCTTACCATCGCTCAAAATCTTCTGAATAAGCATTTCAGGTCGGTCCTGTAGTTGAGGATGCTGGAAAGCTTCCTTCACGGAGGTGTAGTCATTGAGGACCACCGCAGTCTTGTTGAAGATCTGCAGACGAAACACGGGCCCGTACTTGGCAGCATACCTGATGAAGAGATCGTGGGGTTCCACGCCTCGTCGTATCTCACGTACAATGGCCGGAACGGAACCGATGAGTGGGAACCCCCAGGGGCCAGGTGGGAGGTTCTTCGGTCGCCCCAAGAACCAGCGAAGAACCAGAAGGACAACCACACACAGCAACACTGTGCGAACGTCCAGCAACCACATCATGTTCTGAAGAACGGACATATCTTGCAAATCGAAAGTTCATTTGATGACTTTGGGAAGGGATTTTGTCCGATAAAGTTTGCCCCACAGATAACAACCTGTGGTGCAGACAAGGTACATGTACCGTGTGTAGTCAATGCACAGTTACAGTCCTTGAACACTCCTAGCTATTTTCATACACACAATTGAGGGAAAGGCATTCGTGTGTTACGACTACACCTATCAACAATGACCTGTTACGTGCGAAAGCTTGTTTGTAATGGTGATTGTGATGGCTTTCTCCCTATCGTAGAGCTGGAATTGGTAAACCACGAAGCGTATTGTTGTGAAGCATTATTGTGTTTCCTTTAAATGTGGTCTGCGGCTGCAGGGCCGATTGGAATTTAAGTAATGCAATTGTCATGTTATGCAAGGCTGTCTTTATAAGTCAACCACTGTATTGTACTCGGCGCAGTTGGTCTAGAGGCGCCGTCGACAACGCCCAACATTTATTACTGTTCGCTTCACGATGTAATCTTATCTTATGTTCAGTTGAGTTGTCAGAAATAAATTATTTGGACCCAGAATTGGTCTCCGTATTTATATTTCTTTGAGTTTTGTCCTCGTCGATCCCGGTAGTGTTTAGCAACACAACAGTATCGTCTATGAACTTTGTGCACACGATACGTCACTTAATAGGCCTGAGACCTAATGACGTCACGCTTTGTTTACGTGTGCGCTTTCCTATGCGGTAGACGGTTCCTACTCGTCTGGCGTCCCGACTTCGCCCCCATTGGAAAGCTCATAAACAAAGCCGATACGTCATCTTAGGTCTATTCGTGGTGCGACCGACGCGACGCCATGTAAAAATCAGTTCTGTTTTTGTGCGTGTCTTTCTTCTCCGAGCTTTTTCAGAGGTTTCAACACTATTATCACCTTGCAGTATTACTAGGCTGAGCTATCATTTAAGTTGTAGGATGCGTCAGGTACAATGTTACGTTGTGATTAAAAATTCGTTATCTCACGCGGAAAATGCATTCCGTGTTGCATTCGCGGGATAACTAATAATATCCCGAGTTAATATATCGGCAAGACTATATTTGTTCTTCAAAATACAATTTTGTTTCGATCATGACGTAATATTTTTTTTGTTCAAGTTCATTTTAAAAAGTTTTGTTCACGAAGAGGGGATGTAATCTTACACGACTCTATCGTTATAATTCAAGCTTAAAACTCTGCGTAACAACCACGTGCAGAACTGTATATACATGTATCTGGTAATTATATAAGACTTTTGAAGAAAAAATGACAAGATATCAGACTGTGTTTGATTTAACATTGGTAGCTTATTAGAATGAAATTACTTTTTATATGGTAAATTGGTAAGATTGGTGTACATGTTTTTATCCACATTTGATATAGCGCGTAGGTCGAAATTTGGCATTGCGTAAGAAAGCAACCCCTCCGTGTAGAGAAAACGGGGGTGAGTTATTTGGTAAACTGATGATGCATGAAGACACTGAAGAAGATAAACATCTTCATCTTAGCCATTGTGCTGAGCTGCCTGAACTGCCTCCCCTTTGTCGTTTAGGAATCTCTCGGGTTTGAACTGATCGGGATCAGACCATACTTAGCGGTCACGGGCCGCGATTTTTTTCCCAAACGACATCCGCACGGGCCCGGTGTACGCTATGGCGTTTTGGACTTCACTTCTCTCAGAAACATGAGAAAAAAAATATGAAATTAGAAAAAAAAAATGAATTGGAACGTAGGCCTTAATGAAATTCAGATTTTATTTCCCTTTAAAAAAAATCGGAAAGAATGTTGCAACCTGACGCTACTTCAGTGGTTGTGTACAAAGTCTATGGAAAGTCAATTGTTAGTATTCCCTAACAAAATTGGAAATTTTTCTCTGTCGCAGATTCATCATGGTCTTATCATCATTTTTGCAATGACTGACCTTCATTGAGATGAAAAAAATCATCCAAGCCTCAGATTGGTAAAGAAAAACATTCTGGTACAAAACGGTGACTCGAACCTGTACCGCGAGGATTCCTCGATCACGGTAACTTATTCCCGGAGAAAAAGGTTAAAATCCACCCACTGCATAAATACTGTAACGGGAACTTATTGGGTTCTTGTCCTCCGAGTCCGGCCAAACGCAAGAAAAGGGGACAAACACAGGATTTCCAACTTCTGAAGAAACTCTTATTTATTCAGCACAACAACTCTGTGGTCAACCTGCCACACTGCTACCAGTACCACGACTGCTGATTCCCAGCATAGAAATACACAGTCTGAACAAATGTATACAATTGTAACAACCTACAATGACCCCGGCATCTTGCCTTTCCCGCGTCCCCCAACAAAAGAAACCCACTTAAGCAACCTATTTATAGAGCCTATTTCCGGAGCGCGCGCTAGCCAGACTCAAAACCAGGTCAGGTGCGCGCCGCCGGAGCCCCTCCGCCAGAGCACTAGTGTTAGAAAAGCAATGACATTAAAAGTACTGCATAGACTGTCCGTTACAATACTATCGGTCTAGCCCACAGACCATCTACAATCATAATTGCATGTACTGCAGTATTGGCGCAAATATGATCAAAGACAACAAATTCAACGTTACCCGAAGTTATTTACAGTCACCCATCTCCGGTGTCAAATGAAAATCGGACTCCTGTGAAAATCGGACTCCTTATCCCTATAATTGGTTAATCCCTCTCACGTGACAAGTCACTATCCCATACAGGCCTATAAATAGGCCTGTTAGGCCAAAAAAAAAAGTCTCCGGTTTCTGGTATGCGCGCGCGTCGCCGTAGCCATGCGCGTCGGCAAAATGAAAAAGTTTTTTTTTCAATGAAAGATGATGTCTCAAAACCGCCAAACTCACTGGTTTGACTGGAATCCTGCTGCTGCACAATTTTAACGTGTTTTTAGATTGGGTTATGGTCGAGAATAAGCTTTATGTGGCCTCTCTGGACTCCCATATATTTGCACTAAGTTTAGTCGGGCACCATTTGCAGTCATCAGCCGACATTTAAAGCAAAAAAATCAGGTAAAAAAAAAAAAAAGCCGCGTCGCCGCACCACTTTTTGGGCAAGCTCCATACCAGAAACCGGAGACTTTTTTTTTTGGCCTTATCAACTAGTGCGCAGTACTACCAACGAGTCCATATTTCATGGAGTCGGATATTCACGCTTCACCGGCACTACCTTCCATTGAGCACGTGACAATGGAACTCCATTTCGTGAAATGTTTACAGTGCAGTTTTTACTCTAAAAGCAGACAATAAAATGAATGTTACGTTGTTGCTTCATGATGGGCGCACCTTGGCGGTTCATGCAAAGTAGTCTCAAATGAAATATTAAGATGTCAGTTTATTGGACTCTGCTCCACCAGCTATACTAGGCATTCACATATATCTATGAGAAAAATATTATAAAACAAAAAAAATGATGATTAACTTAGATTTACTGTCATCAATATCCTGGCTTCCACATCACTGCACAAAACTGAAACTTTGCAAACGGCGCGGTATTAACGATGTAACTGAGTCGGGCTCAATCAGTTATGAGAGATTTTATCCCTATACCATTTTATTTGAAATGTTACAAGCTCTCATTTTTGGGAGTAATTTTAGGTCATGGTCTTTCTACAGAATACGCGCGAATATCTTCAAATTAAAGTCAACCATCTGATTAACTGTTCAATCACGCTTGGCTGCACAGATGTTAAACACCCTTGGTGAGTTGGTGAAACCACCTCTTCCCTTCAAAGTAAGTGGAGGTGAGTCGTCTGGTTTCTTGAATGTGAACTGATGCAGGAAGAAGCTGAAGAAGATAAACAACTCCATCTTAGCCAGGTGCTCACCGATGCAGCTCCGACGACCAACGCTAAACGGTATCAACTCCTCAGCCTGAACTGCCTCTCCCTTGTCGTTAAGGAATCTCTCGGGTTGGAACTTATTGGGATCGGACCATACTTTGGGGTCATGGGCCACCGCCCAGAGATTTGGGACAAGCAAGGCACCTTTAGGAATCACGAAACCATGGAACTGGGTGTCTGAGGCAGCAGCATGCGCCACACCTAAAGGAGCGATAATTGTCATGCGTTGAACCTCCCAAATGACCGCTCGGGTGAAGTTCAGTTCTGGTTTGTCGGCCATCCTGGGCAGCCGGTTGCGACCGACCACGGCGTCGATCTCGGCCTGGACTCGCTGTTGGATCTCGGGGTAGACAGCCATGTACAGGAGGGCCCACTGGAGCGTAGTGCCTGTGGTCTCAGTACCAGCCCCGAACAAATTTCCTACGGTTCCAGTAAAAGAGTGCTCGGTAAGATGAACATGTTTGGCACCGGCCTTAAGTTCCATTAGGTATGCATCAATGAAATCGTCCAAATTGTCAAGATCGAAGATGGCACGGTGATTGTCGATTATACGTGTTAGGAATAGCCGTATGGCCTCCATATTGGATTCCAACTTGTCAGTCGACATGAATGGCAGATAGCGGAGGGCTGGGAAGAAAAGCATTGCACCGCCAGATCCAAACAACTTGACATTTTCGCCCAACATAGACAGAAGATTCTTGAACTCTCCGTCTGCGTATTCATAGCGCTTCCCGAAAATGACAGAGCAGATGACGTTGGATACTGCGTTGCTGAGCAGCGGTTTGGGGTCAAAGGGCTTCCCGTTGAAAGCAGACATCTCCTTCATCAGTTCCTCAGCTTCAGTGCCGATCTTCTCCTCGAAGCTCGTTTTGCCCACTCCGAAGCTCCTGAGGACGGTCAGGCAGAAGCGACGAAGCTCAATCCATTTTTCACCAGATGCCATTCCTACGCCTATCAAATACAAAGCAGAGTATTTTGAATAACACTGTCTGGATTTTCCTGTCATTGTCCTGTCATTATATTCCCACAAAGAGTTTGACTGAGTGCTATATAGCAACTTTAATAGCAAGTAATACAAGAGTCGTTGTTTTTTGTCTTTCCATAGTCCCTTCTTTGATCCTGAGTCCTGGCCAAAAAAAGCCCCCCCCCCCCCAAAAAAAAAAAAATGAAAAATAAAAAAGAAGAAGAAAGTACTCAATGCTTAAAGGGAATATACATCATTTGCTTTTGCTGTAATTTTCAGAAATGGATGGAATTGGGGGGTTGGAAATATAAAGCAAATATAGTTGCACTGACTTTTTGGAGGTTTTGGGTTCGAAAATGCTATAAAAACCAAGAAAAACGATCATTTTCCTGTAGTCTGGTTCCCTGACTCCATATAAGAAGAAACAGAGCAGTTTACATACATTGGGGAATTGTAAGGTCAGGGAACCAGTCTAGCTGGCTCGTACCCGTTCATAGGTTTGTAATCGATTGCAAACAAGTGCAATGGTCAATTGGGGCCAGTATTTGAAAAAAAAGCCAGTTGTTTCCAACGCTGATCGGCCGATCAGCGTTGGAAATTGATACAAAAATACCACTTTTCTTGAAAATGACAGTATACCAGGTGCCATAATTTTACAGGATGCTTCAGGCTGTCATTTACCAACATCCTATTAACGTATTTTGCAAAAACTTGGTAGTTTTTTTTTTTTGATGTTTGCAAATTTTGTATATTCCCTTTAAGCAGTTAATTTATAAACAAACAACTTGAGTACATCTTCGAGTAAGCTGTTTTTGATTGTCAATAAGTATTTTACTTTTCACTCCTCGTGAGTGTCACCTAATATTGGAGAGCGATATGAACTGTTTTGTAGCCCAAGATATGACGAATTCCACAAAAGCGGCTCTTTATGTGGATTATACATTAAGGTTAGATAATCCAGTTTGTATCAACTTAAACTTTCATGTGGCTGAAGTTGAATTGTTAAAAAAGAGAAAGCTTTCTCTTTTAGATGGTCGTCCCAATATCGCTTGCTATAAAGTGCCTTGATTCTTTAATTTATAAAGCCCCATTTTCAGTTTGTGACTAGTTAGAGTAAAAAAAGGGCTGCAAATTACCTTCACTTCTGAAGAGCTTGGTGAAAAGCAGTTTAGGTCTGTCGTTCAGCTGAGGATGTTGAAAAGCTTCCTTCACGGAGGTGTAGTCATTGAGGACTACCACAGTCTTGTTGAGGATCTGCAGACGAAACACGGGTCCGAACTTGGCAGCATACCTCATGAAGAGATCGTGGGGTTCCACGCCTCGTCGTACCTCACGAATAATGGCCGGAACGGAACCGATGAGTGGGAATCCCCAGGGGCCAGGTGGGAGGTTCTTAGGTCGCCCCAAAAACCAGCGAAGAACCAGAAGGACAACCACGCACAGCAACACTGTGCGCAGGTCTAGATACCACAACATGTTATTAAGAAGAGACATGTTTCCACTGTCGAAACCTTGGGAAAGATTTGGTCCGATTTTGGCTCCCCAAAAGACGCATAAAAACCAACCTGAAGACCAAGTGATGTTTATACACTATACGAGAACAGACAAGGTACATGAAAAGAGTGTATGATGTTTAGTGGCAGTGCACGCTTATATAGGCGCCTAGAGCGCGCCAACCCGATTGCATTCCGTGCGATAAAACGACACCTTTGACTTTAGATATAAAATGGCCTCGGTATTATTGATTGACATGGTGACATGATGAACCAGCGTTACTCTCTATCCCTCGAGTCGGGTAGAGCTGGCATGGAATTTGACACCAGAATTAATGTATGCGAAAGTTGACGCAAGTCTTTTACTTCGAGCTTTTTCAAGTGGTCTCAACATTTTATTATCCATTTTGTATAGCTGTTTACGTTTCGAACTGACAGCTCCTCGGTTATCGCCAGGCTGCAATTTACATGTATTAGTTGTTGTGGTATGTTGTTCTATGTACATAGCTGGGTACACGTTTGTACATACCTGGATTGTTACCTATACTAATTTCGTGGATTATGATATGCGTACAGATTATGCAAAATAACACTGCGTCTTTACTTCTAAAGGCGTCTCCGATTGGCTGGCGCGCGATGTCGCACAAAATGTATACTTCGCTCGTACCCCCGCCCTGCAAACAGGGCGCTGGGACACGCTGATGAGCTTCACAGAATCTTCAAGTGAAGGAAGTTCGGATGGCATTCTGGGTAACTTATCATGACCTATGTATAAAACATCTGGCTGCAGCTGTTTAAAACCAACCTGAAGACCTGTGATGTTTATATACTACGTGTACGAGACCAGGAAGGCGCATGAAAAGACTGTACTATGTTTAGTGTCAGTGCATACTGAGAGTCTCTTATAATACTATCATTGCATTTCGTGCGATAAAACGACACCTTTGATCTGTAGATATAACATGACCTCGGTCACGTTGTTTGATTATGGTGGCATGCTGACACAGCATATTACCAGGGTCGCGGGTAGAGCTGGCATGGAATTTGACACCCTGCAGGGTCACTGTGTGCGAAAGTCGACGCAAATTAAATCAGTTTTGTTGTTGCCCAGGTCTTTTACCTCGAGCTTTTTCAAGTGGTTTCAATACTATTTCATCATCCATTGTGTAGCTATTAAAATACTTAGTTTCAATTTCTGAAGAATCGCTCCATACCTCTTTCCTAATAAGTCTTACTGATGACATTACACTTTGTTTACACGTGTGCTTTCCTATGGGAGCCTGGCGGGGACGACGGTTTCGTAACCCTATAGAAAAGCGCACCAGTAAACAAAGTGTGCCGTCATCAGTACAAAGACTGATGTGTCTCGTATACTTTGCAAACCGATTACTGGCGATAGAATTGTTTTCATCCGTTTTATCAAAAAACTTGGGGGAACGCTCGGGGTTAACCTGGAGAGCACACAATGGGTCCAACCTCGACTCTAAACACACATACATGTCTAGACTTAATTGAATTCAAGTCGATAATTGCCGGGTCTTTGTTCGCCTGCCATGAACCTCGCCGTGATAATTATGGACAGTTTACGCATACCGTTCCTGGGTTTAGGACGACACTAATAACATGCGGGGACGGTGGTGAATCCTCGACGCTAATAAGTATGTACGTCGGCGGTGTGTAAATGGTCCGTGCTCCTACTAACTAAGGTCGGCCGCGCTGTATGTAGCAGACAAAACACTACTGTGACTTGCCCTCAACTCTACATCACGCATCGCAACAAAAGAGAAGAATGATTGTTTACCCAAAGTATTGTCCTCAGGAGGGCATGGTTCACAATAACGTGCATCGATATCGGCTTCCAAATATTCTCACTTCTGTTCCAACCTCTCACCTACTTCCCATAGAGAAATCAAAAGGCCTGTACGTACAGCGGCGTAGCCAGGGTTCTCATCCTGGGGGGGGGGGGGGGGGGGGGGGCGTGTTGGGGGCTGGAGGTTACAATGGAGGGGCGCAAAACAATTTCATATGTGCTGAAAGGTAGACAGGTTTTTTTCCCATCGGACACCCGACCTCCGTAAAATCAAATAGTGTGTGTGGGTGTGTGTGTGTGCGTACAAACACTGTCTTATGGGGTACCGGAACAATGGGAGGTACCCCACAAGGAATGCCCACCGACTTGCGGGGTACCGTTTTGGTACCCCACAAGTTTTTCACGAAATAGATAGATGGATTTTATTCAAAAACTAGGAATTTCCAAGGTGGGTTGATGCGTCGCAAATGGAAGAGTTTTAGAAAAGGGATATTAAGTCCAAATTTCAGCCCAGGAAATGAATTCTGGTTAAAATAAGAGCATTTTGACATAAGGGTTTTGGGGAAATGTCTTGTCTGTACTTGGGGTGGGGAAGTGCGTGTTGGGGGGAGGGGAGCCGTGGGGAAGGGGATGAGTTGAGACGGGTGGGGGTGATTTGGCTTCACGGTAGTTTTGGGGCAATGTCTTGTCTGTACTTGGGGTGGGGAGGTGCGTGTCGGGGGAGGGGAGCTGTGGGGAAGGGGCTGAGTTGGGATGGGTGGGGGTGATTTGGCTACAAGGAGGTTTGGGGGCAATGTCTTGTCTGTACTTGGGGTGGGGAGGTGCGTGTTGGGGAAGGGGAGCTGTGGGGAAGGGGCTGAGTTGGGATGGGTGGGGGTGATTTGGCTACAAGGTGGTTTTGGGGGCAATGTCTTGTCTGTACTTGGGGTGGGGAGGTGCATGTCGGGGGAGGGGAGCTGTGGGGAAGGGGCTGAGTTGGGATGGGTGGGGGTGATTTGGCTACAAGGAGGTTTGGGGGCAATGTCTTGTCTGTACTTGGGGTGGGGAGGTGCGTGTTGGGGAAGGGGAGCTGTGGGGAAGGGGCTGAGTTGGGATGGGTGGGGGTGATTTGGCTACAAGGTGGTTTTGGGGGCAATGTCTTGTCTGTACAGGGGTGGGTAGCTGTATGGATGAGGAGCTGCTGTGGGGGATGGTGGCTGTTGGGGAGGGGTTTGGATGGATGGGGCTGACCACTATGTTTGTATGCATTTTATTAATTTACATGTACCAACGTTTCGCCGCCCAAAACTACTTTAATTAATTGTCAATAAATTTTGTGAATGATAAGTTCAATTTGAAAACTGAAGTAAGTATGAAGTCTTTTATGTGCTGTCAAATCTACAAGAGAAACGAACAATTAATAAGAAGTCACTGAAATCACTCAGTTAGTCAATTCCAAATCGAATGATATGGTTTGCAATTTAAAATTGGTGTTTCTATTGTTAGGGACTCTACACTTTTGTACAATTAATTTTCTTTCCCAAAATATAACTTATACATTCTCATTTAATTGTCTTTCCTAGAATTTATAATCTCGCCTTTCTTACTTTGGACAATTTATTGTAATAATTAGCAATTGATTAAAAAAAATCCATCATAATGGATCGAATAATATTATATGATAATAATAATGACACTGGTATAGCGCTTTACACAAAATGTCTCAAAGTGCTTCACAAATTTAAAAGATCTATAAAGGAAAGTGGTAATTTACAGAAGGACCTTAATTTTCTTCCTAAAAAAACACGAAGTTTCTATGAAAAGTACAAACAAGCTACAAGTTAGACTTAAAACAGTTAAAACAGCTGGAAAAGTTACGAATGGGGGGGACCCATCAAACGATAAGGTAATAAATGAAAAGAGGGAAGTGATGTGGCCAAGCGGTAAGGGTTCGTGACTCATGATCAGAGGGTCAGGGGTTCAAATCCAGCTGCCGGCCATACGTTGTGTCCTTGGGCAAGGCACTTAATCCCCACTTGCCTCTCTCCACCCAGGAGTATAAATGGGTACCAGCATTAGCTAGGGAGTAACCTGCGATGGACTGGCATCCTGTCCAAGGGGAATAGAAAAATTCTCAGTCGTTTCATGCCAAGGAAACCGGAGATAAACGCCGGCCTGATGGGCCATATAGGCTCGGGACAGACTTTACTTTACTTATATAGCGCTTTACACAAAATGTCTCAAAGCGCTTCACAAATTTTAAAAGATCTATAAAAGAAAGAGGTAATTTACAAAAGGACCTTAATTTTCTATCTAAAAACACGAGATTTCCATGAAAAGTACAAAAACGTTACAAGTTAGACTTAAAACAGTGAAAACAGGTGGAAAAGTTACAAATAGGGGAACCCATAAACGATAAGGTAATAAATGAAAAGATAAATATGTATCATAAAAATTCAAAAACAAGTGAGAGGGCTTGGACGAGCGATCGCATAATACTATTATAATTACAAGAAATTATTGTGTAAAAAGAAATTTAAACATTCTTTTCTACAATGAAACCGTCACCATTTTGGAAATCAGAATTGTTTTTTACACATACATCGCGCACCGTCTTTGAAACGAGTAAGATTTGACTACAGCTACAGCTAAAGCTCTAGCCAGCTGCATGGGCCCAGCATTGATTGCTTCTTTTTAAATTTGATTACAGTTTTAAGGAACGAACTTTTAAACTAAATTTGTAATTATACATTTCTACATCGAATTTATTGTAAACTTGGTTGGTCCTTGTCGGACCTTCAAACTGTTCCAATATGGAAAGATTAGAAATATTGTGAAATACCTTACTGGACTGTTATTAGTAAATGACATTCTAAAGCATCCTGTAAAATCATGGCACCTGATGTGCTGACATTTTCAAGAAAAGTGGTATTTTTTATCAATTTACAACGCTATTCGGCCTACCAGCGTTGGAAAGAAACTGTTTTTCCAAATACTGCCACCAAATTACCATATTTAGTTAGTCTGAATTTTGTTTGCAATCGATTACACATCTATGAACAGGTACAAGCCTCTAGACTGGGTCCCTGACCTTACAATTCCCCGACGTCTATAAATTGCTCCATTTCAATTTAAGTGGGGTCAGGAAACCAGACTACAAGAACATACGTTTTTCTTGGTTTTTCCAGCATCTACGAATACAAAACTTCAAACAAGTCAGTGTAACAATATTTGCTATGAAATACTAATCCCCCAAATCCATTCATTTCTGAAAATTACAGAAGGAGCACGTTTGTGTATGTTTTGTTTAACTGTACGCGTCGAATCACTCTAGGCACTCTAGTCACTCTACACTCTAGTCTCCGTTTTTTTCTCTGTCAAATCTGCCTGGGTGTTTTATACACAAGCAGACTGTGTAGTATTGGAGAACCACTCAGAAGGAACGAATTAGACGCATTGGTGATTGTAGTAGGCCTATAATTTTAAAGTCTATGTCATTTAGGAATGATTTCACTGACAAGCACTTGACACTGATTGATAGTGAAACAAATCATCCCAACTCTACAACAGAATGTGGTAGTTCTTTTAATTTCTAGAATGGAGTGGTGGACAAAAGGACTACCGTGGAAGTATAGCACAATTATAAAAAGAGTACATGATTTGTCTGGGTGACTTTCCTAAGATTCAGGCATGGCTTTTGAAGTTTGCAGCTATTTAGAAGACAAGATTAATTGGACATAGGCAGAAAGGAGATAGTGGAACCACCATCATCTCCCTATTATAGTTACTCGCGCTTCATGGCACAGATGTTAAACACCCTTGGTGAGTTGGTTAAACCACCTCTTCCCTTCAAAGCTGGTGGGGGTGCGTCGTCTGGTTTCTTGAAGGTAAACTGATGCAAGAAGAAGCTGAAGAAGACAAACAACTCCATCTTAGCCAGGTGCTCACCGATGCAGCTCCGACGACCAACGCTAAACGGTATCAACTCCTCAGCCTGAACTGCCTCTCCCTTGTCGTTAAGGAATCTCTCGGGTCGGAACTGATCGCGATCGGACCATACTTTGAGGTCACGGGCCACCGCCCACAAGTTGGGGACAAGGAGTGAACCCTTGGGAATCATGAAGCCATGGAACTGGGTGTCTGAGGCAGCAGCATGCGGAATACCCAAAGGAGCGACAATTGTCATGCGTTGAACCTCCCAGATGACCGCTCGGGTAAAGTTCAGTTCCGGTTTGTCGGCCATCCTGGGCAGCCGATTGCGACCGACCACGGCGTCGATCTCTGCCTGGACTCGCTGTTGGATATCGGGGTAGACAGCCATGTACAGGAGGGCCCAATGGAGCGTTGTGGCCGTGGTCTCAGAACCAGCCGCGAAGAGATTTGTTATGGTTCCAGTAAAAGTGTGCTCGGTAAGATGACCATGTTTGGCACCGGCCTTGTCATTCGCTTGGTTGTTCCTAAGTTCCATCAGGTATACATCGATGAAATCGTCCAAATTGTCGAGATCGAAGACAGCACGATGGTTGTCGATTATACTTGTTAGGAATAGTTCTATAGCCTTAACATTCGATTCCAACTTGTTAGCCGACATGAATGGCAGATGGCGCAGGGCTGGGAAGAAAATCATTGCACCGCCAGATCCAAACAACTTGGCATTTTCTCCCAACATAGACAGAAGATTCTTGAACTCTCCGTCTGCGTATTCATAGCGCTTCCCGAAAATGACAGAGCAGATGACGTTGGATACTGCGTTGATGAGCAGTGGTTTGGGGTCAAAGGGCTTCCCGTTTAAAGCAGACATCTCCTTCATCAGTTCCTCAGCTTCGGTGCCGATCTTCTCTTCGAAGCTCGTTTTGCCCACTCCGAAGCTCCTGAGGACGGTCAGGCAGAAGCGACGAAGCTCGACCCATTTTTCACCAGAGGCAAATGCTACGCCTATCAAATACAGAGCAGAGTATTTTGACTAACACTGTCCGGTTTTATTTCTTCAAGCATTGTCATAGTATTCACACAAAGAGTTTGACTGAGTGTAATCAAGTAATTACAAGAGTCGTTTTTTTTTACCTTTCCAAAGTCCCCACTCCCCAGTCCTGGCCGTACAAAAATGGATGCTATGACACTTTCCATGGCCAAAAAAGCCCTGCGAGTGTCACCTTATTTGAGAACAATATGAAATGTTGGGTTTTTTTATCAAAAAGTGTAGCGCAAGAAATGACGAATTCCACAAAAGCTGCTCTTTATGTATACATTAAGGTTAGATAATTCAGTTTGTATCAACTTATACTTTCATGTGGCTGAAGTTGAATTGTTAAAAAAGAGAAAGATGGTCGTCCCAGGCCCACCCTGATCGCTGGCCATAAACTGTTTTCTTTAATTGATAAAGCCCCATTTTCAGTTGGTAAGTTTGAGTCATTTTAAACAAAATCTCTGTAATACGACTCAACCCCACACCAAAGAAAAAAAAACAAAAAAAAACGAGTGCTGCAGATTACCTTCACTTTTCAAGAGCTCATTTAAAAGATTGTCAGGCCTGTCGTTCAGCTGAGGATGTTGGAAAGCTTCCTTCACGGAGGTGTAGTCATTGAGGACGACTACAGTCTTGTTGAAGATCTTCAGACGAAACACGGGCCCGTACTTCGCAGCATACCTCATGAAGAGATCGTGGGGTTCCACGCCTCGTCGCATCTCACGATGAATGGCCAGAACGGAACCGATAAGTGGGAATCCCCAGGGGCCAGGAGGGAGGTTCTTAGGTCGCCCCAAGAACCAGCGAAGAACCAGAAGGACAACCACACACAGCAACACTGTGCGCAGGTCTAGATACCACAACATATTATAAAGAAGAGACATGTTTCCACTGTCGAAACCGTTGACGACTTGGGAAAGATTTAGTCCGATTTTGGCACCCCAAAATACGCATAAAACCAACCCGAAGACTCAGTGATGTTTTTACACTATACGAGAACAGACAAGGTACATAAAAAGAGTGTATGATGTTTAGTGGCAGTGCACGCTCCAATATATAGGCGCCTAGAGCGCGCCAACCCTATTGCATTTCGTGCGATAAAACGACACCTTTGACTTTAGATATAAAATGGCCTCGGTATTATGATTGACATGGTGACATGATGACACAGCGTTACTCTCTATCCCTCGAGTCGGGTAGAGCTGGCATGGAATTTGACACCAGGATCAATGTATGCGAAAGTTGACGCAGGTCTTTTACTTCGAGCTTTTTCAAGTGGTTTCAACATCCATTTTGTATAGCTGTTTACGTTTCGAACTGACAGCTCCTCGGTTATCGCCAGGCTGCAATTTACATGTATTAGTTGTTGTTCTATGTACATAGCTGAGTACACTTTTGTACATACCTGGATTGTTACTTATACTAATTTCGTGGATTATGATATGCGTGCAGATTATGCAAAATAACAATGCGTCTTTACTTCTAAAGGCGTCTCCGATTGGCTGGCGCCAAAATGTATACTTAACTTCGCTCGGTCGGCCGCGCTGTATGTAGCAGACAAAACACTACTGTGACTTGCCCTCAACTCTACATCACGCATCGCAACAAAAGAGAAGAATGATTGTTTACCCAAAGTAATGTCCTCAGGAGGGCATGGTTCACAATAACGTGCATCGATATCGGCTTCCAAATATTCTCACTTCTGTTCCAACCTCTCATCTACTTCCCATAGAGAAATCAAAAGGCCTGTACGTACAGCGGCGTAGCCAGGGTTCTCATGGGGGGGGGGGGGGGGGGGGCTGGAGGTTATAATGGACAGATTTTTTTCCCCATCGGACACCCGACCTCCGTAAAATCAAATAGTGGGTGTGTGGGTGTGTGTGTGTGTTGGGGGGGGGGGGGGGGGGGCTGGGGCTACGAGGTGGTTTGGGGGAAATGTCTTGCCTGTACTTGGGTTGGGAAGGTGCGTGTCGGGGAGGGGAGCTGTGGGGAAGGAGCTGAGCTAGGAAGGGTGGGGGTGATTTGGCTTCACGGTAGTTTTGGGGCAATGTCTTGTCTGTAATGGGGGTGGGAAGGTGCGTGTTGGGGAGAGAAGCTGTGGGGGAAGGGGCTGAGTTGGGATGGGTGGGGGTGATTGGCTACAAGGTGGTTTGGGGGCAATGTCTTGTGTGTACTGGGGGTAGGGAGGTGCGTGTTCGGGGGAGGGGAGCTGTGGGGGAAGGGGCTGAGTTGGGATGGGTGGGGGATGATTTGGCTACAAGGTGGTTTTGGGGAAAATGTCTTGTCTGCACTTGGGGATGTTGTTCTATGTACATAGCTGAGTACACTTTTGTACATACCTGGATTGTTACCTATACTAATTTCGTGTATTATGATATGCGTGCAGATTATGTAAAATAACACTGCGTCTTTTACTTCTAAAGGCGTCTCCGATTGGCTGGCGCGCGATGTCGCACAAAATGTATATTTCGCTCGTACCCCCCGCCCTGCAAACAGCGCGCTGGGACACGCTGATGAGCTTCACAGACAACCTCGTACCCAGGGTGTCGAGCAGTACGCGCCCATCACTGCCTGCTCTCTCACCCTGGCATTGGATCATTTGCATGTGCAAGATTTTTGAACACGTATGCAAATGAGGAATAGTCTGGTGCCTGCATGTGCGTTACATTAGCGTTTGTTTTTGCATGCGGTGTCTGGGGTAAAAACAGAGTCAATTCGTAGCAGCGCGAGCATGGCGTGAGTTACGAAAACACGATTTTTATTCAATTAAACTGTTACGATCTTAACGAAACAATATGCAGTATCACATTTCACATAATATTAACAAATTGCAAAGGAAATTAATATTTTTGAGAAGGCGTGGACGAATGATCGCGAAAACACGTACTGCACGTTGTGAATAACAACACCAAGTACATGATAACAATCCATTACTAGCCAATTGCAGTATCGAATCAGGATACAGGAAGAAAGTTTCCTATCCAGGGTTTACTATTGGAAACCGTGTTGGAAATAAAGTAAGCACTGGGGACGAGGTTGCTTCACAGAATCTTCAAGTGAAGGAAGTTGGGGTGGCATTCTGGACAACTTATCATGACCTATGTATAAAACATCTGGCTGCAGCTGTTTAAGACCGCATGCAGTTAGCCAATGCGCGCAAATGCTATTCGAAAACTTTACTTTAGAAATGCACACATCCTATACCGGATACGGATTTCTTTTTTTATTGCGGACCATGTGGACAAATTTTGAGCGTCGCATTATATGCAATTTGACCTATCGTGATTTCGAAACGGAGCCTGAGCAAGTAACGAGAATTGAAAATTTACAAAACAGATAACGCTTTTCAACGAAAAAAAAAAAAGCATTTATGAATGGGAAAAAAAAGAGTGATGACTCGGTCTTAACGGCCGTTTAAATTCCTTGCAGGGTCGTGGCCGTGATGACGTGCAGGTCACAGGTCACGCAAAATCTATCCAATCAGAGCGAAAATTCATCGGCGTGTCCCAGCGGCCTGTTTGCAGGGCGGGGGGTACGAGCGAAAATGTATACATGCACGTACGTACGGATATCAGACGTTCGTATGATCCTCAGACTAACTCATTTTGCTGCCAACAGCCTGAACGTATAAAAATAGACTACATCGATCCCTGAGTATTATGGTATCGGCATGACTCCCCTTCAATTCGTGCGGCAACATGCTTTTGTTTTCATCATGACGCAATTAAGTCATGTCAAAGTTCATCTTTTGTTCACGCACAATCCTCGTTGTGCTGAATGTTATATCAATGCAACACTTTGGCTGAAATTTGAAGCGAAATAATTTTTTTTTTATTGTTGCTCGACACAGGTTTTTATTGATGAGAGAATACCATGTCGACTGTCATATTTTTATTGTTCGGTTTACTTGCATCATTCAATCAAGTGGTTTCAGATTAAAGATCAAACCCCTCAAATGGATATGTTTATGTAGCAAGACATGTGACAGAGATAACCCCACCCCCTCTTTTGTGTTGGTCACTGTGTTACCGGAATCTCACGAATATTTTGAGATATGGGTGTGTGCTAGGTAACAATCGGCTAGGGTGTGCTAGGGTGTGTATGGGGTATAGGGACATGGGGGTACCCCTCTGTCACATATCGTGCTGGGTATACTTCAAAGAACGAAGCAATTCAGATTACTTTGAATGAACTTTGTTTCTTTTTTGTTTGTTTTTTTCAGTGAAATTTATTTCTATTTGGCAGTTTTTGTATTAAAGATCAATGCACATGTAGCCTATTTATTCACGCTTGATAACGCATAGGCCAGATGCTCACCGATGCAGCTCCGACGACCAACGCTAAACGGTATCAACTCATTGTGACTTCGTATTCACGAGATGGGAATCAGACCATTTTACAATTTCCCTTTAAAAAAATCCGTACCCGTTTGATTAGCCATCACGCGATCCTCGTGTCTGCCCCGCCTATGGCGTGCATACTTGATATTTAATCCAAAATAGAGATATGTCTATTATTAATATAGATATCTCTGTTTTTATAGAGATATCTCTATAAATAATAGAGATATCACTATTAATAATATAGATATCTTTATTATTTATGAAGATATCTCTGTTCCTAACAGGAATACCTCTATATCCCTGTCATTAATCGAGATATCTCTATTTTGGATCAAATGTCAAGAATGTACGCCATACCCGCCCGGTGTCAACCACCATTGCCCAGCTCGCGAGCGGGTCTCTGGTGGCTGCCCGCGGTGTTATGGCGTAACCTGATGATTTCGTGAAAAGCATGTTTGAAGATGGCGGGAACTTGAATACGAAGTGAGTACAATGGAGAGATGTATGACACAAATATTGCCATTTACTAAAGGGCCATTAGGGCATGAAATCCCCGAAACTGATATGGATTGTTTACCTAGACTATTTCCAAGGTTTGCGTGGTTGAAAGAAAATTAATCTACAATGAATATTCAAATTTGTCAACAAAAACGACGATACATAAAGACTGGTGATGTAAATCTTTAGCAAACACCTTGGTATTATACTAATAAGTATTAAAATACCAAACAAGCAAATTCAATGCCCCCACCGTGAGAGAAAATATCAAGCCATTTTGAAGAAAAAAAATCCCATAGTTTATTAGTTAAGCCGCGTTGGATAAACAATCGAAGTATACATAAATTAATTTTGAACTTCTTAAACTGGCAGTTTCTTCTCGTCTACTATTAAACTGTTTGAATGACGAACTGCCAATTGGTGGTAGAAACAGAGTCCATAATGGGCCACCGTATTCCGTTATTTCTTATTAATAATAAGTGTATCGGGATGTCTCGCAACCTCGCTCCCAGCCTCCACTTCATACACCTTGATCCACATCAGTCCCTGGGATGGTAATGTCTAACCCTTCTCACTGAGACAGACGTCTGTCTTTATTTTGCTTGTTATTGATTAGTTCAAAACTGCTGGTTAGATGGGTATGATTATCAAATTTGAACTTCAAAAATTATAGTTCCCGCCCAACAGCACGAGGAATTGCTTGTACCCTTGTACAAACGTTGCATAATCACAACGCTCCTCGAAATCTGTCAAATTTGATAAACTGTTCAATCACGCTTGGCTGCACAGATGTTAAACTCCCTTGGCGAGTAGGTAAACCCACCCCGTCCCTTCAAAGCTAGTGGAGGTGAGTTGTCTGGTTTCTTGAAGGTAAACTGATGCAGGAAGAAGCTGAAGAAGATAAGCAACTCCATCTTAGCCAGGTGCTCACCGATGCAGCTCCGACGACCAACGCTAAACGGTATCAACTCATCTGCCTGAACTGCCTCTCCCTTGTCGTTTAGGAATCTCTCGGGTTGGAACTGATCGGGATCGGACCATACCTTGGGGTCATGGGCTACTGCCCACAAGTTGGGGACAAGGAATGCACCTTTAGGAATCAAGAAATCATGGAACTGGGTGTCTGACGCAGCAGCATGCGGGACACCCAAGGGAGCGATAGTTGTCATGCGTTGAACCTCCCAGATGACGGCTCGGGTGAAGTTCAGCTCCGGTTTGTCGGCCATCCTGGGCAGCCGGTTGCGACCGACCACGGCGTCGATCTCGGCCTGGACTCGCTGCTGGATATCGGGGTAAACAGCCATGTACAGGAGGGCCCACTGGAGTGTTGTGGCCGTAGTCTCAGAACCAGCCGCGAAGAGATTTGCTATGGTTCCAGTAAAAGTGTGCTCGGTAAGATGACCATGTTTGGCACCGGCCTTGTCATTCGCTTGGTTGTTCCTAATTTCCATCAGGTATACATCGATGAAATCGTCCAAATTTTCGGGGTCGAAGCCGGCACGATGGTTGTCGATGACGTTTATTAGGAATGTCACTATAGCCTTAACATTCGATTCCAACTTGTCGGTCGACATGAATGGAAGATGACGCAGAGCTGGGAAGAAAAGCATTACACCGCCAGATCCAAACAACTTGACATTTTCTCCCAACATAGACAGAAGATTCTTGAAATCTCCGTCTGTATATTCGTAGCGCTTCCCAAAAATGACAGAGCAGATGACGTTGGATATTGCGTTGATGAGCAGCGGTTTGGGGTCAAAGGGCTTCCCGTTGTAAGCAGACATCTCCTTCATCAGTTCCTCAGCTTCGGTGCCGATCTTCTCCTCGAAGCTCGTTTTGCCCACTCCGAAGCTCCTGAGGACGGTCAGGCAGAAGCGACGAAGCTCGACCCATTTTTCACCAGATGCCATTGCCACACCTGTTCGATCCAAGAAATGGAGAAGATATCAAATGCTTTCAAACAATATAACAAACGCTTACAAAACACGAAATACTTGTACATGTGCAAATAATTATAACAAGCCAAAATATACGTAATAGACGAGTTTTCCCACAAACCTTCGCTTTTGAAGAGCTCGGCCAAGAGCACCTTCGGTCTGTCGTTCAATTGAGGATGCTGGAAAGCTTCCTTCACGGAGTTGTAGTCATTGAGAACCACCACTGTCTTGTTGAAGACTTTCAGACGAAACACGGGCCCGTACTTGGCAGCATACCTCATGAAGAGATCGTGGGGTTCCACACCTCGTCGTATCTCACGTACAATGGCCGGAACGGAACCGATGAGTGGGAACCCCCAGGGGCCAGGAGGGAGGTTCTTAGGTCGCCCCCAAAACCAGCGAAGAACCAGAACGACAACCACGCACAGCAACACCGTGCGAACGTCTAGATACCACATCATATTCTGAAGAACGGGCATTTTGGATCCCACTGTACCACGTATACAACCCCAACTTCAGTTGCTTCAGTAGTTTAGCTTATGATTTCGATTGCGTTACTTGCAGTAATGGCCGGGGTTTGTACCAGCTGGAAGTACGTTATGAAATGCACACTGCCCTGTTGTAGTGTGACACATGAAATGCTAATCGAGTGATATTGTACAAAGGCTTATTGCACACAAAGAACAAGATAGGCATATGAGGATAGCAGTCCCTGGGACCGGTTTTTGTAGTAGTGCAAACTTCCTGTGACACGTCACTGTTGTTTACTCTGCAACCTTACATTAAACACAATAGCATTTGAATATCGAATTTTGTTATCGGTGCACTGCACATGCAGTTTGGCATTGCACTGGTGCACGGATCCTACACACAAGGATTAACGACTCGGCCCAACTCCTGGTTAGACGCATGATAACGGCCCGTACTGGTGGCAAATACCATGATCCTTTTCAACAAAGACTACTGCGCGCGGTGGCTTTCAGATTTGCAAGGCTCTTCGCCCGATCTGGCCTCGAAGTCTGTCAAGCCAGCGAATTAAATTTTTGAATATTCATGAGTCTACGTTTTTGGTCTTTATTATTGAATTCTGATAAGCGATAACTACATAACCATGGTAATGTCGAGCACAATATCTTTAGCTTTAAGGTGAACAATTAAATCTCGCTTTTGTTTCATCGGTTCGGCATCCTATCTCTCTAAAACGTTTTAATAAAAGCCTAATTAAAAACGAAATTTGGGTAAACGGTGTTCTCCTCGAAATTTGACGTTTATTTTCCGGGTAAATACTTCATCTATGAAGACAAAAACTGCACAATACCATCTGTTATATCCTGAAGTATTTATTTTAAAAATAATTTGGAACAATATTATATCTTAAATAAGAAGCAGTTTTACTTACAGTTTTATGAATTTTTCCGTTTTAGATGTCGTGCGAAAACCCAACACAATGGCACATCTGGGAAAATTCGCGATTACGCGCCAACCAATTAAGGCAAGTCCACTGAGTGCATTTTGTACTAGAGCTCAGAACCGTCGTTTATCCTGGTGTCTATAGGATCCGTGATTGGTGTGAACCGTGTGAACTATGGTGTTCTAAAACGGACAGGCAAACGTCGTGGTTCAAATTTCAAAAATCGTGGTTCAACAGCTTTCAAACGTCGTGGTTCAACTTTCAAATGTCGTGCTTCAACTTTTCAAACGTCGTGGTCCAACTTTTTAAACGTCGTACTTCAACTTTCAAAGGTCGTACTTCAACTTTCAAACGTCGTGGTTCAACTTTCAAACGTCGTGGTTAGACTTTTCAGACGTTGTGCTCTAACTTTTCATACGTTGTGGTTCAACTTTCAAACGTCGTGCTTCAACTTTCCAAACGTTGTGGTTCAACTTTTCAAACGTCGTAGGCCTGCTTCAACTTTCAAAACGTCGTGGTTCACCTTTTCAAATTTCGTACTTCAACTTTCAAAACGTCGTGGTTCAACTTTCAATCGTCGAGGTTCAACTTTGTACGGACGCCAGGGTTCGACCTTAACTTTTTTTTGTTCACTAGCCATCCAGGCTACTGAAACAGACACTTAACTAGCCCGCGGGCAATTGCACTAGCCCGCATGCATGTCTTTCTAAAACGTGTATCCTGAGGCAATCTTGTCGGGGTTTTTAATAAACAGATCTAATAATTTAACCCTTAACAGTTAATAGAGATTAGACACAAATTGATACAGGTTTGCTTTCTTAATTTCATTATTTATTTTTGGCTGTCCTTGCATCTGCAAACAGGGGGGGGGGGGGGGGCTGATGAGCTTCACAGAATCTTGTGAAGGAAGTACGCATGGCATTGTGGGTAACTTAACATGACCTATATAAAGACATATAGCTGCAGCTGTTAGCTAATGCGCGCAAATGCTATCCGAAAATTTCTCATAGAAAGGCATATACATTTCATACCTTTTTGCGGACCCATGTGGACACATTTTGAGCGTTGCATAATATGCAATTTAGGGCCTAATTGGCCCTTCGTGAATCCGAAACGGAGCTTTTTTTTTCCTCCACGGCGCGGTCTGAGCAAGTGACGGAATGGAAAATTTCAAAACAGATACGTTTTACAGAAAAAAAAATCCTAGATTATTACGCTTTTCAACGAAAAAATCATTTATGAACGGGAATAAATGAGTAGTGACTCGGTCTTAACGACCGTTTAAAACCTTGCAGGGTCGTGGCCGTGATGACCTGCATGTCACAGGTCAGGCAAAATCTATCCAATGAGAGCTTATAAGCTTCATCAGCCCTTCCCAGCGTCCTGTTTGCAGGGCGGGGTACGAGCGAACATGACTTGTTCTGAGCCTGTACGACATTATGGGCCCGGATTTCGTAGGAGTGCAAACTTCGTGTGACACCGGCACGGTTGTTGACTCTGTAACCTTACATAACAATGGCATTTGAATATCGCATTGTGCACTGCACAGTTTGCCATCGCATTCGTGTGAACTGTCACGTATTCGATTACAAAATTGTACAACTATATAGGGACTTCTAAAAAAAGATAGGTAAACTATCGAGATGCCGCGCGGAGTATATAACAAACTAGGTCTCTCATTTTGTAGTTAAACTTACTTCGCCAAACCCACGTATTCCTAATCTGATTTTGCCATGAAACCTACACCAATAATGTGCCCGATAAAATACAGCACACGTCGTACACACCGCGTACAAAGTAAAGTACAGTTCTTTTCGAGTTGCAAAGGTCTCCTGAACTTGCATCGGTTGATATTCAACAATCCTAATTGGTCAGACGGTCCCTTCTATAATATCTCAGTATATTTCTACAGGTGGAAAGGGGATCACGTTTGCGGTAGTCGTGCGCAAAGCTGGACCGTTCACCTCCTTGCCGCAGTTGTATAGCCTGGCGTTAAATCGAATTATCATGCATGTTGCATTTCCTCCGTAATTAAAGGTGAAGTTCGCCCGGAGATTACCAAATATTAAGTGTTTATGATCGCTTAGGTATCGCATTCCAATGGTCTGGGTAAACGAGAATCCACATGTCTTTCACTGTAGAAGAAAATGTCGAAAAACAGTTTTCAAGCATAGTCTACCTTTTCAAAACTACCAGTAGGCCCTATACACACTCTTTTATAACTCAAATGTGAAAAATTTGGTTTTGCGCTATGGTTGTAAAGCTGAAAAACAAAAGTATTTGACAATTTCAGAGACAACGTTAACCTGGCCTTGTGAAATGGATTTTTGGATCGAAAATTGTTGACCTGATTTTGGCAACTGAGGTCACGGTCTTGGATTTTGCATGACTGGACAAAACTAAAAGAGAGACCTTTTATTTCGGTGATTAGAAAGTTATATCAAGCAATACTTGTTTTGTTTTCATAATATTTTATTAAAGGAATCACTGCGTCATCAGGTGAGTTGTGAATGAAGTGCCGTCATGGTCATCGCCAGGATTTTTTTCTAGAAGGGGGCAAATGTCCAGCTCACCAGAAAGCAGCGTAGGGAGAAATCACCGGCCCTGGAAAAATCGAAAGGGGAGGGGGTGATGAGGACCTCAAAACCGCTACTATTATGGTAGGGCCACTTCGCAGAACTTCTTCCCAGGAGTGTCGTGGGGGGGGGGGGGGGGGGTTATACCCCCATTTCTGCGAGGTGACATTGCAGAATCTATACATAGCGTCCTGACCTAGGTATTAATTGCAGCTGCATTGTAATCAAACCTCGTAAGCTACAATCTTTCAAAAAATAACGACCTCTGTTCGATTTATTTAGGAAAATTCATGAGCATGTATAAATCATGAAGTAGGTTACACAAACACGTTTAATATAATGATCATGCTTTATTTAAGAGTGAGTATCATAGGACGTAAGATGTGCGATAGGCATATACATGTACATTGGGACAAGAAAATTGCCTCCTCAGTCATGCTACATCATTACTCCTAAAAAGGTAATGTCCACTTCGACACTGGAAGACTTGCCTAAAATTTACTGGAATCCTGTGTCTATCTCTTGAAAACATCACAACATATGACTGAAAATCACAAAAAATAGAAATCATGGCTGCAACCCTTTGCTATGGACTGAGAACCGACTACAAAAATGAAGCTAATACATTATATACGGCAGGTATTGGATTCAAAATGTAATATGAACTGAAATCTTACAGTCAAGTGCATTGTATAGGAATGCTGCAAAAAATACGCATCACTGCTTGGCACTCTATTTGACAATTAACTAGATGCACAAAGATACACATGATCTTTAACAAAGTGTTGTAATAAGCCACTACACTTGCAAAACTTAAAACTCTACTGACATTTCTTACCACTTTTATTCGGTTATACAAAGAGTCAAAAAGCATCCAAACCCCAAAACATATATTTCACATTTTAGAAAATATGTAGCACCGAAAATAATGACTGGAAAGCTAATTGCATAAACTACTTTTAGATCAAAAAGTTACTTAAATTGCTCAATCTGTTCAAAGTATATCACCATTAAAACACAATGACCCTAAAACCTCTTTCGTCCAAAATGCGATTTCAAGATTCGTCCTCACAATTCTCTTCAAACGTCAATAGCGATGAAACCTCAGTTTATAAGTTAAAAATATTCAACAAAGTCCTTTTGAAGGCTGTCTTTAAAAAAAGTGCATTTTATAAATCATAATTGTTTGCCTAAGCAGGGTTGTTAATAACGATATTGTGTTCTACATTAATTTCTTGACAGTTGTTGAAACAGGTATTCTGAGTCATTTTCTTTGTTGTTCCAAATTAACAGTCAAAACACTTCTTTTTGGACGAAACCGGTTTTAGGGTCAATGCGTCTAAATTGTGATATTCTTTAAACAGATTGAGCAATTGCAGTAATTTTTTCATCTAAAGTAGTTTATGAAATTGGCTTTCCAATCATTGTTATTTGTGGTGCTACATATTTAGTTTGGGGGGTTTGGGTTCCGCTTTCTTTTACTCACCCTGTATGTATGTACGTGTACACAATCATTAATATTTTACACATTACATTTCACTCCTTGAATAAAATTTGTATTCGTATTACACAGAAGATAGGCGAATACTAAATAGGCTATTCTTTCATATAATGCAATATAATTTGAGGATAATATATACATTCGTCATTCGTTATATGGTTTCATAACTGCATGCGGCAGCCGTTAAGATGTTTAAACCTAAGCTACATTTAAAAAAAAATCACAATAAACATATTTTACACGATACACAATATACTTTTTTCTTTACACATGTAAATGGAAATGTTAATACGAAATGATTCACAATCTGACAAAGGGGGTGCGGTGCGCTCAGCATCAAAGGAAAAACTTGCACCTAAACTGGTTTATCACTTTGTAGTTCTACAAATATTGCAACGGGTCACCGGGTGCAGATTGAAGAATAATAAATTTGCTTATTGGCGTAAAAACTATTATTTTTAAAATGTATGACACCGAATGCCATTATTACTGTGGTTATTACCGCAAACTGCTCAAGAGTAACTCATTAAAAGGTACGTCAACCACGTAAAGAATTTGAGGCTCATTTGTCACGAGATGAATTCAATATATTTAACCATAAACAGGAACCCTGCAATTCAATTTAATTTAGTTTAATTTAGACATCTCTGCTTTACTATAAAGCGGGTTTCTGTGTGCAGGTGTGATTGTGTTTTCGTGTTCATCATCTGTTCAGCCTCATCTAAACAGTTCGCATGATTAACTTGAAACTTGAAACAAACATTGTTCTTCCTCGGGGGTCCACGTTATCTTGTCTCCATGATAACATCATAATGTATCGAATTACAATCGATTTTTAAAAAACAAAATGATACAAATGATCTATAAGGTTGTTTATAATCTGGTAGAAAATAAGTCGAGAAACATTTTTTTTTAAGTTGTAGAGCTATTGTTTCATGACCTTAACATCTGAGGCTACCGTAAGGTCAAAGGTATGGGTGTATTTGAACACGCAAACAGAAGCTTGATACGAAGGTATCCCCTACCGCGTATTTTTTTCAGCAGCATACATCGTATTTTAACCAATCACATCACGCACCCTTACATGAATATTTATCACGCTGTGTGGATGGAGGACACTTAGGTTCTCGTAGTGTTTTCCATTCAATTAAACTTATCCCAACCTACCAAATATTTGATGAAAATGGACATGAGCTCGAACCACAGATCTTGCGATCCATAGCTCATTCCACTATCCATTAGGCCACTGTGGCAGCTCGACGAAAGCCGTTCTTTGAAATGCTTTAATGTACATGTATATGACTGACTGATAGCAATGGTGTGACGTCATTGTTATTTTCTTATGAATAAACATCGAACTAGCTGAATAATCATGATCCATGGACGATGTGTGCTGCAAATAAAAACACGGCTTCCCTACCAAGCGGCTGAGGCAGCAAAGCCATCTCGTTGTTTCACGAGTAGTATGCACTATAAATCAAAATACATGTATGCTGTTATATTCTTCAATACAAACCTCACTACTTGACTCTCTTGAAATAAAACGTACGTTAATGAATAAAAAAAAATCATTTGAAAGGAACTTTACTCACGACTGATTACACAAATCTCAAAATTAAAAGGCGAGTAGTTCAACCCACCCCTTCCCTTCAGGGACAGTGGGGGCGAGTTGTCTGGTTTCTTGAAGGTGAACTGATGCAGAAAAAAGCTGAAGAAGATAAACAACTCCATCTTAGCCAGGTGCTCACCGATGCAGCTCCGACGACCAACGCTAAACGGTATCAACTCCTCTGCCTGAACTGCCTCTCCCTTGTCGTTAAGGAATCTCTCAGGTTTGAACTGATCTGGTTCCGGCCATACTTTGGGATCATGCGTAACCGCCCACAAGTTGGGAACGAGGAGGGTATCTTTCGGAATCAAGAATCCACGGAATTGGGTGTCTGCGGCAGCAGCATGTGCAACACCCAACGGCACAATCAGACTCAGGCGTTGAACCTCCCAGATGACGGCTCGAGTGAAGTTCAGCTCCGGTTTGTCGGCCATCCTAGGCAGCCGGTTGCGACCGACCACGGCATCGATCTCGGCCTGGACTCTCTGCTGGATCTCGGGGTAGACAGCCATGTACAGGAGGGTCCACTGGAGCGTAGTGGCTGTGGTCTCAGAACCAGCAGCGAAGAGGGCCGTTACGGTACCAACGAGGTTGCCCTCGCTGAGTAAACCATGTTTGACTCCAGACGCATCCTTCGCCTCATTCCGCTTGATTTCCATCAAAAAGGAGTCGGTGAAGTCCTTCACATCATCAGCATCGAAGTTGGCCCGATGGTTGTCGATGATCGTAGTAATGAACATGCGGATCTCTTCAAAATTAGCTATTATTTCATCGATAGACACGAAGGGCAGATAGCGGAGGGCCGGGAAGAAATTTACCGCAGCACCCGCACCAAGCAGCTTGAAATTGCGACCGAGTAAAGACAAAAGCTTATTGAACTGTTCATCGGTGTACTCGTAGCGCTTGCCGAAAACGACATTGCATATCACGTTGGATACTGCGTTTCCGAGCAGCGGTTTTGGGTCAAAGGGCTTCCCGCTGAAGGCAGACATCTCCTTCATCAGTTCCTCAGCTTCAGTGCCGATCTTCTCCTCGAAGCTCGTTTTGCCCACTCCGAAGCTCCTTAGAACAGTCAGAGAGAAGCGACGAAGCTCTAACCAGGGTTGGCCAGAGGCAATTGACACACCTGCCATTGGTGAATCAAGACAATTGGCAAAACAAAATCAGTTGCCGTGATAATGGTACTGTGGAATACAGAAGATACAGGCATTTTGAAAGCAGAATGCTTTAGCGAACCAGTACATTTGAGTGAACCAGTTGTTTTGCATGCCCGAGTATACATGTATATCAAGTATTAACTGTTGACCCGCGAAGTTACTTTACTTTTCAGTTTACATTACAATTCCCTAAATTGCAGTGTAACTGGCAAAGTATGTACATTGTGTGTCTGGCCTTGGACTTCTGATGCCCGTTGAAGGTACTCCTTATATTCTAATTCTTATTCCATTTTTAATACAATCCTTAATCAATTTTTGATTCAAAGCCTTCGTGTGATTTCATAAACTTGTCGCCCAGTTTCCAGAGTCATTGGAGGGGATCTAACTTCTCTTCTGACACGAAAAACGGGAGGGAGGGCAAAAGGGCGCATCGAAGATGTTTTTTAAAGTGAATTTAATATATTTTAGAGTAGACATCACTTGACAGAAGTATTTTTAAATTTACCATCGTAGTGCAGGTCCCCCTTGGAAATGGCTACGCTAATTTTGAACAATTAAGTATTTATCAAGACAATAATGGTATGCTTAACTCATCGTCAATTTTTGAAACCATAGTCAAGAGCATCTGAACCCCAAATCTTTAATCCATTATTAATTCGATGCAATGTATCTTAATTTTTTTATACAAAGCAACTTTTAACGTAGAGTCACGGTCACGGAGGTGACTTCTCTGAGGCGGAAAAGGAGATGTGGCAAAATGGACAAATGTGGTATATGCTCTATAACTCACCGTCACTTTTCAAAACCTTAGTCAAGAGCATCTTAGGTCGGTCCTGTAATTGAGGATGCTGGAAAGCTTCCTTCACGGAGGAGTAGTCATTGAGGACAACCACTGTCTTGTTGAAGATCTTGAGACGAAACACGGGCCCGTACTTGGCAGCGTATCTCATGAAGAGATCGTGGGGTTCCACGCCTCGTCGTATCTCACGTCCAATGGCCAGAACGGAACCGATGAGTGGGAACCCCCAGGGGCCAGGAGGGAGGTTCTTAGGTCGCCCCAAGAACCAGCGAAGAACCAGAAGGACAGCCACACACAGCAACACTGTGCGAACGTCCAGAAACCACATCACGTTCTGGAGAACGGTCATTGTTCTGTCTATATATTCTTATATTCAGTTGATTGCAAACGACGATCTGCCAGAACTACAAGCTCTCGTGGGATACGAAGTTCATGTGCACACAGAGAATTTAGACTAGACACAATTAATTTATGTGCCACTTAAGGTCTTTCGTAATAAACTATGGCTTAGTAATCAGGCTGCGATGTAACGTGTAGACTTGCATCAAGTTGGTTTGTACCGGATGCCAGATCTAAGGTGGGATACGCGTATGAACTTAGAACAAGAAGCACAAGTATGGACAGCTTTGCGCATGTCTCAAACTACACACACAACAATCGTACACGGAGGCTCAAAGTCCATATGGGACCAATGGGACCAAACTTCGGTTGTTTACTCCGCAAAGTTACGTTACAAAGGCATTGAAATGCCGCATTGTCCCGTCCCTTGAGTTTATCGGTTCACTGCACAGTTAGCCTTAAGAGATAGCGTGTGTACCGTTTGAACTGTCACCTACACCGATTGGTCACGTATTCATTGCATTACTATAAGGACCATACAAATTGTCGATATTAAACGGGATGCCGTTCAGCAAAATGTAATTGGTAATTACCTTACTTCTATATTTTAGTTATTTATCCAGGCCCACATAATCTACATCTCATGATTTTGACCTAAATTAAGTTTACCCTGCTGATGGAGTGCCCGATGAAATAAAATCGGCAGTTCTGAAATTTCGAGTTGGTCCCCCGAACTCCGTTGTGGCAGTGACAATGGTCCCGAATGATGAGACGGTCCCTATCTATAGGGGCAAGGCCGATCTCAAACGATTGCGATGAACATGCGCAAAGGTCCGATCATCTTGCTTTGAAGCTTGCCAAGCACCATATGAATTTACTTTTTCCCGAGTTAAAGGGAACTACGTCCAATTTGGGCAACAAAACATGTTTTAAACAAAATGATAATAATTGGAAAGAGCATATAATTCATTGATACGTGTACCTATAATTTCATAAATACTATATCATGAATTTTGGCCGATGAAATTCGATGTCTTTTACCGTTTTATTGGTTGAACGTTCACAATCCTCACGTAGGCATGCGCAACACTGCCAAATGAGACAGTATACAAATAATGAATGTTTGTAAGTGCAATGGTAAGAATAATTTCATGAGGTGACAGATGAAATGTTCGGAACATTTCATCTGTCGCCGAATGACATTATTCTTTCTATTGCACGAACGTGAACCATTCTTTAGGCCTATTTGTTTTATATAACAACTGAATAAATCCTCGTCATCTGATTGGATGACTTTTAATAGCCAATTATTCAAGTTAAAAATTGTTTACAAGTTTGACAAGTTCAGAGTTATCATATTTAATTTATGCAAACTGTTCAACAGGTTGAGAACTATCATATTCAATTTATCTCAATTTAAAACTTTTCCATAAGTTTAGAACTTAAACAGTTCAATAAGTTCAGAACTTTTATTAAGGGAATAAATGTGTGCTCTGGAGGTTTGTATCACTCTGTTTAAGACCACTTAGAGTCTGGGTGCTGATAATTACCCGAGCCGGAGTAATCACATAGAACACTTGAAATTCAACGACGATTTTGTGCATCAAGTATACTCGGATCGTATACGAGTGGCGAACTTTTTGCTGCGTCATGTACTATTTTGAATTTGACGATCGTTACCGGGATTTTTCCAAAACTCGGCGTGGTCTGCATTCGGCTCCGCCTGCTAACAGTGCTACTTGGGTGCCTGACTTTGAAGATTCCAGGTCAACATGAGATAGTGTGTTCTTACAGAAAATATAAAACTGTGTATCATAAATGTATGATATAATTATGAAAAAAGTGATTGATTTTGAAATTTGGTCGGAACATTAAAAGCTATAAAGTAATAAAGCGAAATCGGAAACGAATCCGAGCTTTGAAAAAAAGGGCCGCCAATGTCGTCATGTTTATTTTTAGTCACGGAGGCTACCTGAGCTATAATTTAGACGTCTGGACGTCGGGGGAAATTGTCAGGTCAGGGAACCAGACTAAGAATTACCTACGCGGGCCAAATCACAATTTGTCTGCCCTCAAATTCTTAGCTATTAGAGCATTTTGTGGCCATGAACTTGAAGTTTTGCCCCCAATGGGTGAATGGAAGCCGTGTACAGGAGTGTGAGCTCGTATTCCTGTGAAATTGGTATAAAATTGGGGCCTAAAGTAGCTCTATTTTCCTATGGATCACAGACATCATTTTTCAAAATGGCGATGGGCCACAGGACTAATTTTCGGGGTGAATTTTCTCCCAAAAGTCATCACATAATAATTTTTAACAAAACATTAACAGAAAATGAAAGATTCCGAACTAAGCTTTTATTTTGATGGGTGTCTCAATGCCTTGGAGAGTTGTGCGTATTTTAAATAATTTTCGTAAGTGTCTATGGAAGTCGATTTGCAGGTCTGCACCCTCAGGGGTACTGTGTCAACCTCGTCCCCAATGGCTTAATTTATTTTCAAACTCGGGATGGGAGCTTTCTTCCTGTACCGTTATAATTATTATCAGGTACTATACATTGTGTATACTTGGTGTTGTTAGCCCCAGAATTGGAAGCCCAAGTCCGGGCCAGAGGTTCACTACCATATCTCTTCAATTCCCCAATGTTACGGCGCTCAGAACTCTCTAATATAGTATATTTTGAGGGTATAACTTTTATTCATGAGCTTAGCGGATCGATTTACCGGTGTGCACCCTATAAGGCCAAAAAAAAAAATAAGTCGGTCTCTGGTCAGCGCGCGCGTCGATTTTAATCATGCGCGTCGATCTTTTTTTTTTCCAAAATGTTCCGCGGTAGCTCCAACAGCGCCCTCTATTTCCGGACCTCCTCAATTTTTTTTACCAAAGAGCACCAAGGAATGGGAAATTGCATCAAGGCAAATGATCGAAAGCACCAAGGCAAATTATGGAGGACACCAATGTACATGAGGACACCAAAATAGCAAAATATTACCTACCTTGTCTGTACAATCCAAGCTTGAAGAAAAAAAAAAAAAAGCAAAAAAAAAAAAAAAAGTCGCGTGGCCGCGTCAATTCCGGAACTTTGGTCTGACCAGAGACCGAATATTTTTTTTTGGCCTAATACAGCGTTAATAATCGTCGGATTTGAACAGCGCCCCCATTGAAAGTATGGTACGAGCCCCCTCCCCCACCAATTCATTTTACGGACCCAAGTGGCCGGACCAAAAAAAACCTGTCTACATTTCAGCACTGACTTGCTGAGGAACCCTGATGATAAATAGGGCTTTTTATATCTTAGATGTAGAAAGTGCTACAGGCAGAACTCCACTAAAACAATAGTCCCGACATTTTGGTTTCGCTTTTTTTTTACTCACCCTGTTGGATGAATCAAGAAATACGTACCGAGAGGGCGGGCTTGCGCTTGCAACGCACTGTACTGGCCTGCTATGGGCACAGAAAAATGCAAACGGACTCAGTCTACGTCTAAATGGACTTCGTTCAACGGAATCCAATAAATAATGTCTCAAATTTTTTTATCGTGTACTTGGTGTTGTTATTCAAAACATGCAGTACGTGTTTTCGCGATCGAGTCGTCTACGCCTTCTCGAAAATACTAATTTCCTTTCACAATTTGTCAATAGTAATATAAAATGTGATACTGCGTGTTGTTACGATAAGATCGTAACAGTTTAATAAAATAAATCGTGTTTTCGTAACTCACGCCATGCTCACGCTGCGACGAATTGACTCTGTTTTTACCCCAGACACCGCATACAAAAACAAGCGCTAATGTAACGCACATGCAGGCACCAGACTATTCCTCATTTGCATACGTGTTAAAAAATCTTGCACATGCAAATGATCCAATACCAGGGTGAGAGAGCAGGTAGAAATGCGCGCATACTGCTCGACACCCTGGGGACGAGGTTGAGTACAGGGCTTCACGGCTCTCGCTATATAGCACCCCCTTTTTGGAGGTCAACACATGGCTACATCACAACACCTGCATCCCTACAGTATTGGGGTAAGTGGCGGACGTACCCGGGGGGGGGGGGGGGGGAGGGGGCAACCTGTTTCCCGCTGTAGCTAATAGCTGTGGCACATTCAGTCGTGCGTACTTCGCGCGATCCAGTTCAGTACACAGTACAGTACGCACACGCTGTGTGTCCCATCACACGGGCCCGATCGATTATTGACCTATCGCGGTCGAATCGCGTTAGAATTGCGTCAATGCAGCTTGTGAAATATTGTCCATTATATAACCGACATACAGATCCAGCTTGTCATTTGATCGGTGGAACTCACATCACGTGACATTCGTTATTGCTCCCATTCATGCCGCGGCTCAAAAAGTACTATCCGCCCATGGGGAATGGGAAATACTATTCAACAGTTAGGATCATGACGCGGTATTTGTGTGCAAATGCATGCTGGTGAGCGCGTTCAGCGTTGCGCGTAGCGCGTATTGTTCCAAAGAGCCAGCGCTACAGCGTTGGGTTCAAACATTTTTGTGAAAGGGTGGTTTGGAAGAGAGAGATACATTTTTCTCCAGTTTTGTATAGAAAAAAAAGTTCAAAGATATCAAATGACAAGGATCTATATGTCAGTTATATAAAACAATATTGAGTGGCTTTAAATTGTGAAATGGGAGGAATATCATCGCTTGGTAAAATCTAGACTTTTCCATTTCACTCGGCTTCGCCTCGTGAAATGGAAAAGTCCAGATTTTACCTTGCGATAATATTCCTCCCATTCCACGCTGAGCCACTCAATATTTGTATTATACAAATATAACATGGTTTGAGGGTGGACAGTCGATATTCGCTCCCCGAGGTATTGGAAATTGACAAACTAGTTCCCGAGGCGAAGCCGAGGGAACTAGTTTGTCAACTTCCAATACCGAGGGGAGCTAATATCGACTGTCCACCCGAAATAAACCATGTTATATTTGTTTTACTATACCTCATACATATTCAGTTGCCGAATTTTGTTTTATCATTATGCACCTAAAACAAAATTTGGGGAAACTTGTACAGCTCACCAAAAAATTCAACTTCAATGACTAGTTCGGTTCGTTTGCAATATAATACAGTTACTACAGTTGTAAATACAAATGTTTGCAATGTGTACAACTTTCTTTTGTACAGGAGACATCTTTACACGGTCTATAAATTTTCTCCAGTACGGCATCATTGAGCTCTGGAAATTAACATTTACGCGAACCATGCAACCATGCATCTCTCCTGGGCGATGTTCGCGCGTGCGTACTGCACCCGTGCGACAGTTCCTCGATTGCTCTGTAAAGCGCATGCGTAGTAGACTGTCGCACGGGTAACCCATGCGACAGTCTACTACGCATGCGTATTTACAATGTGCGTGAATCCTCGCGCGCGCGTTTGGTAAACAGCAAGAATAACATCTGGCACGTGATGGTGAATTGACCAGTGAACGTTCGGCTCTCGATCATGAATAGTAAAATAACATGTCTTTTCATTCTATATCGATGCATGATATACATAATGGACGCGGAACGCGCAAAATCTGAGACGAACAAAACTGAGTGTACAAAAACTCCATAGGGTTGTCTAAGAGGCGTCGCAAGCGGCGAAAAACGCGCCCTCTTTTGTTGTTGGCGCATGGAGCCCATTCCAGGACGTAATGCCCCTTCAATTTCCTAGAACTAGCTAGTCTGGTTCCCAGACCAAAAGATTCCGACTATTCCTGATGAATCTTCATCAGGAATAATCGGAATCTTTTGGTCTGGGAACCAGACTAAGAACTAGCTGCCTGCTTAAGCACCGGCAATAGGCTTTCAAAAACATTTGCGTTATGTATCTTTCTTGTCGCAGGTTTTCCGCAGAATGTTGTTCAGCACATGCATCTAAGAAATGTGTTCTGCTCATAGCTTAGCAGCTCCATTTTGGCGGCTATAGCCACTCCCCTTTTCATTTGAATTGTCCCTTCTTAAAGTAACATCGGATAACAGTTTGCACATCTAGGTACATGGGCGTCGCCAGGATTTGTTTCCAGGGTGGGGGCAAAGCACATTATTTCCCAAAATCCTTGCTCTTTCTCTAGCCTATTTTTTTCGATGGTGGCGGGGGGGGGGGCATTTGCCCATCCCACCCCTATTGACACCCCTGCGGACGCCCATGTTGCTAAACGTACATTAAATTAACAGCAATATGACTTTGCACCTCTTGTTTTTTTCTTTGGGGGGGGGGGGGGTAAGCGCCCTTACCCCCTCCTGGCAACGGCCATGTCTAAGTAAGAAGTGTGTGTTGCCATCAGCAGCTCACCCCCAAGCGTGGAAGTCCGCGGGCCGCAGGATCTCAACAATCTTAGCCAGTCTCTTAGGAAAGAATCATGAACGGCAAAGAGCCCTTTCAAAATTGCAAATCTAGTGGGAGTCTTGTGGAAGTTTTATTTTTTAATGCAATTTTCCATTCTTCAGTTTTTGTAAAGTGCACTTTTGTATACAAACAATGAATGTTTGTGAGTGCAATGGTAAGAATAATTTCAAGAGGCGAAGCCGAGTGGAATGGAACATTTCATCTGTCACCGAATGAAATTATTCTTTTCCATTGCACAAACGTGAAACATTCATTATTTGTTTTATATAACACCTGAATAAATATTTGTCATTCGAGTGGTTGACTTTTAATTTCCAATTTATTCAGGTTAAAAATTGTTTAAAAGTTCGACAAGTTCATCATATTTCATTTATGCAAACTGTTAAACACGCAGGTTGAGAACCATCATATTCATTTTATCTCGATTCAAAACAGCGCCACTACCGGCAGCAGTGACACCGTGCAATGGAACGAATAATTCAATGACATGTGATCAACGATCCACCAATCAGATGACGGGGATTTATTCAGGTGTTTATAATATTTCCCGTTCCCCATGGGCGGATAGTACTTTGTGAGCCGCGGCGTGAATGGGAGCAATAACGAATGTCACGTGATGTGTGTGTTCTTTCAGCAAAACGAAAACCATCCACACACATCCCAATGTGATTTGTTTTCGTTTTGCTGGAAGAACACACACCTTTTTGTGGTCCATGGACAGAACTTTAAAACGGTGATTGTGTTTAAAATTCACGTAACTTGAAAAGTACGTGAGTGTTTTGAATGATTCTTGTACTAAAAGAAAGATTACGAATTGGGCTTTCATATCCTAGACTCTGAAACTGCTACATGTAGAACTTCACTAAAACAATGATCCCGACATTTGGGTTTCGTTTTTTACTTACCCTGTATCTACTGAGCTTTTATAATAACCTATAAAAGCATATATGATAAAAAAAAATTGCAAATGGCGTCATTATACCTCTATAGGCATGAAGCATCATTTGCTTTTAATGCATTTTCCTTTCATATAATAACACCACTCAAAATGCAAAGACTGAGAATGTTCAAAACTTAACCTGTACAAGTTTCAGCTCAGTGGATGTGAAACTTAAAAAAAAAATACCTTTAATCACGAAACACATTTCGTCTATATATAGTACTTTTTATTTCCAAAGACCTGTCAAATGACTGATCGTTGGAAATCACCTAGGGACCTACACTTGATTTCTTGTAAATGACAGCAAATCAGCGTAATAATAATAATGATCTCCCTCACCAAATCAAAACCTGTCCCACCTTGGATCAATTCAAACAACTTGTTAAAACTCACCTGTTCACTTGCGCTATATAAGAACTGTTTCTTCTTATTATCATTTCGTGAGGTGTTTTATCAATACTAATTACTATCTCTTAATCTAAGTAAGTTTTTTCCAAGATTCAGTAGGTTAGTTTTGGGATAAATGCAAATATTCTTCATGCCTTCAAATTAACTGGGCCGGATGTAGAGGTGCTTTTGCAAGGCCTGCATTAGAAAATAAATATTCCCTGGGCCCAACCGCCGAAACGCCCATCCATCTTATGCTTCAACACACCGAACAATGCCAGCAGGGACTTGGGCAAGGTCGCTTTTTTACGCTATTATGGAAGATAACAATCATCAATCTGTGTACATGTACACAAAAGCGAGCTGGAAATAGCACCTCACTCGCCCAAGGTTGCCGTATGTCTATAGTAAATACCAGTCGCACTTTGGCGAACGGAAGCTGCTTCTGCGGTTAAGTACGCGCACTTGACACGACCGACTTACTATCAGTCACTTACACTATTTCTTTCCAGACCGTTTTTGAACAGCCACATTACAAAGAGTCTTTAGGGACCTAATGAGAGAGGCGTACTGCGACCCGTACCTGGCCTGCTTTCTCGGCCCAGACCAGCGTCACAGTAGTAAATGCTATAAAAGGCCTAAATTAGGCTGAACTCATTCACATAGGAAAACTTCATCAGTTTGGCTGTGCTAAAAAAAGACCTTCGTGGAAGTTATTGCAGACTGAAAGTAAAGCACCCTGTTAAAAACGCACCGCAGAAGTAGGCTACGCTCCTCATCATGACAGCGATAGCGCAACTTGTCTCGTTCATAGGGGGTTTGAACCCCGTGCACGTCTTACTCTGTGCCGTAATTTTCTTAGTCTCTCTGTGGTGGTACCGAGGTTCCAAGGACCTACCCCCAGGCCCATGGGGTGTACCGGTCCTGGGGCTGCTTCCTCGGGTCTTCCTGGAGCTGCGTCGTGGATCGCACCCCCATCTCCTCTTCGCGGAGTACGCCAAGCGCTACGGACCCGTCTTCCGTGCCAGGGTGGTCAACAAGATGCTGGTGGTTCTCAACGATCACGAATCGGTCAAGCAGGCTTTCCTGAACCCTAACCTGAGCGATCGGCCGCCAAACACGCTGATTGCTGAGGCAATGAAAAGTGAAGGTAAGTAACCCCCCCCCCCCTTTCCCAAATCACGTCCAAGGGTGGTAGTCAGGTAGATTGAAACTACTGTACAGACTTTTCGGAAAAAAATCGCAAGATTAGTAGCCACCTTGAAATTTGAACGCAGCAAATTACCTTCTAAAATCGGCTTTATGTTTACTAAACCAATGATTCAGATTCATTTAAGGAGCATACGATCGCGATAAGAAAAGTATTGATCCGATTGCAAAAATGCGGACTAACAACATTCCAATTCGCCCTATGGTGCTTGCTTTCCAAAAAGCAGTCATTCAAATTCATCCTCTGACGTTTGTGAAGATTTCCTGAAAAAATTATCGTTTTGATACTTTATAGGGCACGTAGTAATATTGATAAACACACGGTAACGAACGTACCGATTTAATTAATAAGGACAACAAAAACTTGCTCAAAGTAAAGATAGGGATGGTCGCAAATATCCTGTGAAATTTTTCCACCTGAAATGGTATCACTCGGGAGAAAACAATCATTGCACGTGGTTTTAACAAAGTGTGCACGTGGGCACACTATTTCTGTTTAATTTGATGGTATTTTGTATTGGTTAAACTACTGCAAAGTTTACCCATCTAGTGTGACCTCGTCTAGTGTGACCTCGTCTGCGTCACACTGAATGAGATTAAAAGCCAATTATGAAACGGCAATTTTTGAAATGCTAGCAACGGAATCCACATATATATACGAGACCAAATAATTAAGCATGGATTTTCTCCGTTTAACCAATGCTAAGATGAAATATTATAAAGAAAATGAACCTTCTTTCACTCAAAGTTTGCATGTTTATTTTTCTATTGCACTTTTTGAGTATTAATCATGCCGAATTGATGACTTGTAAACGAAAATATAAAAGTGAAGCGTGAATCGCCATGTCAGACATATATGATGACGGATCTGTGTTTCTTAAATGCATGACGCTAGTTTTAAATATATAAAACGTGAACAGTTTGAGTACCATGTCAAGAAAACAACTGGAACAACAATCAGATGAATCCGGGCTACTCAAATCCAATTATCCAAAGAAGAATGTTCCAAAAGACCAAAACCTAACCTGTCGAAGCTTCAGCTCAGTGGATGATACACTTTTCGAGAAAACAGTGAAAAACCATAAACAACCTTTGGATCACAAAACACGAAAAGTCGGTCAATGGACTGATAGTTGGATAGTATCTACACTTCTTAATCTCTTCTAAATGACAGCAAGCCAGACGGAATGATTTCACGGGATGTTTAGTTCCAGTACGATCTTTAATCCAAGTGAGGTTTTTGATGATTCGGTACGTTCCTTCTTCTATAAATGCAAATAATCCTGTATGTCTTTAAGGCGTTTCGCATTACTTGGTTGCGCTCCAGATGCATCGCAAAATATTTAGTAGGCCTATGGTGCGAGGTCCATTGCAGCGACCCCTTTAAAGCAAATCACAGTCATTCAGACCATGTTCAGACCAGCCCTTCTTCATCAAGTGCAAAAATGGTCTTGTAAAACGAAACTAGTCAAAAACGAAACCATTTCGGTCGTGACGACGTTTTTGGAAGTGGTTGTCTTGCAGCTGAAATACTCGTTTCTTTCGGTTTGGCTCGTGTGATTACTCAACCCTTTTGGGATGCCGAATGGGCGCTATTGACTATCTTTCGGCGATGAATAATTAATATTGTTGAAAAAACATTGCCTACGAAATATCTAATACATGTACATGTAAACTGTAGTGTATAGTCGGTGCAGGTCAAAATAATAAACTTGAATACGACGATGCGTGGAAAATGCCAAATAGAGAGCAAAGCGAAATCTAAATAGAAATGTCGACAAAACGAACCAGTACAGGGTGAGTAAAAAAAAACCGAAACCCAAATGTCGGGACCATTGTTTTAGTGAAGTTCTGCATGTAGCATTTTCCAAATCTAGGATATGAAAGCCAAATTCATAAGCTTTCTTTTAGTACAAAAATCAATCATTCAAATCACTCATGTACTTTTCAAGTTACGGAATTTTTTAACACAACCACCATTTAAAGGTTCTGTCCAATCACCAAAAAGGTCAGTGTTCTTTCAGCAAAGAGAAAAGGAAATCACATAGGGATGTGTGTGAATTGTTAAAAACGGTGGTTGTGTTTAAAATTCTTGAAAAGTACATAAGCTTTGAATGAGTCTTGTACTAAAAGAGAGCTGATGAATTGGGCTTTCATATCCTAGATTTTGAAAGTGCTATATGCAGAACTTCAATAAAACAGTAGTCCCGACATTTGGGTTTCGGTTTTTTTTACTCACCCTGTACAGTACATGAACACAGAGTACAAGAGACGTTTGCTCCTATTGTGTGCTATTTGGGAACATTGCCAATTCGGATCAGTTCTAGAATAGTAGAACATTCTCTTTTTGTTCATAAAGAATGGGTCTCAGCTAGGTAGGCCCTACACCGATTCACTTTTCTCGTGCTTGGGCTGGCAAAAGCAATATGCCAATTGCTACACGGAGTTGAAGGCACCCCAATGGTGTATGCAGGGTTTTTATGTTTTTTATAACTTATGGATTTGCCGATTTGTCAAGACTTTTTCCCATCTCGTACCCTAACCTTTTATGTGTTGATGATCGAAAACCGAACTATTCCACATTGTTCAAGGCGTGATCATTTGCGTTTATCCCAAAAGTGCCCTACCAAATTATTATCAAAAATCTTACTTGGATTAAAGATCGTACTGGTTCAACACCCCGTGAAATATTCCGTCTGGCTTGCAGTCATTTAGAAGAAGTCAAGAAATGCATAGGTGATTTCCAGCGATCGGTCAATTGACTGACTTTTGGAAATAGGACCTACAGAGTACTATTGACAAAATCGTATTTCGTGGTCAAAATGTTGTTTATGGTTTTTACTGTTTTTTTTTCTTTCGAAAAGTGTAATAAATTATGGGCTTCAACTTCAACAGGTTAGGTTTTGAACATTCTTCTCGGATTTCGAGTGGTGTTATTATTGGAAACGAATACAATGCATACAAAGCAAATGATCCTATTTGCCCTCAAACCACCTGTTTTTTTTTATAGCAGTGCATGAATATGTCGCATGACTGAAAATGTTGTGGCACTGAAGATAACTAACGACTACACCACAATGTCTGCATTGAGCGAACCTGCCCTAGATCTCAATGATAAATGTCCCCACTCCAGAAATTCGGGGAAAATACTCAGAACTTTCCAAGGTGTTCGTGACACACATCAAATTGAAGCCTATTTCATCATCTTTCATTTTCTGTTCCTTTTTTTTTGGGGGGGGGGGGTAATTCGATGACTTTGATGAGAAATTCCCATTTAATGATGATCATCCCTATAGAAATAGTCTCGAAGCCCATCGCCATTTTGAAAATGACGCTTACGCTCCATTGCAAAATAGAGCATTTCTAGGGCCAAATTTCATCCAAATTCCACAAAAATACAAGCTGACAATCTTGTTCACGGCTTCTACCCTTCTGTTTTGTACAAACATTGAAGTCTGTGGCCCACAAAATGTCCTTATAACAGAGAATTGAGGGTATGCAAATCGTGATTTGGCCGGGTTTAATTTTTTTTTTTGTTAAAGGCAATTTTGGGCCTATTTACTGGCCTGCAACCGGAATAGGTTTTTTTTAATCCGGTAGACAGCGTTTTCCCCTGACGACGGTAGGAGCATACTGACCCAAACCCGAGGGCGGATCCTAGGGGAATCGTTGGGTGGCTAACCACCCCCTCCCCTTTCAGGTGCGGATCAAGGTTTGAATCAAGACGGGGATTTAGCTGCCAAGAGTGGGGTTTAGCAGGCATTTGCTGCGATTTTTTTTCCGGCCCAAGAGGAGTGTATAGACCCCCTAACCTAGATCCGCCATTGCAATTTACATAATAGGGAAAATTGCAAATGTCCTTAACTTACCTGAATAACGTCATCACTCAATATTGCAGATGTTGATTCGCTGTTTCAGGCTTTGGGTCTGTTTATGCGTTGACTGCAACGCTTCATCCATTCCATTGAACTGCCCCAGCCACCCCCAACTCCCCCCCCCCCACCTCCTTAGACAATCTTGTTGGATCCGCCAACGTGTATTTTCCCAGAACCAAACTAAATAAGGGACTATCCCTCATGATTGTGTTACAATAAGTTGAACTTATTGTTATCCCTTCCTGTAAAAACCTAAGATGAAATTTCTAAGAATGCTGTTTAGGTTGAACTACTCTTTTAACTAACAAATTCGTTTCATCTCGCAATGGGCATTATATGATAACAAGAAAACCAGAACATGTCTTTCATTTTCTCTATATATCCACAAAAAATTACCTTTAGAAAATCTTGGATCCGCCAATTTGAATTGTCCCATCAGAACCACACTAAATAAGGGACTTTCCCCCATGATGGTGATACAGCCAGTTAACTTATTGTTATCCCTTCCTGATGTATTATACCTGAAATAGAATTTCTAAGAATAGTGTTCAGGTTGAACTCTTTTTTGAATAACAAATTCGTTTCACCTCGCAATTGGCATTGTGTATGATAACAAGAAAACTGGAACTTGTTTTTCTTTTTCTGAATATATATAACCACACAAATTGTTGGAGTAAAAGTTTCCCCCTCAAAAGCGGAGCCACGAGGCGAGTGTGCAAATGATAACTTTGCCGAAAGAGCCATTTTGTAAAGTTTATTGAAAAGAGACGCAAAACACTAACAGAATATGGTGTCTTTTCAGACCGAGTGCTCTATGGCTGATTATTTTGAGTATACCTTGTTTAAATTAAAGCGGACCACATGCAGTAGCCATGGCAGGGTGTAGTGTGGCTTTGGAGGTTGCAAGCAGGGTGACCATAAGATCATGGCCAAATTCTGCTAAATGCACCTCAAAAATCTGTCAGATTTATAAAACATCTGCCAAGTTTCCCATAATTACTCGAAATACACTATATAAACTAATAAACACTTAAAATCACATGCAGATGTTGTAGTACTGCCTTAATTGAGGTTCAAATTACATTACAATCTATAGTCACATAAAATATGTTGTGAAATTGTGTAAATTTCACCAAAACGTGGTTGCGTCACGACGAAGTCCGGTTCTCAGTGAACCTCAGCACCTGGACCAGCCAACCTGTCCCATTATGCAAGGGTGTGTTTGAAGGGATTGAAGCTTTTTTAAACAAATGTACCATTTTTTTTCAAATGTGCTATGTTTCTCTGTCAAATAACCATTTTTGCAGAATTCTGCCAGAAATCTGCCAAAAATATCCATTCTGTCAAATTTTCTGTCAAACTCGTTTTTAACAACAAATCTGTCAAAGTCAGCCGAAAATCGGCTAAAACGGTCACCATGGTTGTAAGTTCTGGTAAAGGTGAAAGACTCGAGCCTTTCCCTTACATTTAGTGCTTAGTACCATTGTCACGCACATCTCTGTATACAATTTACATGTACTCAGTATTCTTGCATTCATACTGTGGTTACTGTTTCCACAGTATGCCACTGTTTGTCCTCTGCACACTAACAACATATTCTACTGTATTTTGATACTGTATTGTATAAGTACAGACGATTGTACTGTTTGGTATAAATATACCTGTTTTGTATATTCATAACCATGTATCTAAAGAGTTTTCCCCTATTGTCCAAGTCGGCAGGGTTGCATAGCTGGACTCATGCCCCTCTCCGAGGAAAGTTTATGGCACGGTTTAATGATTTGTTGGCAAATAATTATATGCTTACACTTGTAGAGAATTCTGCCAAAACTTGTCCTCAGACCAAGACGAAATTCCAGTGTGGGAACCAAAAGGATCGCTGATGGGAATTTTTCCTAAACCTTTGTCATGCTGTAGTTGTTGATAGCTTTGCAAAGAATTCCTCTTTTTCATTACAGCTAAACTCACGGAACAATGACTCTTTTCACACAATGTCTGTTTCGAACTATATATAGTCGCAAACTATAGTGCAAAACTATATATAGATTCCAAAACTAAATATAGACTGTCCCGAAAAGGCCTCAAAAATCCAGATTATTTTTTCGCACTTTGATAAATTGGATTTTTCCAACGGAGCGTAGTTGTCATCTCGCTTCGCTGACACTCTGAAGCTAAATTGCACAAAGCCCATTCAGAGATTTGACCGATTCTCCTTTTTGTCAGTGAATCGAAAGGGGAAAGTTCTGAATAGTTTCGTGGTTGGTGGCTGAGATTAAAGGGTCAGTGGCGTTCATTGTGCGGCGATACCAACGGTAGACCCATCCCAACCACTTGCCACAAAGTAGGTCATGGACAAGGGCGGATCCAGAACACAATTTTGGAGGGGGCCCAAAAAAAATGTGACCCCAAAAAGTGGGTCAAAACAATTACGGCGTGGGGTTCGGGGCCCGCTTAAGGGCCCCGAAAAAAAATTGGATTCTAGATGCTCTGTGGTGCGATCTGAGGCAATTTCTGACCACTTTAACCAATGTTTTTTTGAGGAAAAGATGGTGGTGTACTCATTGCCTGCCTTTATTGCGATGTTACATTAAAAAAAAAAAAATTGGTTTCGTTTTTTTTTGGGGGGGGGCCATGGCCCCCTTTGGCCCCCCCCTGGATCCGCCCTTGCTTGTTCCGTAGTTGTGGGGGGGGGGGGGGGCATGGCCCCCTTTGGCCCCCCCCCCCGGATCCGCCCTTGGTCATGGAGGCCCCTTTATTCATCCAACATGAAAAACAAGATTGCATATAGGGCCCACCTTATGTTACATTCATTCATTTGGTTTACTTATTCGTTAGTTTGTTTGTTGTGTTGTTTGCTGGGTTGTTTGCTGGGTTGTTTGTTGGGTTGTTTGTTGGGTTGTTAATGGTCTTCTTTGTTAGTTTTTTTGGTTATATTTGACAGTCTCCACGGATATTTTAAAAAGACAATACAGCAGACCTTTATCAGGGTACACCATCTTGAAAATGTCAATAGTGTGTGCGGTGAACGAGTGACTCTCGCAAAGTTAGGGCCTACATCAGATTGATATTCTTATAAATTGATGGATAGCTACAATTCCCCGTAGGTCATTCTAGGTAGGTCGCGTCTCATTGTCATTTGAAGAAGGATCTTATCCAGCTAAAAACCAGTGGTGAAACCGAAGTTCCCGTGTTCGTTCTTTATATTCCTCCGCCTGGTTTAATACACGTAGCACCACCGTCAGAGAAAATAATGATCAAGACTTTCTATTTTCACTTTTCCATCCATACATAATAAGACTATCCACGAATTGTCATTCGCACAGGACCTGTCATTTCCCAGAAATAAAAAGGAACTGGTGCACAAACGAGTGAACAATTTCTCAAGTTTCATGAAGATATTTCTGTCGTGCACTGTACCCTGACTAAGTTCCGTGCAAATGGTACGAGCCCTACACGAGACTATCGACACCCGTCTGCTCAACAAAAAGACGGGTATCTTTTTGCACGTAGTCGGGGTACAATGCGCTATCTGACCGTTGGGAAGTAAAAAGAGACGTTTCAATTCACTCGTTCGTATAGGGCTCCAGTTTCTCTATTTCTGAGAACTATGTGGCAGATAGGCCAACAGGTGCAATTTCAGCTAAGAAAACGTCGCGGATGGAAAAGTAAAAATAGAAATTCTTGATCGTTTCTCTGACGGCGGTGCTACGTGTATTAAACCATGAAGGAATAAGAACGAACACAGAAAACTTCAGTTCGGACACTTGTTTTGGGCTTTATATTTATAAGATTCTTCTTCAAAATACAATGAGACGTGACCTACCTAGAATGTTGATTGATGTTTCGGGGAATTTTGAGCACACACTGTTGGGTCGTATGTATAAAAACTATTAAATGCTAAGAAGTTTAAGCAGAAAGTAAAAGCATTCACTTTGGAGTTCAAGCATTAGGGAAAAGCAAATGCTTGATTTCGTATGAATATAAGTTTTCCTTTTACTGTTCAGCGTTTACTTGACACCAGGTAGCAAATGCTTCTTACTGTTGGATTGTTTTCATGGACGAATGATTGCCAACATTTGGGTTTCTTTTGTGTGTACGAACTGCCGCACACACACAGGGTTTACACGTGGTGTAATAGTCCAAATCAAGGTGATGCATACAGTACATGTAGTAGTAGATTTGATCCTCAAATCCAGCAAAAATGATGTCACTTTTCGCCAGTTGCAGAATACAGAAAGTATACTTTCATCATTCATGAAAATTGTAAAGGTCCACAGTGTCCTGTAGACGTCACAAGTGCATAAAAATCACAGACGTGTTAAAGTGGGTAAAATCACACCAACATTCGATGCACAAAGAGTTTTGTTTATTGAAATATTAAAAAAATAATAGTTTGCAAAGATTGGTGACCTAATAAACTAAACAACTGATTTCCTTTTGTTCAGTCCCCAGGGTGCCGTTGGATGAAATTTATTCTTAATCATTCTGTGCCGCACTGAATTATACGCTAACACTTCTCATATCGTGAACAAAATGCGAAATTATCGTTTCTAATTCTAGTTATAAAATACATAATAAAAGGTATTTAAATTGCGCATAAATGTTAGTCAAAATACAGTGTATGGTATCATAATAGTTTATCAACGTTTTGTGTCAATTTTGGGGCGATTAATATTAATAAATGCAGCAGTTTTTGTGCAGAAGTATTTTTTTTTTTTTTTTAAGGTTACTCCAACCCAGCCTTGAAAAATGACCGGTAAATGCTTGAAATCTGAAGCATTTACTCCTTTTTATTCATACGAAATGAAGTAAATACTTCTAGTCTAGCGAAAGCTAGCAAGTAAAAAGTAAATACTTTTAGCTTTCAGCCCCCACTCCGAGGAAAGTTTATGGCGCGGTTAAATGGTTTATTGGCAAATAATTATATGCTTACACTTGTAAAGAATTCTGCCAAAACTTGTCCTCAAGAAGAAATTCCAGTGTGGGAACCAAAAGGATCGCTGATGGGAATTCTTCCTAAAAGAACCTTTGTCATGCTGTAGTTGTTGATAGCTTTGCAAAGAATTCCTCTTTTTCAGCACAGCTAAACTCACGGAACAATGACTCTTTTCACACAAGGTCTGTTTCGAACTATATATAGTCGCAAACTATAGTGCAAAACTATATATAGATTCCAAAACTAAATATAGACTGTCCCGAAAAGGCCTCAGAAATCCAGATTATTTTTTCGCACTTTGATGAATTGGATTTTTCCAACGGAGCGCAGTTGTCATCTCGCTTCGCTGACACTCTGAAGCTAAATTGCACAAAGCCCATTCAGAGATTTGACCGATTCTCCTTTTTGTCAGTGAATCGAAAGGGAAAGTGCTGAATAGTTTCGTGGTTGGTGGCTGAGATTAAAGGGTCAGTGGCGTTCACCGTGCGGCGTTACCAACGGTAGATCTGGTAGGCTGCATGGTCCTCAGAATGCAATGATGTATACTATATATTTCTTAGATACCATCGCTTTGCAGAACGCCTATTTTTTATCATTTCATTTCACCCCAACCCCCACATTCCCCGCCCCGCCCCGCCCCGGGCCCCGTCGCACACCACAACCCGCACACGATCAGATGATAAAGATTTTTCAATAAAATATAAAACTGGGATCACGCAAGGTTATTTCTGATTCGATTTGCTATTTTTGTTCTCAGTTTGAGAATTAAAGAAAGACTGCTAAATTACAACATATAATGCCTTCTGTTGATATGAGCATACCACATAATTTTTCGTGAACAATGCCGCGTAGAGCCGTTTATCTTTCATGATCTGTGTGTAGTTTTCATAAGAACCGCGGTTGGGTTTTGTTTTTGAAACAACTCAGATTAGAAAAACATGTGATGACCATTTCATATTTATTTTTGGGTAACAATTGTTTCGTTGTTATATAGGCGTTGCCATGGCTTCAGGAGAACCTTGGAAGGACCTCCGTCGATTCTCCCTGACCGTCTTGAGAAGCCTCGGCGTCGGCAAGTCCAGCTTTGAGGAGCAGATCGGCCAGGAGGCCAAAGCCTTGGTGGAGGAGATGACGAGCTACGACGGCAAACCCTTCGACCCCAAGTACCTCTTTGGTAACGCCGTAGGCAACGTGATCTGCTCGGCGGTGTTAGGCAAGCGTTACGAGTACTCCGACGAAGAGTTCACCCACCTGATGCATGTCATCCACAAGATCGTCAACTACATCGGGTCCGGGGGACTCTTAAACGCCGTGCCCGTCATGCGCGTGTTTCAACGGAATAAGACCGACGTCTACGCGAGCTTCGGTGAGTTCCGGAGCTTCCTGCTCTCCGTCATTGCCTCTCACCAATCTGAGATGGATCCGGAGAATCCGCGAGATTTCATCGATGTCTTTCTGAATGAAATCGATACCAACGAGAAGGCGGCCTCTAACGGTTCGGTCAAGGCAAACGGATCCGTCCGTACTAACGGGTTCACACCAGGCAAGGCAAACCCACCGAATGGTCTCCCGCCGACGCGACACCCGTACCTCACTAACAAGAACATTGTGGGCACCATCGCCAATCTCTTCGCGGCTGGTATGGAGACTACTGCCACCACCTTGCACTGGGCCCTCCTGTACATGGCTGTCTACCCCGAGATCCAGCAGCGAGTCCAGGCCGAGATCGACGCCGTGGTCGGTCGCAACCGGCTGCCCAGGATGGCCGACAAACAGGAACTGAACTTCACCCAGGCCGTTATGCTGGAGGTACAGCGGATCGCTGTGGTGACGCCGTTCGGTTTTCCGCACGCGGCGGCAGCAGACACCGAGCTAATGGGATTCAGGATTCCCAAGGGAAGCTTGCTGGTCTCCAACTTCTGGGCACTCTTCCGAGACCCCAAGGTGTGGCCGGAACCGGACAAGTTTAAACCGGAGAGGTTTCTGGACAAAGATGGTCTTGCATTCAAGCCTGAGGAGCTTATCCCATTCAGTACAGGTATAGAATCTCACATATTATTGCAAGTCCACATTCCAGCCATGGAAATGTAACCCAGAAGTCCGAAATGAAGAAATATGCTTGCTTTAACAACATTACTCATATTTTGATGCAGGTGTATTTTCCTGACAGTACCATAGTTTGTTCACATTGCCTTCTGTTTTAGGTAAATATTGCAGTACACATGCACACTTGCCGTAAGATGGAGAACATATAATATCAATGAAATGTATTACCTAGAAAATGAGATTGCCCATCACAATATAATCTAGCAACCATCCTTTCAGCAACTGTAAACTTGTGTTGAGTGCCGTGGCCTCGTGGTTAAGGGCATTGAATTTGTTAAGCTAGCAGTCTGTCCTCTCTCTAATCTTGACTAATATGGCTTTGAACCAACGTCTCATTTCTCACCGATTTAAGAACTTCCTTCAAGCAATCACTTCTTTTGTAATCATTGATCTTTTAATCAAATTACCCCGTTTTCATTGTCTTGGTTTCTGTAGGGCGACGCAGTTGCATCGGTGAGCACCTGGCTAAGATGGAGTTGTTTGTCTTCTTCAGCTTCTTTCTGCATCAGTTCACCTTCAAGAAACCAGACGACGCCCCTCCGTACACGTTTGAGTCACGGGTGGGCCTGACGCGCTATCCGGTACAATACCAGATCTGTGCTATCCAACGGAATTAAACATTGGAGATTTGAGTTTAATTTGATTCTTATAAGTTGGATGACATACCGCAGCAGGGTCATAATATTGGTCGATGTTCTCCATTATACTGTTCGAGATTTATTATCGTAGACGCTGTCCGGGGAACATACGAGAAAAACAAGATCCGATGCTAAACTACATAACAAACAACCCATCAACCCAATAAAATTAAAGTTTAAACAGTACAGATTTTACTAACGTCTCATTGCATGTATAGGCTGCAGAAAAAAAATCCAAGATGGTATGGGGATGATCACTATGCAGATTCGAAACTAAAAGTCGGAATTTGAACTACGCAACTTTGCTAAGCCAAGCCTGCTAAAACTGGCTGCCAGCTGAAATGCCGTGTAATATACGTGCTACCTGTGGCTATAGTAGCTGACTGATCTTTACTCATACAGCTATTAGAACGTAAATTTGCCGGGCAACATTTTCGGCTGAGTATCACTCTTATTAAAAGTCCCGGGTCCGAATTGACTCGGAATCTGGGTCCTTTTCGGGTCACAATGACACTTCCCCGGGTCAAAATGACACTTTTCCTGGTCAAATGACACTTTTCCGGGCCAAAATGACACTTTTCCGGTTCAAAATGACTCTTCCAGGTCAAAATAACCCGGAAATATGAGTCAAAGAAGTGTCATTTTGACCCGGAAAAGTGTCAGGCTCCATAGGACCCGGACTCGGGGTGAAATCTTATACCCGGGACGTTTTTAATAGAGTGTAACGAGTTACAATCAGCCAGCGATCTCAAAATCTGGTCCGCAAAAAATTGTTAATTGTTTACTCAGCTCACTGTCTGTGATTTCCCCAGACTACTAGTGACAGCCATGATGAAATCTCGCTGTTTGTTTAAAAAATATGATGATACAAAAGAGACACGAGTTGTTTGTGCGTCCCTGGCACTGACCTGTTTCCAACCGGAACTCTGATATCCATTCCTAATCTGTTTACGCCGACGACATCTTTTGAATCTTTGTTTGTTGTTGACAGTCTACAATCGGTTCGTACCAAGGAGGTTCAACTACCACTCCAGAAATTGCATCTGTTGTTTTGTTTTCGGGACCACCTTGCACGCGAGGGTTCATTGGTCCAATTCCGCGACCCGTCAACAGACTGCACGCTACTTTGTTCTGGTTTTTTTTCCCTGTCATCTCGATAAGCCCGAACTTGATCCCAATTTATGCCCTCAAATGTATCTTGGGGAAAATCAAAATCTTCGTTTATTCACAGTTTGATGACAAGGATATCTGATAATATATTTTGATAAAATATATACCAATTTTCGATTTCTGTATACCCGGCTGACGGTGAAAGACTTGCATTTCTGGGACTGAATTTTAGTGCACAAAGTAACTGCCACCAATGTGTAACGTTTGGTATCAAAGATTAAACAAAATGAAAGGGCAACGATTTGTAAAGTTTTCTGTCAGATGAAAAATGAAGGCAATGTTAAAAAGTTGGAATAGAAACCGGGTTTGGGGCTGAAAATCCACCACTGATTATGTAAGACATACCTGGTGTATAAAAATGCATGTCTTCATCCTTTCGCTCGTTGGTTCTATGCCTGTTTTGAATCGGAACTTTTCGGAAAAAGCCTTCCTGAATGTGAAGATATAGGTCTAGAATAGTCCAACCACGGAGCCAAATGCTTCATGGTGTAACCTGCATTGATACTAGAAAGTAGATCAAGTGGATGCTTCAGAATAACCTATACTTTGTTAGACTATCTTAAGGTTCCGTTGCATAAAAACTTGCAAATCTGTATTCGTTCGACTGAGAGTTCCTAATTGTTTTGATGATGTTATCTTTTCTGGAATATGAAATATGTAGATAAGTCGCGAATATACTTTAATAGGAAGTATCTACAGTGAAATGTTTTATGGATTTTGTAAATACGCTTATATACATTTTGGTACTAAGCTGGTATTTTTTATGGAAATACATGTACTTACAATAATTACATACAATATTTCACTACTGAAACCTTGTAGCCTATGTTGTACATATACTTTTTTTTATTATGAGTGTAAATCATTTATAATCTACTTCTACAACTTTATTTTAATGTCACAATAAAATAATAATGGGAATATATATAATTATTTTTATATAGAATTTGTTTTTAATGCACAATACTTTTCATGATAGGCTTACTGAGAAACGCACATAGAGCTATATTAAATTTAATATAGCTCTATGGAAACGCATTATATGTACCAATATCGTATGATTTTTCCTATCAACTAAAAATGCACCTAGACTCTTTAAAAAATTTTTTTTTTTTTAATGTTTACCAAATTCATAAACGCTACCGTTAGTCCTGAACGTGTTTCATTCCATCACAGTATTTTATTTTTGGTCATATCAGTGCTTATTGCATCCATGCAAATTGTATATACTCAATGTCAACCACGTATGTGCCCTTCATCAACATGATTTAATAACAGACTCAATGAGGCGCACATAAATTGTCTAGTTTAGTGGACTGTACAGTTGTTTTCAATTTCAACCATCGTTATATGGGTGTTTGTGGTATAACATTGCTATTATGGGCGAAATACTAATTTAAAATATCTGAATAAAATAACAGCGGCCTATTTTGTTGTTATTATCGGGTGGTACACGCGTCCATGCAAGGTCGTTTAGCCAATTTTTGTCTTGGTCTGTTCAATAAAAGGCGCCTGTGGCTCATGTGGAGCCCACATTTCAACGTTGGGCATGGCACGCAGTGTGTCTCGGTGGAAGGACAAGTTCCGAATTTGGTAAAATGGATCTGCAGCTTGGCTTCCTCGTGGTTCTGTTTGCTTTCTCAATTCTTGGGATAAATATTGGAGAGGTTTCGGCCAAGTTCAACTGGCGTTCAATACGGAGGGTAAGCTTCTTTCAATGTCACTGGTTTCTTTGGGGGGGGGCGGGGTCTCAAAAAAATTCAGAAGGTTAGGTTGTCATTTTGATGATTTTATTTCCTCTACTTCGGAGGAGGAGGATGTTTAGAATTGTTGGATTTCTTTTTATAAATTGAAAACCAAAAGGTATACAAAGGGGACTAAGGACGTTTTCCCCCAAAGTAGTCACGTGATGATTTATATTAAATCATTCACCCGATCCACCCGATTCGACCATTGTTTGCTCGTTTATCGTGGAGTTTTCATAAATGAATACTGTGTTTACTTTGTTTCATGGGTTTACAAAATAATGACCTGAGTACCAAAATTCGCTTGTTTCTTTTTCGCTTATACATGTTTTAATTTCAGTAATCTCATATGAAAAGTATATAATTGGACGTTTTAATCAAATACATGTAGGCCTAGCATCGTTTAAAATAATTTTCTAAGTTTACTTTTTTTCTAAGGTTCTTTTCGTGAGACAAAGAGGGTGTTAGTTTCTGTTAGGTATAGAAATAGTGGAATAAATTACCGTATATCTTATTGAAAAAGATACAAAAGATATCTAGATAACAACTGGAAGGCTTGGAGATCGAGATTGATCGTGTTGATGTGTTGCTTTTTTTTCTTGTAGAATTTGAGGTTTCTTGGTGAGGAACCACGTGGTCACCGCGGCGGTATTCGGCGGCCCGCGCTTGTCCCTCGTTCCGAACATCGACACACCAACACCCGATCTCGTGAGTAATTAATAACTAGGGATGGAGTGTCATGGCGAGTGGTTAGGACTCAAGCTCTGTGGTGTTTCCGATCAGCAGAGTGTGGGTTCGAGTCCCGGTCTTGACACTTGTGTCCTTAAGCAAGACACTTAACCGTTATTGCTTTGTCCTTCGGATGGGACGTCAAGCCGTAGCTCCCGTGTGTTATGTAATACACGTTAAAGAACCCAGTAACATTTACCGCTAAGAGAAGGGTTTTGCCCCGGTGTTTCTGGCAGCTAGTGGCTGCTTAATGCGCCGCAGCACCTTGTAAACCCTGATGGGGTGCTACATAAAATGGGTTTCATATGTCAAATACTTCAATTACCTGTCTTTACAAAAAAAAAAAAAAATCATTAGCGCCTTGAGTACCGGTACCTAATTGTACGTGCGCTATATAAGTCTCCGGTATTAACGACGGTGGGCAAACTGTCCAAGATACTTATGAAAAAATTGCTCCTTCGCACAGTTGCATATTTTTGTTTCTGTTTATCGCTTTGTCATGGGAATGGTGTACAGCCGACAACTGTTTTTGAAATTTTCCGACCGGCTGTGGGAATTCAAAAAGCCGGGGTGACATTCTATAGGCCATGGGTACTTTTAATTTTCGTGAACGTTTTTTTTTTTATAGGGAGTTTGATTATTGTAGCCGGTAAATGTGTGTACTTGTTGTGTAGACCAATTGGGCTGAAACGAAATGATTGAATGATTGAAGTCTCTCGAAAGGCATTTCAAATCCGCTTGGAATTTAAGAATATTAAAAGGACCAACAGATATCACTTTCATATTTTTTGTTCAAGCGGGGAAATTGTATTCATTCTTTCATCTATTTTTAGACTTTTCATAGCGCCCTGTCTGATCCCACATAATGCTCGTTCATTCCCCAAAGAACCAAATCCGGAAAAGTTCCAGGTCATGGTACGGGTAAACACACTTTAACTCTCCTAGGTGCAAATTCACCCCTGGGCATTTTGATACAGGTTGAAATCCTGTTTGAGTAGGCCTGTGATACCGAAAGTCATATCGCGGGTGAGGTGCAACGACAAAAAACTGAATAGACATATTTACTTTCCAGAGTCCAAACCGGCGGCGAATACAATGACGTCCCGATCGAACAATCTTTCCTCTTCCTGTTGGGTGTTTTTTGTTGACTGTTTTGATACCCAATTTGATTGTAATAGTGGGACTCTCTGATGGCTCAATGATACCCACTTTGGTTTTGAGTGTCCCACGTCACTCTAAAGCAGATTAGAAGCCCACGACTATACTTTAGCACACGCGTATAAATAGAATTTAGAAAGGACCAAGTTACCTTTGGCACTGTGCCCGATAACGCGCTGCACGCAATGTCAGACTCCCACAACAACATCTAGGCCTATAATTTACCTCAACAAGTATCAAAAGTACTTGGAGGTTATCTTAGTCATCGATGCGCTAGTCACGAATTAAATCATTTATGTGGTAAGACCTGATCTAACTTTAAGAAAGTGATGAGTGGAAAACTTGGTGGGTTTTTTCGGAAGGAAGGCACGTCGCCAGTTTCCAGCGAATGTTGTGTCGCCAGTTTCCAGAGAATGTTGTGTAGACGTTCAACAAACTGTGTACGCCCTGGGGAATGGACTTGATCGTTTTCATATGCCTCTTTCTTGAAATAAGGCGGATGTATAGATGCGTTGACAAATGTTTACGGGCCCCGCGAGGTTCACCTCACAGCTCGCCCTTAATATTACCACTTCTGCTTAAAACATACAAGCAAAACATAGCAGACAGAAACAAAACTTCACCTCTTTTTTTCTCCTCCATATTATGAAGCCCGGGAAGGGACAGGGCGGAAATGTTTTTTGTAATTTGCTAATTCGTTCCCACGAATTGCTTACTCGTTCCCACAAATTACTAATTCGTTCGCACGAATTGCTAACTTGTTCGCACGAATTGCTATTTCGTTCGCACGAATTGCTATTTCGTTCGCACGAATTGCTATTTCGTTCCCACGAATTGCTAAATTGTTCGCACGAATTGCTATTTCGTTCCCACGATTTTCTAATTCGTGGGAACGAATTGCTAACTCGTGGATCCGGGAACACGTTGTAATTCGTGGGAACGAGCTGGAAATTCGTGCGAACCAGTTAGCAATTCGTGGGAACGAATTAGCAAATTACAAAAAAATATTTCCACCCTGTCCCTTTCCGGGCTTCATACCTCTTGTGCGTTTGGGTTTTAATTTTTGAGGTTTTGGGCCAATTTGAATTTTGGTTTTGAAACTTTTGGTTTTGTTTTGTGTTACTTAAGTTGTTTGTTTGAATTTGTGGTTGGAGGTTTGCTTTGGGCCGTATTCGGGTTTGTGTTATAGGTTGGGGGTAAGTATAGGGTTTGGGTTTGGGGCTTTTTGTGTGGGTTTTTTGGCCTTGGTTTGTGTTTCGGTTATGTGGGTTTAGCTTTGGCGGTGAGTTTGGGTTATAAGGTTTGGCCCTGCATACTGCAGGGTTCCGGTCTGTATTATGGTTTGCTATTGGTAAAGGATTGTGATTCTATTTAATTTTGGTTTGATTTATTACTTCGTTTTGGGTTTGACTTTGGGTTTGGGTGGCTGTTCGGAGTTGGGCGTTGGGTTGAGGTTAGAGTATATTGTGGTTTAACCCTAAAGGGGCCGGGTTATTTTGACCATCTCTCAGCCGGGGGGGGCGGATTCCGCCCCCCCCTAAGATCTCGGCCATCGAGTGACGAAAAATTTTGAAACTCCACACATGCATAGAGCAACTCTTCCTAAACATGCCCAAGAAATTTCATGACTATAGGTCAAAGGGTTTTGGAATTATGGCTAATTAATTATTCATATGTATGAATGGCAATTCTGCTCGATGTACACGATGTATATGCGAAAATTCAGTTTTCACGGCGCGTAGCGCCGGAAAATTTTTCGCTACGGGCCAACCCGTGGTCCGATTTTTATGTTTTTGGTATCAAAAGATGCGCAAAGCTCGAGGCTAAAAAGTCATATCAGCTTGGGTCGCGAAAAAAAATTTTTTAGAAGCTATCGCGGAAAATGTTGAGGGGGGGGCGGATTCCGCCCCCCCCCGGCCCTTTTAGGGTTAAGCTAGGCCTTGGTTTGAGTTTAAGTTTGGTTGTCTGATCTGTTCTCTCTGTTTCTGCCGATGAAGGTTCAAACTCCGCGGGCCAGCAATCTCACCGATGTCCTGGCTATCGCTTTGCCTGCACGTACACCCATCAGTGCATCAGTAAATCCTGGCGATGTGACGGCTATCATGATTGTTGGGACGGCTCGGATGAAATTGAATGTTAGTTCAATGATTTACTAAAATGATCAGTGCACATATTTACTTAATATTAGAATATGTATGTTTGCTCTTATCAGTTTCTATGGTCATGCGTCTGTATGTGTCTAAAAATAAAATGGGGGGGGGGGGGTCGTGTTCACATCGTTTGCTTACTTTATACATTTCGTTTCCACGCAAGTTCCTAGTGTGCATATAATGTTTAACCCGACAAAAACTTGACCAGAAAAAAAAATAAAACAAAGTGTATGAGCTGACAAAATCTAACATGTCACCGTGACACAATTAAGATGAGATTTGAATGTGAAGACTTCTGTTTGTTAAACTCCCTTTTCAGCCTCATAAGTTGTTGTAGTGTTTGACTAGATAGTACACTAATTTGCACGGCCCATAGGATGTCTTTGCTATATTTTGCTCTTGATTTGAAAATACTGTGGGGCTTTGTTATCATTTGCTGATTTTTGTTTGTGCAGTATATTGAATTTTGTGTTCGTTGTGTGGTCGGACCAACTTTATGTCCCCCCAAAAGTGTCGTCTGTCTGTTTTTACAATAACTACAAAACCACGAGGTCAATTTTGAAAATTGTTGGTTGTGCAGATAGCCTTGTCCTCAACCCCTATAAGTTTCATTTGATTTCAGTCACGCATCACTGCACAATTTTCAATTGATCACAACAACGTTTTTGGACAATGTGACCAAGTTCCTTGCCTTATTCACTTTCAGTGCTGACTGGTTTTATGTAAGCTTTGCAAAATCCTGCATGCTCTGAAAAAAAGGCTGATGTGGTTTGGGATTGGAATCATTTGCCCTTGAGCATTAAACTGAGGTCTTGCCTTGATGACTGATATCCAGGCAAATTATTCCAATCCCTTTGCAGCCCTTTTTCACAACATGCAGGATTTTACACAGCTTACTTAACACAGCACTGAAATTGAATAAGGCAAGGAACTTTAATTGGTCACAGTGTCCAAAAATGTTGTTGTGATCAATTGATGATTGTGTAAGGATGCGTGACTGGAATTAAATGAAAGTTATATTGGGGTTGAGGCCAAGTATCTGCACAACCAAACATTTTCAAAATTGACCTCATGGTTTTGCAGTTATTGTAAAAACAGTCAGACGGCCCCTTTTGGGGGGGATATACCGTATAGATCGAATGCATTCAGCAGCCATCTTTGAGGTGTGTTTGTTTGTGTTAATTCATTATCAATTAATGCACAAGAGATCTACACATGCGTTACGTATCCCGGGGAGAACCATTATGGCAAACGATCTATATAAACGTTTGTGCACGCAGGCAGCAAGTGTTACTCCCATGAATTTGAATGCCAGAACGGAGGTTGCGTCCAGTCCCGTGATCGATGCGATGGTTACAACGACTGCGGCGATGAGAGTGATGAAAGCTTCCTAAAATGTAAGCACTGTAGGGAGGGGAGGTTAAAGGGGTGGGGCCAAGGGCACATGTCGTTACGGTCAGTGGCGTAGCCACGGGGGGGGGGGGGGGGCGAGGGGGGCGACAGCCTTCCCCCATGAAACCTTGTCGCCCCCCAGTCCCCCCCCCCCCCCCCCCCCCACTGAGATTTTGAGTTTCTAAAAAAATTATCATTGATCTACATGACGCCCCCCCCATGAAATGTTCCAGCCCCCCCCCCCCCCAGCGCCCCCCCCCCCCCTGAAAAATTCCTGGCTACGCCACTGGTTACGGTTTGATATTTTCGTTGAATGGAAACGCTGTTCAAGGCGGCCATACTATTTGAAAAGAATGGCACCTCTTTCTAATCTGAACACCTGACATTTCCGCCTCGTTGGGTAAATTATGACGGGATATTTGTTGCAGGGCCGCAGGGGCGAATCCAAATTGAAATCAAGGGGTGGGTTTAGCAGGCATTTGTTGTGTTTTGCTGCATGGCCTTCCTATTTTCTTCCGGACAAAACGGGGCATTAGACGCCCCTGATATAGATTCACCACTGGGCCGTGTGTATATATCCCATGACACTCTGCTTCATTCTATTCGTTTTTCGTTGGGATTTCTGTCAGTACTCGGAATGAATGGTTTACCCAGTTTTTTGGGTTTTAACTTCGTGTTTCGTCAAAAAAGAAAAATCTTTAGACAATGACAATTTCCTGAAGGGAAAAAGTCCTTTCAGTTAGTGGCGGGTCTACGGAGAAGGGGAGGGGTTAACTCCCCCTTCATCTTAAGCCAAACATGCACTTAACATGTCGTGGGTTCTATTTGGGCCTTTTTTTCCGGGTCGAAATCACTCATTTCCGGGTCAAAATGACACTTCTCAATAGTCATTTTCTGGGTCATTTTGACCATGAAAAGTGGCATTGTGACCCCGCAAAGTGTCAGCCTAAATGAAATCCGAATTCCGGGTCAACTTCTGACCCGGACACTGTGTTGATCCGCCGCGCCCCCATGCCTTCGGTGCCGCTATAGGTGTTCCTGATAACTTTTCCAATGCATTGGGGCTGGGGCATGTTTGATAAAACCTGGCTGGCTTTGTGTTGTAATTGATACAGGGTGAGCCAAAACGAGCGGAACCCAAACCCCAAAAATTATATTTCACATTTAAAAAAACAGTAGCACCAAAAAAAATAATGACTGGAAAGCCAATTCATAAGCTACTTTTAGACGAAAAAAATACTGATATTGCTCAATCCGATTCAAAGAACTTCACCATTTAAACGGAATGACCCTAATAGCTTTTTCGTCCAAGAAAAGCAATTTATTGTGAATTCTGACTGTTTTTCTTTGGAACAATAAAGAAAATGACACAGAAAACTTGTTTGGACAACTGTCAACAACTGTAGTACAAAGTATCTTCATTATTAACAACCCTGAGTAGGCAAAGAATATGATTTATAAAATCCACTTTTTTTGAAAAGACGGGCTTTCAGAAGGACTTTGTTGAACATTTTTAACTTTCAACTTAGGTTTTATCGCTGGTGATGTTTGAAGACAATATTGTGACGGCGATTCTTAAAATCGCATTTTTGGACGAAAGAGGTTTAAGGGTCATTGTGTTAAAATGGTGATATTCTTCGAACGGATTGAGCAATTTCAGGGTTTTTTTATCTAAAAGTAGCTTATGAAATTGGCTTTCCAGTAATTATTATTTTTATTGCTACATATTTTTTTAAACAAGAAGTAAAAATTTTGAGGCTTGGGTTCCGCTTTTTTTTTTACTCACCCTGTATAAAACAATCACTTTGTTCAACTGTCTGATCCTGATTTAGGTGGAGTATGCGATGCGGAGACGGAGTTTGCGTGTAAGAACAACGGACGATGCATACCACGTGACTGGTCATGTGACTATTATGACGACTGCCTGGATTTCAGTGACGAGGATTACTGTAAGATTAAAATTGTCATGTATAACCAACAAATAGGCGCTTTGAAATATTTACTCTTATTTTACCAAACTAATTAGATGGGGTCTGGGCCTTTTTGCTAGGATGTTACCTCAATCCTCCAATTGGCCTCATGAACAAATAGCATATAGGCCTAGCCTCAATCCTGCAAATTCCTCCATTATTTCTTGAATAATGGTCCGTGGAGGGGTGACCACTGCCTAAATCCTGCAAAATCCTGCAGCAGTGACTGTCAATATGTTGAGGCTTGGCCAGTGACATCCTGGAGCAGTACGGAGGATTTCAAGCATAATCCAGGCCTATATTTATGCATGGCTGAGCAAAAACAACACAAGGTCCGGCCCACGACCTTGACAAAGTGCATCCTACGAAATCAGTAACGCGCTTTTGCCATGTAACCTCAATCCTCCAAATTCCTCCACTTTGGCAAAGAGGATTTTGAAGGATTCAGGGCGGTAAGGGTTAACAAAAAATAGAGTATGTTTCGCATGTATCCGTTTAATTCTCGCATTTCGTAGGTTATAACGGTGGTTACAATGGAATTTACGTCAACGCTGAGGTTGGGGAAACGAGTACAGTCGCTACCACAACGCCCTCTCGTGTCACAACAGAGCCATCAACAACACCAAAACCAGGTACACGCAATTGCGTCCGAATTACTTGGTTATGGATGTAAATAATACACGGGTCTATGGGAAAAAACATGCAGCCGCTTCCATAGACGCGGGCGTCATTTTCCAGCCGAAGTCAAATATTTCGGACACTCCCCGGCCTAAGCCAAGTCGAGCATTCGCTACCGCGCATGTGCCAACTCGCCTTCACGCCAGTTTTTCGGATATGAACCACAAACTATCAACATAATCCAAAATCCTGTGGCACAATTCAAGTTGCTTGCACGAAATATCGATTTGGCTTATTGAAAAGTCAGTGGGCTAAAGCACATACGGTGGGCTCATTTTCATGGCTTTGATTTGTTGTGGGCTGCTAGCTCCGGGTGGCGGATGCAATGGCCTGCCAGAGCCATCATCTCCTCTCCCTGATCATGGATTACACAATAATTATTGCAAGGGATTTTAGGTTGTGCGTAATACAGAACTACCTTATTCTGAGGGTGTAACCTGCTATGGGTCCGCGTTGCGGGAAGCAATATTGGGGGCTTCTGTTTTGGAGGGGCTTGAGTTTCAACCAATATAAAAGTCTTATACATAGGCCTATAAACTGTTGGGCAGAATTCCTTGGTCAGCAGTGCTAATTTGCCCTGACTGTGCACCAGCAAGCACGTTCATTCCCTTGCCCTCTCCACCCAGTGTCCTGTGACTGGTCTACATGGGGAAGCTGGAGCCTGTGCACGGCCAATATCTGCTACGCTGAGCGGAGGAACCGGACCCGTACCTGCCCGTGCGGAGACGGCAACTGCCCCACGCCGGACGCCGACAATGCAGGTAGCGGTACCGGTGACCGGGAGCACAGGATGTGCCCGCTGCAGAATTGTCCAGAGGAGGCCGGTGAGTTGAAAGGATTCTGTTGGTAGATTGTGTTAGCAGATTTTAGCGGGAAACCAGTGCTGATAAAGGAAGCTCTTTACGTCTATCTACATGAAGATGATGGAAGAAGGCTGCACTCTGAAAAGTGATCCCTGGTAAGATTTGACCCGAAATCCGCTTTCTGTTTGGCCTTTTCAAACCCTTGGCAAAAGCTTCATTCTGACCCCCAAAAGTGTCAATTTTGACCCTGAAATGTGTCAGGTCCAATAATAAAACCGGATTCCAGGTCAATCTTACCCTGGCCTTTATAGGGGTGTGTATCGTCATAATGCATGCAGCAAAAGTAGTGGATTTCTCAGGCATTCGGCGATTAAATGTTTTCATTAACTTTACAGATTCTGGATGCGGTACCCACGCCACTTTGGGGTCCCTCTTCTCCGCACGAATCGTCGGAGGTGAGAGTGCGACTCCGGGGGAGTGGCCCTGGCAGGCTCAGCTCCGTATCAAGGACAGCGCCGGTCATTTCAACTACGTCTGTGGTGGGTCGCTTGTGGACTGGCGGTTCGTGGTGACTGCCGCTCATTGCTTCGTGGGGTAAGAAGATGCCGACTTAAGTGTTGCACTTGTCTCGTTTAGGATGATGACGATGGTGACGGAGCAGCGATAACCGTTTGACAATGATGACGGAACAACGCTGAAAATGACTCATGAAAGGGCTTCATGACGCTGACAGTGATTTTGGTTCAATGATGAAAATTGTGTACGATCATGATTCGATAGTGATGACCATTGACTGTAGAATTTTGATGACGAAGTTACGACCGTCGCTGTGAAAAGATTCCTTTTTCAAATTCGTTTACTGGCCCGATCAGCTCTCTTATTCATTTTGTATAGGTGGATTACAAATCTCCAAAAATCAAGTTAACTCTCTTTTAAACAAACATTATTGTTTATAGCAGTACCTGGAGAGTGGTGCGGTATATGGTTGTGTTTTACGTTCTGTGTAATAATAATAATAATAATAATGATAACTGGATTTATAGAGCGCCAAATTGCCAAAGGATGCAAGGCGCTGAAACAAAGAAAAAAGAACTACAGAAAGAACAACAGAAAAACATTGATTTGACGTTACTTTCGGAAAATAAACATCGGAATTATGTTCTTAAAAAGTTTTTTTAGGCGGAAATGCGTGACTCGCGAGTCACGAGTCTCTAGCGTCAAGTCTGAGTCATGATGGTAGAGTCCGAATCGGAGTCCGAGTCTTATTGCAGAAATTACTCGAGTCGAGTCCGAGTCACCTAAATAGCGACTTGACGGACTCGAGTCCGAGTCCTGGACTCAATTCCTACATACTGATCTCCACAGGTCCAGCAACCCATCTAATTGGTTGGTAATTCTTGGCCGTCACCACGTTGACTCAGGAGGCACACAGTTCACCATCTCAGACATCATCATCCACGAAGACTACAACAGCGGAACCTCGGAGCACGATCTAGCCCTCCTGGTGCTGAGCGAGCCGGCCAGGCCATCACGGACCGTCAACACGGTGTGTCTGGACGAATCGGGCGAGAAGTACTTCGGCAAGGAGTCCAACTGCTACATCACTGGATGGGGGTACACCTCGTGTGAGTGCTTGTATTCTCAGTAAAAAGCCTCTTCCGAATCTCTTGCCCAGTGCTATTATTTGTCTAGATCTCCGACACTTTTACTTGGGCACATGCTGACAGTAGTCGTAGCTGTAGCCCAGGAGGCCCGATTTTGGACACGACATAATTATTATGAGCCTTGCAAAAGTGAAATCTGTGCCTTATCCGAAAGAAAAATCAACAGAATTAAAGTTTATTTGACCAGGGGTTTTGTTCGGCGAAGTCGTCAAATGCATTGCAAGCTAAATTGAAGCGGATTGAAATCATAGTAGTTTCTTTTTCACCTCTTTGTCGATCTTTGTCGACTTCTTTGTCGATTCGCCGCAGGAGGTTAATTTTTTTTTTTAACATACCTAACAATGTATGTTTTCGACCTCACCGGCACCAATCCCACTATAGGTTATTGAAGGCAAACAACAAGATTTTCAACTCTACTATATTATAAAGGACCTTATTTTTTTATCTGGAAAGTTCAAGGAACTACCTCCGCTACACTCCAAGAGGCCAACGTACCCCTAATACCTTATGACGTATGCACCAAACCGGAAGTCTACGGTCAAATGATGCTACCCTCAATGCAGTGCGCTGGATATTTGGAAGGCGGGGTAGACTCTTGTCAGGTGAAACAACCATTCCTCATTAGTTCTCTCTAAAGTTGCTTTGCCTAAGTCGGCGATATCTGCCGGATCGGATAATGGCTCTCCACTGTTCCCTGTCCCCCATAGCAGCCGGTAATTCTTCTTACAGTTTTAGGAAGCCTGTATCGTGACAAAATGATGTCCACGTAGGTGGTATTCGGTCTTCCTGTGGATCGTCTGCCATGGGAGGGAGTCCAGAGCACCAGGCTACTGCCGGTAATGGGCTCAGGATGCCTGTGACAGTGCCCCGCAAATCTTAGTCTCCTTGCCCTGATCTTGTCTCTGATCTGAAGTACGTATATCGTTTAATTGATAACGGCAAACACAAAGCCGAGGCCACTGACGGGTGCAAGGGCGGATCCAGGGGCGGGGGGGGGGGGGGGCAACGGGGGCCATGCCCCCCCCCTCCCCCCCAAAAAAAAACCGAATCCAATTGTTGTTGTTTTTAAAGTGACGTCGCAATAAAGGCAGGCACTGCGTACACCACCATCTATCTTTTCCTTAAAAAAATGGTTAACAGGGTCCGAAGTTGCCTCAGATCGCACCATGCACAGAGCATCAAGAATCCCCCCAAAATTCCGCGCCCTTAAGCGGGCCTCGAACCCCACTTCGTATTTTTTTTAGTCCCACTTTTTGGGGGACCAACATTTGTTTTGGCCCTCCAAAAATTGTGATCTGATCCGCCCTTCGGAGGGTGTGCATGGACTACAAAATATAGGGACGATAGATAGAAAGAATGAAGAAGTCTTAAAACGTTTACATTTTGTCTGAATGAGTATAGGTGGAAGGGAAGCAAGATAAAGAAGTTCCACAAAGAGAGAAAGATTGAGGGGGAAATAACTTGACGAATATCTCGCATTGTGCAGTGGTGTAAGCAGCCAATTACTGTCCTTGTGACGTTAAAACCATTCATTTTTCAGGGTGATTCTGGTGGTCCTCTAGTCTGCACGGCGACGGATTCAACCAATGGGAAGGCTCGTTACTACCTGGTCGGGGCCACCAGCTGGGGAATCTCGTGCGCAGACAAGAACCACCCGGGCGTCTATACCAAAATTGCCGACTACACTGATTGGCTGAGGAGGCAAATGGATGACCACCCTCCGCCGTAGAGGGAGTCTTATAACAACACTGCCAAGTCTCTCTTCTTTGTTGTCTGTGTCTGATTCTCTCTGTCTGCTTGGTCAGTGACTTGATTTTGTGCGTAGGCCAATAGAGCACTAAAACTGAAATCGTTTTAATTGGCTTTTGTTTTTGTTTTGTTTGTTTGTTTGTTGCTTTTACGATCTCTTATTTTACTTAAGTATCTTTGGATTAGCACGTGTACGTATTTTTTTCTTTGCATACTTCGATTATGTGTAACGTCTTTCTTCGCACCACATTATGCCTTTGATCATTGTTCTAGGAAACGTGACGATTGTGGTGATCCAATGACGTCTTTATCCTCGCCAAGTTAGTCTAAATTTGTCCGTCCATAGTTAGAAGATCAGTCAAGGCCTTTTACTTTGCTCCGACGGGGAGAGTTATATCTGTCTGTCTTTGAATACATGGAATAAATGCTTCTCAAGTCAATCAATTAGCTTTAGAGGAATGGGGAAAACAAAGTTCATGTACATACATACATGTAGAACAGTGAAATTTGATAGAAATGTGAAGGTCTTTATAATCGGACATGTCGTAATTTATACTGTTATAATATTGTACAAATACTATTTGGTCACGTGCTCCTCATTTTTCCCATCCTTATATGCAAGGAATCAAACTGACATATTTACACTGCCATTCGGTGGTTTTCATAGACCGCTTTTTTGTAGATGCACATGATCACTGCCATTTCTGTGATGTTTATGGACCATGTTTAGATCGAAGTGTAATTTTCGTGAATTAATTACTTAAATAAACTTAAAATCAGTAACCCAAATGCTTTGCAAGTTCATTTTCATTTACTGATGGGCGATGAACCGTCGCTGCTAAGGATCAAACTTTCATTTGTTTATTAGAATCTATAGTTTTGTTGTAGTTGACGACCGGACCTCTTCAAATCTACTTCCAAATTCATTTCAAATCTACTGCACGTGCCAAAAAAACGGGCTCTTTATCCTTGCAGAGCTTCATTGCTGGAGGGCGCTTCTCACTTTCTCAGTTCTCTAAGAGTGGCAACAACTTTAAGTCTGGACTCAAGCTGGCTTCAAATCGTTGACGCTATGGAACTTTCGCGCAAAATTACACTAGTTTCTCTAATTTCACCACTCTGGTATGGACGATCATTAGATAATCAGAACAAAACGGAAAATACTTTCCCACCACCATGGGGCTGTTCGGTCAAACTTGGTCGCGGAATTTTGAAATGACGGACCGTCTGGGACAACCAGTCTAAGTCACAAGTGATAGTCAGTCAGTCGGTCAGTCATCTGTCAGTCAGTCAGTGAGATGGGTAGGCCTACAAAGGCCGTGGCGTAGTCATTTTGATTGGGGGGAGGTAAAAACAATCTTTAAAAGGACACTTCCACATCCGTGCTCAAATGTAGACACGTGTTTTTCTCCGGACGCTTGGGCTCCGTAAAATCACATGGGGGTGGGGTGGGGTGCCGAGGTCTGGTAGCAGATGTCGATGGGAGCGCTGTTCAAAACCGACGATTATGCACACTGTATAACGGACAATATATGGTGCTTTTTAGGGCGATACCGGACGGACTATGCAATGCACGTCCAAGGGCGGATCCGGGGGGGGGGGGGCCATGGCCCCCCCCCCCAAAAAAAAAACGAAATGAAATTTTTTTGTTTATGTGACATCGCAATAAAGGCAGGCAATGAGTACACCACCATCTTTAAAGTGGTCAGAAATTGCCTCAGATCGCACCACAGAGCATCTAGAATCCAACAATTTTTCGGGCCCTTAAGCGGGCCCCGAACCCCACGCCGTAATTTTGTTGACCCACTTTTTTTGGGGGGGGACCAAAATTTTTTTTTTGCCCCCCCAAAAATTGTGTTCTGGATCCGCCCTTGTGCACGTCCTGCTTTAATCGGCCTCGCTTGCAGGACAACATCCAAGCAAGAGCCCTTCGCTTAACGCCCTCTACGTGGCAGATGGGGATCTGCTTGCGCTTCAAAATAATCGGGAAATTCTTGACATTGAACGTACGGACAGGAAGCCAGTCTGCTTGCCAAGCGGCTATGTTTGTGCCCTAGCCCTAAACAAAAACAGGTGTTTTTTCCCCAAAGGTTTGCAGTCGTCAAAAAAGGGGGGAAATTAGGATTTTTGGTTTGAAATGATAAAGCATACAACTTGAGTTAAAAATTTATTAATAGAAAAAAAAAATGAATTTGTTGAAGAGTATGCACGCACGCAGAATGCAACTTTAACGAGAAAATCCTTGCTCAAAGTGAAGATATAGGACTGGTAACAAATAACCTGCGAATTATCATTCCACCTGAAATGGAATATAACAATCATTGAAGGTGCAGGGTCACGAGTGTACCGCAAGCACAGTTTTGAATACAGGCGTTAAGTTCCTAAATAACAACGGAATGCAGTAATTACAAGACCCCCCCCCCCCCCGCCCACTCACACACACACAATGTGCATACTTTTTCTCAATTTTTTCTTTACTTTTTTACTTTTTCTCATCCACTGAACTGAAACTTCAACAGGTAAGTGATTGTGCACCCTTCTTAAGATTTTGAGCAATTTGTTGCTTCAAACGAAAAACAAATGCACAAAAAAAGCAAATGATCTCAAACACCATTTAATACAGTATATAAGCCTGTCAGAATCGTTAAAAAGCCAACTGTGGCTATTATGTTTAGTTCAACTTTAGTCTTTTCAATGCACAGTGGGGCTACTTAGTTCACGGACAGCTGATCACATTACATTAATATTATTTATTTAGGATGTAAAAAGTACTAATGGAAAATTTTCATTTGAAAGCGGCGACCATATTCAAATAATTATATCCATTCGCCATTTCTCAGTATTGCAGTCTTTATCAAAGACTATAAATGTTCTAGTTTTAATAATTCATATGCAATTTTTAAAATTTGTTTAAAAGAGCACCAAAACAAAATTCAATTTGACTGGATTACCAGAACATTGTAAAATTGATCTAGAAAGAATAAAAAACCTTTGAATTGATATTCGAGCAGTTATCAAAGATTTCACGTCAAACTGTCATTTTTTCAAACTGTATTACATCACAGTAGTGTTGCGGGACTTGTACGAGTGAAATACACTCTCCCGAAGAAGCGCAAGCCGAACGGGGTTTTCATGGGCGCTATAAACCATGGAGAACCGGCCAGGTTTCCCGGTATTTCTGAATAACAGGTAAATCATGCAACATCGTAAATCTGGTTCATCGCCTGCCTTTGGTATCTGCAGTATTCCCCAAGCTAAAAGCATGAAAAAAATCCTGGACTTCATCACCTCATTAATGATAGGCCTGCGTCTCAGTTTTTAGTAATCATTTTAAGATCGATCGTTAATTGTAAACAGCGCCCTCTCTAGTTACTAAATTCAGATGATTGTCAAGGAAGCAAACTTTTCAGGCACCCACAAAAATTATCTGCGGAATTTCTCTTTAAAACTCCATTGAAAAAGAAGCACGTGTACGTGTAAAGCCTAAAGGTAAGTTACGTAAGATCAGAGTTGAATTCAAGTATTCTGAAGTCGAGCGATACGCTTTTTAATTGAACGGTGACAAAGGCATTCCGTTTTCGTTGTTCAACTTAATCTCCGAGTCCTTGTGTGTACAGCATGCATGCCAGCACACCGGCCTGCGTGTGGTACACATACCCGGTACGTACGTGCACAGACCGCGTCGAAGCCTGACATTTTTTACAGCCAAATTAGAAATCTGATGCTGTCTAAACCTACTAGAAGCATATGATAAGGCCTATGCGCCTATCTATCAAATTTTTCCCCCACCCCAGAGATTCAGTCACTTGTTAATGCCTTTGTTTTATATAGAGCGATTAAAAAAAGGGTGATCGTCTAGCTGGAGTTACTCAGCCCTAAATTTTATCATTTGGTTGTCATTTAGGGCTGGAGCTAATTTTTCACGTAACCCAGCAGCGTAGGCAGGTCCCAAAAAAAATTGCGAAAATGTTCAATTTTGTCCCCGTTACACACTAATTGCAACTGCAACTCACCCCAAACTTGCCTGGAATAACCATTACACAGGTCCTTGAAGTAAAAAACGATCCACGATGAAGATTCAGCCTACAATTGCAGTGAAAAAAGGAGGAATAACCGCTAACCTGACAACCTTGCAGGCATGGCCAGGACCGCAATTGGTTTGTGCACACAAAAAATTGTGTACAATGAATGGCGGTCGATTAACAGGCACAGAGAGCGATCGCTGTCAACTACTCGTTTTTGCCGGCTGCGCTGGCTGTTGGCGCATGATGTCACGCGGAAGCGTAACACCCAATGACTGTTTCATGCACTAATATGAGGTTTACCACTCACATCACAGCTGCCGCGGTACTGGAACCGCAACCGATAGTGCATGAAACAATTTTCGCAATTTTTTTTGGGACCTGCCTACGCTGCTGGGTTACGTGAAAAATTAGCTCCAGCCCTAAATGACAACCCAATGATAAAATTTAGGGCTGGGTAACTCCAGCTAGTGATCGTCTGGATTTTTTCAAAAAGAGGAGGATGAGACTTGAGACTTTTATTTTTTATACTTTTATTGAAAAATAGGCTGAAATAGCCATATTTCTAAAGCTTACACTGGCATCAATGTAAACAACAACATCATGCTCCATGGCTGCACTCGAAATTGCCAAGTGACACATCATTTTGCCAGTATTACCTGCTTGCATACAAAGCTTTCTGTCAATTCACACAAAATTTAAGGGGGAAAAAAAAAAACCCACCTCAACACAACAACAAAAGTATCGTCAGACCCCCTGTTACAACTGATAATGTAGTAGCCAACGGATAATGTATCACCAACTGATAATGTCACACAAATTGACCGATACTGTATCACTAACCGATAATGTAACAGAAATTGACCGATAGTGTAGTAAAACTGTACTACACTATCAGTTGATTGTTGTTACATTATCGGTCTTAACCGATAATGGTACAAATATTGACCAATAGTGTAGTAACATTTACTACACTATCAGTCAATTTCTGTTACATTAGGGGGTTGTAACACCCCCTAAAGCTACGCGCTCTTATTTCTACGCACTCACCTTTAAGTTAAATGTTGCAACGCGCATGTCTGAAAAATAACATACCCTCACTCGGATGGTATCCTTTAATGCACAAACTTTAACCAGTAGCCGAAAAAAAAGGTGGCAAGTGAACGCTTTACCAGGCAATTCAGGCAAAAAATGAAGAGTAGATACATTTTAACTTCTGCAACGTGTTCCGGCACCATTACACGATTTCTCAGCTTTGTGACCTGAGCATTATTTTTCTGCTTGATGCCGATGGTTCTGTCGTGGCGCAAGTAAACTGCGGGTCGACCTGAGGCCGGCTTAATGCAATATTGCCTTAAAATGGAGGAGGCCCTTTGATCTTGGTAGCACTGGTTAGTTGATGCATGGTTGATGACTACAAAACCTTCTTAAAGTGCTTATTGACCATAAGTAAAGCTATGAGAAGCATCTGAACTTCTTAAACATCTTTTATGAAATATGACTCAAATAAAAAAATTAAAAAATGATGCAGCCTTAAGAAAAGGAAGTGAGGGAGGATGATCAACTGTCATGCAGAAATTTCAGCATTTCACAAAAACTGTGTTATTAATACATTTTTTTTTACCTGGCCTTGAACTTGATTTACGATAAAAGTAAATTGTATGAAAATTCCGTTTTATCTATTTTGACATTGTGTTTTATTTCTCCACTCACATTCATACATAAAATGTACACATAGTTTTAATTTATATGAGAGTACTAGAATTTCTCCCTGCTCAACTTGTACAGCTTTGCGTCATTTCCAAAGAAAAGACAATGTAAAAAATCAAGATAGATCAATGTACCGGTAATAAAATCAATTACTGGTATAACTTGTTTTCTGTTGATCTGTTATGACCCTGGGGCTAAAAAAAAAGACCAAATTCGTAGATACCGGTAAGACCTGGGGCTGCGTGTGTGGGTGGGGGGGGGGGGGGGGGGGGGGGGGGGGGAGGGTAGGGACAATCGATGGGCATAAGTTTGTTTGATTTATTGCATGCTCTGTATCAGTAACATTTTGTAACTTGCTGCTGAGCCTGCCCTGTATTTGCATCATGCTACAGTCGACTCTCGTTATAACAAACTCATTCGGACCTAGCCAAATTGTTTGTTATATCAGAATTTTGTATTAAGAGGAACATCAGTCCCATACATCGTGCACATAAATGCACAGTAGGGACCAAGGCTTTACGTTGTTATAACCAGAATTTTGTATTAACAGCGTTTGTACTAACGAGAGTCGACTGTATCTGGCTACAATGATTAGTAATTACATTCAGGATCATCTATTTCATCTTAGGGATTACAATATGTATCTGTAATCAATAGACCATAATCAAACAAATGCTGGAAACTGTCCCGCCCTATTATCTGATAAATTGTATCGGATTATAGTGGATAACATTCATCACCTTTTCGTCAGTCAGCAAAACCAAATCAGTCCAAGTTTTCTCACCACTGCTGTAATCATCAGTCATGTAACTTTTCCTCCGATCAGCTGTTTTCTGGTTTTTCACTTCACAATTATGCCATTGAAAATTGAAAAACACTGTGACGTCTGTCAACTCAAGCTTGAAATTTCCTTTTATTCTGATACTTCCCAGTTGCATTCCTGAATCATCTAGAGACTTGGTGCAAAATATTTTGATGTGTACATGACTGTATGTATGCCTTTTTGTTTATTAATTTATTTAAGATTTTTCCTCATGGCTAAGACTGCAACTGCCAGTCGCATATGACGTACAGTAATTAGGGAAAGGGTCACCCTTAAAGCCAGAGTTCATCATTTGCAGCTATCCCAGAAGTAACTGGCGTAATTATTGTCGACAAACATACTTGGTTGAAAGATAGTAAGACAACTAAACTCCCTGTGAAATTATTCTTTCTGGCAAGCTGTCATTTTGAAGAAATCAACAAAAGAAGGCCTTTCCAACGGTGCTTCTTAAGAAGCACCGCAGGAAATTCAAATTAGTAGTTCGTTTTGTTATTCGGCGAAGCGCGCGCAAGCGTTTGCACGCCGCACATTCGCGCGCGCAGTTGCTATAATTCGTCGGATCAGTGCGCGACATCGCGTAGCTGAAATCGGCTCAGTGAGAACGTGTCTCGGACGCTGAATTCAGGCCCATTCAAAACACGATTCAGCAACTTTTGATTTGAAATCGAGATCCTAGAATGTTGTTTTTCTCGAAATATATACATGTAGCTGAAGCTGAGCTGAAACTTCATCAGGTTAGTTGTTCAGCACCCTTCTTTAGATCTTGAGCACTTTTGTTGCTTCAAACGAACAAAATGCACAAATTACAAATGATGGACTTTACCTTTAAATCTTAGGCACTTTCCAAACCTCATGACTAGAGCTATTGTCTAGGATTTCACCCATTAATTCAATTACATGGGAACAAGCTGACAATAGCCGTAGCCATAGCTCTAGAAGCCGAATGCAGCCTCATTTTTATGTAAAAAGTTTGACATTTGTTTGCACTTTACACATGTACATCGTATGCAATGACTGCATGTACATATGTGACATCATTTGATGTTGAATCTTGTTTTTCTTTTAAAGCTGAACATTATCAAAACTTCTAAAATCTTAATAAAAACCATTCAAACAGTCGGGATCACATCAAGTACGGCCACTCGGGTAGCGTTATGCGTCATAACACGAGTATCAGATCCCATGACATACATGTAGTGATCAAACTTCCTTTGTTGTTAAGGCCACCTATTCAGCACAGGAAGTCATCCTGAATTATTGCAGTTTAAAGGGACTCCAACAATTGCATTATGAAACCGAAAATGTCTGTTTTAATTCTCTGTTTGTGATGAAATGTTCCAAAATGAGGTCTTTAGTGATATATTATTGGCAATCCTGATGTTCAGAAAATAAGAGGGTCACAATGTACACCTACAGAAGGGGGGGGGCAACAGGGGCCATATTGCCCTCTCAAAAAATTGTACCTTGTACCTTTTTGAGAATATACATCATTGGCTTTTGCTGTGATTTTCAGAAATGAACTACATGTATTTGAGGGGTTAGTATAATAGATCAAATATTGTTACACTGACATGTTTGAAGTTTGTGTTTGGAAATGCTGGAAAAACCAAGAAAAACAAAAATGTTCAAGTAGTCTGGTTCCCTGACTCCACTAACTATAAAATGGATCAATTTATAGATGCCGGAACATTGTAAGGTAAGGGAACCAGTCTAGCTGGCCTGCACCCGTTCATGAACATTTTACCAATAACAAACAAAATTTGGACTGAAAAAATGGTAAGTTTGGAGCAGTAGTTGAAAAATAGTTAGGTTTTTCCAACGGTGGTCGGCAGACCACCGTTGGAAATTGTTACAAAAATACCATTTTCTTGAAAATGACTTCACACCAGGTGCCATAATTTTACAGGATGCTTTGGACTGCCATTTACCAACATCCTAGTAAGGTATTTCATAAAAATTTGGTAGTTTTATTTTTTTGATGTTTGCAAATGTTGTATATTCCCTTTAAATATTGACTGACTTACTGACTGTCACCTGTGGCTTAGACAGGTTGTAGACTGTTGAATAGAGCCGGGCAGTGCTATTGTATAGGATTACCCTGTGATGCCAATGAATGGGCTAAATCCAGCCTATTATGTACCGTAAACCAGATGCATGAGAAGACTTCCAGTGAACAGCCATTCTGACTCAATTGAATAGAATGTGTTTGTACTCTGGGACCAACGCTTGCCTAGTTTTGTAAGGCCAAAAAAAAAAAATAGTCGGTCTCTGGTCGGCACGCGCGTCGATTTTAATCATGCGCGTCAACCTTTTTTTTTCTTCAAATTGTCCGCGTTAGCTACAACAGCGTCCTCTATTGCCGCATCTCCTCAAATTTTTGTACCAAGGAATGGGGAAATTGCACCACAGCAAATGATGGAGGGCACAAAGGCAAATTATGGAGGACACCAATTATATGAGAACACAAAAAAGCAAAAAATAGTACCCACCTTGTCTGTACAATCCAAGCTTGAAAAAAAAAAGCCACAAAAAAAAACACCCTGCGTCGCCGCATCAATTCCGGAACTTTGGTCTGACCAGAGACCGACTATTTTTTATTTTTTTTGGCTTAAAAGTGATGATTTCGTTTCCCTCCACGCAGGTGTGTAAAGTCTTTGTTAAGAAAGATATCAGTCAGCAAAAATGGTAAATTGAGTTTGTGGGGAGTTGATTGAAAATTACAAGTACATGTTCTACATGATTGATATCAAGTTGTACACATGTACATGAACATGTACGCAAGTGTGGACACTGGAATTTGTATTCCTACGGAGTCATTTTTTGTTCTCGTGTACTAAAATTGTAGAGTTTGAAAGTTTAGTTTTAAAAATGCTCATATTTTAACCAGAATTAATTTCCTGGGCTGAAATTCAGACCTAATATGTCTTACATAAAATACTTCAATTTGTGACGATCAACACACCTTGGAAATTCCTAGTTTTTTTAGTAAAATCCATACATGTATATTTCGTGATAATCTTGTGGAGACGTATTCATCTATTAATTGCCCTGTGGAGACTGGATACGTACAATGTATACAATCTTTTGTTCCCTATTATGCACACGTCTCCACAGGGTACCGTGTACCAGATCACATATTCAGTTGTAGAGTGCCCCTTTAACTTTGGTTTGCTGCACCCAATTTATATTGTCTGGCACTAGCCCAACCAAGAGCCATATCATGTGACGCACAAAGTTCGTCCTTGCCAAACACACACACTGCATGCAGTGGATCATGCGGTCAGTCGCAACAATGCATATAACCACATTGTTTGCTAAGTCAATGAACTTGACTGTGTATTATTATTACACAACACTACTGTGAATTTGCTGAGCAAACCAAACTATCTGACTGCAAAGTGCAACTTCGTAAACTGGTAAGTTCAACATGCACCGTCTACAGGAAAATCATGCACATTAAAGCTGGCTTGTCTAGACAGTGCATGCATGGTACATGTACATGTATGTATTTAAAGCTTATAACCAGTGTTTTGGGGCAATTTACAAACTTGTCCAATAATCTTGGGGCAATTACAAACTTGCCCAATAATCCAGCTCATCTTGTTCTCCGTGCATTGTATACTACAGTTTTGAAGGAACTTCAACATTTTTACGTGACTGAATCTCAGTCTGGTGAGTTTGAATATTAATGTGTTTGAACTTCAGTTCGGTTGAGTTTACGACGCAACGATGGCTCCTTGGCATAGACGTGATCATGCTTTAAAGAGGTTGTGGAATGCTCGAAGACATTTCCGTCATTTTTCGGGTATATGTAGCCTATGGGATGATGAAATAAAAACGACTATTGTTTCTGTCATAAAATGAGTACAAAAGGTACTTTTGAGAGCTGTTTTTCAAGTCCTGTCATGCCTGTTTCGACCCAAACGTGCAATTCGTGTAAAAGTCGTCGTTGCGGGCAGCAAACAAAACACAGTAAATCGTGACGTAATAAACAGGACTCCCGATGCAGAGTAGCATAAACAAGTCCTGTTTATTACGTCACGATTTGTTTTGTTTGCTGCCCGCAACGACGACTTTTACACAAATTGCACGTTCTGGTCGAAACAGGACCTGAAAAACAGCTCTCAAAAGTACCTTTTGTACTCATTTCATGACAGACACAATAGTCGTTTATATTTCATCACACCTTAGGCTACATATACCCAAAACATGACGGAAATGTCTTCGAGCATTCCACAACCTCTTTAACATGGTGCCTCGCATGTTCATAACAATCAAACGATATTTCAAGGTCTCATTTGTTCATATGACCATTTTTGCCGCACGCTATTGGCTACACACTAAATATGATGATTAAGATGCAGAAAACGTAACTTAACACATGTCAACGCTTTCCCGCCTGTTGAGAACACGTTCCATCATGGCGCATAAATTGAAATGTTTCTACTCCTGCGACTCTTTTTTTTTGCGCCCACTGATGCCGATCATCTTAATATCATCGCAGTTACACTCGGGTTACAACAGTTCCCGACAGTCGTAGCTCAGGTGCAGCTTGATCCTGAAAAGTCAGTGGCCGACTGTTCTGTGTCGACACAAGGTCGACCTGAGGGCGGCCTTACGCTGCACCCCGATTAATTCGCTACAGCCGGCAATAACTCACGCATCTATTGGAAGTGGACTGGATTCGTCTGCCGCCATGTAGGTTAATGTGTTATTGCCGGCTTGAGCCAAGTATTGTCAGCCTTCGTGTAAGTCTGTGCTTAATGTAGTTTCCCTGATTTAACTCTCAGGAAATCCCAATATTATCACGAGCCTGCTGATCAGTGGTTGCACCATGTACATGTATCATGTTACTTGTGATACCATGGAAGACAGGCATAAGACCCTCTGGTTTAACATCAGGGTCCATGAGACAAATTTTACTCTGCAGAGTATTTGTAAGATTATGCATTCCTCTGAAATGTACAGAAACTATGACACATCCCTTTTTGTTAATAATAAGTGCAAATACACTTTTTCTTAAAGTTGTTATGCTTTTCCTGACAACTGCTCAAGGGTGCTGTTGCTGTGATGACACTTTAGGACACACTCTTCGGATTAGGTTTTTTCTCTTCAAATTGCAAGCTAAAAATTCTGCTATTTAAAAAGATTTGATGCATAAAGTTTTTTTTCTACAATCGTACTGTCATGTACTGAAACAACAATGAATCACTGAAAGCAGAAATGTTACCACTTTTAATGCTGAAGCAGACGCGACACTGAAGTGTCCGTCTTGAATGACATCACAGTTTTGCTCATGAATATGGAAATTTGTATGAGCATAAAAACCAAAATGGCAAATGGCAATACGAAGATAAATAAATAAAGTTTAATGGGACGCAAAATACCGGTACATTTCCAGGATTGCATTAAAGCTAAATGTATAGTCCATCATTTGCAGCCATCTGAAAAGTAACTGGCGTAATTATTGTTGAAAAACATACTTGGTTGAAAGATAGTAAGGGGAAGAAACTCCCTGTGAAATTATTCTTTCTGGCAAGCTGTCATTTTGAAGTAATTAACGAAAGAAGGCCTTTCCAACGGTGCGTCTTAAGACGCACCGTAGGAAAATTTAAATTAGTAGTTCGTTTTGTTATTTGGCGAAGCGCTGGCAAGCATTAGTACGACGCACACGCGTGCGTGGTTGCTACAATTCGTCGGATCAGTGCGTGATGTCGCGTATAGCTGCAATTCAAAACATGATTCAGTAACTTTTGATTTGAAATTGAGATCTTAGAGTGCTGTTTTTCTCGGAATATACAGCTGAAGCTTAGCTGAAACTTCATCAGGTTAGTTGTTCAGTATCCTTCATTAGATTTTGAACACTTTCGTTGCCTCAAACGAACAAAATGCACAAATTACAAATGATGGACTATATCTTTAAAACTAAATACCATTACATGGGTCCTTTAAGCGTAAAGTCTCCATCTTAGTAAAAGTATGGAATGAATTCACAAAATAAATGCCTCTAGAAATGTCTGGGCAGTTCAAAGTCTCCCGCCAGGATTTGGTCCCAAACGATTGAGAGATGGGTCAGGTCAAGCTTGGAGCTCCGTGGGTCGAGGGAGGGGTAGTCCTGAAGCATGTGTGCCTCTGCATCAACAGGAAGCGAAGTGACCTGCAGGAAGTGATCTATCGTCTTATTATTACATTTCACAGATTCTTAATACGTCCCTAGAGTACACAAGTAGACAACCAAGATGCTGAAATTAAGTGTGTTAAGATAGCATGAAGCCTGCACAAGGTGTAATCACAAGAGCCTCATTTCTAATCCTGGGCGGGGTTAAGAGATTTCATCTGCATCTTTTTCGACAATCTGGGAATTTAACTTTGACGAATTTGCATGAAAGTGGGGCACTTTTCTGACGTGTTTATTCTAAACGAAGGGCTAGGGACATGACCTTCGTTATGGACAGTGAACTTTATATGAACTTAACTGCCTCTGCACTCGGTGAGAAATATAGAAAAGTGATTCATCGTGGTCGGTTTTGTCTTGACAGTGACACAGAGTCAGAACCACTGATCTCTATATAAAGACTGGATAGCGGATATGCATACAACATTCACACAGTAGACTTTGCATATTGACCAATTCGCCCCCGGTCTCACGAAGATGGCCGCGTATAATATGAACATTCTACGCGTAAATACGCGCGCGTTGTATCAACAGTTGATGCGCATTTTGGTCACGTACACATATTGTGATGTTCTAAAAGGGACACATTTCCCTAGTGATTATTATTTCAAAATGCGGAAAAAGTTATATTTGCGGCATTTTAGTAACCACGACGTTAGAAAAATTGTAATTAACCTTGGTCAGTGATGGTGGTCAAAATATAAGTCAAGTGAACCGCGACGTTACAAAAGAAATCATGCTGTCTATAAAACGACAACTTGTCCTTTGTAGATCACCAGCTGGTCTCACCAATATGGCGTCAAATTCGGTCATTGTGCGGCTCTGTATTAGCTATCCAGTCTTTATATAGAGATCAGTGGTCAGAACCAGCAAGTTTGTGCATAATGTACTACAGCATAAAAATAAAGCTTCCTAACCACAAAGGGGAGTGTGTGGCCTAGTGGTTAGGGTTCGTGACCCATGATCAGAGGGGCCGGTGTTCGAATCCAGCCGCTGGTCATATATTGTGTCCTTGGGCAAGGCACTTCACCCCCACTTGCCCCTCTCCACCCAGGAGTATAAATGGGTACCGGCATTAGCTGGGGAGTAACCTGCGATGGACTAGCATCCCATCCAGGGGGAGTAGAAATATTCTCAGTCGTTTCATGCTATTGAAACCGGAGATAAACGCCGGCCTGATGAGCCACATTGGCTCGGGACAGACTTTACTAAACCACAAAGGGAAACTGACTACGTGCAATTGACTGGAGCGGGGTTTTGACCAGTACCCCTTGAACAAAGATATTGACGAAATGAGAGAGCCCCAATACAGGGCTGGATAGCTCAGTTGGTAGAACATCAGAATGGCAGTCTGGAGGTTGCAGGTTCAAACCCCGCTCAGTCCAGTCAATTTCTTTGTTCAACTTAAAGCTACAGTCCATCATTTGTAATTTGTGCATTTTGTTCGTTTGAAGCAACAAGAGAGTTCAAAATCCAATGAAGGATACTGAGCAACTAACCTGATGAAGTTTCAGCTAAGCTTCAGCTGTACATTCCGAGAAAAACAGCATTCTAAGATCTCAATTTCAAATCAAAAGTTACTATATCATGTTTTGAATTGTTTTCAATTGCAGCTATAGGCGACGTCGCGCACTGATCCGACGAATTATAACAACCCCGCGCGCGTGTGCGTCGTTCCAATACTTGTGCGCGCTGCGCTGAATAACAAAACGAACTACTAATTTAAATTTTCCTACGGTGCTTCTTAAGAATAACCGTTGGAAATGCCTTCTTTCGTTGATTACTTCAAAATGACAACTTCCCAGAAAGAATAATTTCACAGGGAGTTTAGTTCCCTTACTATTTTTCAACCAAGGTTGTTTTTCAGCAATAATTATGCCAGTTACTTTTTGGATGGCTGCAAATGATGGACTCTAGCTTTAAACAAAAAATATATATATTACAATGCATCTAGTCAGTTTCCCTCTGTTTTTTTTTTTTGAAAGAAAAGAAAAAGGGCACAAAACTGAGGGTGCACCATATTTTTTCCCCCGAATAAAACGATTTACATGTAAAGTTTTAAAGATTTTTTTTGAGACTTTTGTCTGAAATCAGACATTTTGAATCTGAGTGAAAGACATCTTCAGTATAGAAAGAAATGCATCTTTTAGACCTTATGTCCAATTCGGGCGATTCACAATGCAGAGCGCCGCCAATAGTTTGCGACGGAGAGTTCATTTTTCCCAGTGCATTGTGGGAGATGGTCGACAAATTCGCGGTCAGTAGTTCGCGGTCAAATTCGCGGTTTTTTCCGGTCAGTAGTTTCGTAAGCATTTGATTCGTGTATATGTTTGCCCTTTTATTTTCTTTGTATCAATATGGTGTTTTGTGTAAGGCGGCAGAACGCTATGCCCCAATCCATAACAAATTAGCTCAAGTTGTCTACTGACACTCATTCAAATGGGCCAAATTTTGTCGACCGTAAACTTGAAAAGTTGACTCTCCATGGCAAACTCTTGATGGCGCACTGCATTGTGAATCGCCCGAATTGCCAGACTTTATTTAAATTGACAACACATCCAAAGGTTTTCTTGGATTTATAGTCAATACAGTTGAAAAGATCAATAAATCAGATTGAACGACCAAGTTCGTGCATATTTGTTGACTTATATTTATCATCATACATTACTGCAACATTCTCAAAAAAGCTATTTTTGTATACTCCCTCCAGAGTTGCAACATTTTTACAATTTATAAGTGAATTATGCTTTCCATTGTCACCACAATGGTTTGTTGTGCCATATTTTATGTTCCTAAAAACTCCAGGAAGTGAACAATCTAAACCAATTGTGAAGCTGAAGGTTGTTTCGGTTAATTGGATCACAAGCAATTAAAAATACATTAGACCGCTTCACTTGACCATCAACTTATGATTAATACACAACACTGACAAGAAATCGTTGCACAATTTTCCGTTGGCCGTGATACTGTTTGCAACTATAAAAGAAAACATGTACTGTACATCAATTGTACCTCAACCTTTACAAACTTTGCTTTGCTTTATTTTGTTCTATTTCTAGATATGAGTCATACAGCTTGATACGTGCAGGGGAAAAAAGTGCCTCGGAGTTTTTGATGCAATCTCTGTGGAATCGTGGAGCTGTTACATTCTTGTAATAGAAGAAATGCCTTTAATTACAAACTTTGCCATCTTTATGTGATGCATCTGAGAAATCATGAGGCAAGGAGAATGACTCTAGTCTTCGATCTGTCACCAGCCAATCAAAACATCTGTTGTACCGCCATGAGAACCAATCAGGAGCTTCATAACAAAGCAACTGGGTGAGAAATAGACTGCAGTCGCATAATGCCTGGAACTAATTTGTACTGTAACAATGAGAAGTGAGTACAAGACGTTGGTGTAGTCCTGAAACATTTGTGAACAATTTGAGACTTTTCCAACCCCAGTTGGGTACGTGGAACGTTCCAAGATGGAATCAAGTATCAGTTCTCCTATGTCAGAGGTAACACGAGCGACTGACCTTTCACCGTGTTACAACACGACACGGGAAGAACAAGTGGTAGGTTTATTTTCATGAGAATCACTCAAGTTAAATGAAAAGTTACTTATCACTAACTTAAAGGCTATTGGCAGTTCTTTTTCTTTCTTTCTTTTTTTCTTGTGAAAAAGTCGTTCATTGTAAAAAGAAGATCAATTTGCTTTATTTTATAAATTTATTGTTGTGGTTCGGAGAGGAGGGGTCCTCGAGCCTTGTCTTTCCTCGTGTTCAAACTTCATTTTTATTATATTTTTTATGTATTTTAATTCTTTCAACTGACCATTCACCAAACAACGGTTCATGAAAAAGCACAGGAAATGTGGCTCAAGAACTTACATGTACTTGTACAAAGAAGAGAGAAATGTTAAAGTTGAGAGGTGGGAGGAAAAGTCTGGAAGGATATTCCATGGGAAAAGCCCCATACTTGAGGCAGGGGTGGATCCCCCTCCCCCCCCCCCCAAAAAAAAAAGGTTGTTGGGCTGGATGGGCTAAATTTCTCACTACCCTCTGTGACTTAATATTGAAAACGAAGACCCCTAAAATGAAGACCAAAGATCCACTCGAAAACAGTGGGTCTTCATTTTCGAGTGTAGACCCACTGTTTTTGAGTGGGTCTTCAGGCTTCATTTAGGGTCTTCGTTTTCGATACTACCAGTCACAGAGTTAGAATGCGAGGAAAGTACCGTTCCACCAACCTGACTCCTCTTGTAGATAATGCTAGTCTGGTTTTCAAAACTGCAAACGATCAAAGATCTTTGAGACATTTTTACATCTTTTTGTTTTCAATGATCTAGCTGGACATGCTGCACTATGTTCATGCTTTCTTTGCATCTCTCAGCGTGTTTGGCTCCTTGTCTGTTATCGTCTATGCAATGGTCAGAAAAGTTGTCAAAACATCAGAGGTAAGTGGAGTATTTCAAATGTTTTAACAGAGTTGTCGTTCAGAAGTCAACTCGGCATGCTCGGTGACCACAGCTTAAGTAAATGAAGGTGACACATGAATGGCAAAAGGGATGTATAAGTTCAAGTGTACATTGACAAAGATTAAAGGTGGGTACACTTAGGAACATTAGTAATAACCAATTTAGTGAGAGAACCTTGCTCAACATGAAGATAGGGAGGATGCCAAATACCCTGTGATATTATGTCACCTGAAATGATATCATTTGGGAAAAAACAACCATTGTAGGTTGTTTTAAAAAGTGTGCCTGCTGGCACACTTTTTTCACGTGCGTTAGCAATGGAGTCCAGACAATCCAATACTGGTATGAGACCCAAAGAAAATATTTAAAAAAAAAAAACTGTAGTGAACCACAACTAATTTGGCCTTCGGTCCACAGTTTGTGGCTTAATGTATTAGACCATATCTATTCAAAGAATTATGCACGTTTTCTCTGCTTTCTAAAATTGTAATGGCCTAGTACACACTGAACTGAAACTTCGATTAGTGCACCCTTTTTAAGGTTTAAGGCATTTTTGTTGCCTCAAGCAAACAAAAATGAACACAATTCAAATGATCCGGTTTTTTTTCTTATACATTTAAAGAATGCATATGAAACAATGAACAGTTTGTCACATAACTTGAGATTCGACTTGCATTGTCATTAACGTTTGATTGACCTGTATTGACCTGTAATGACTTGTGATGAGCTTTGATGACTTGTGGTGACCAGTGATGGTTTGATGACAACTGCGCTATTTGATACTTGGCATTGTACCGGTAGTAATTCTCCCAATGCGCCCGGGCATATAATATTCCTGTTAGAATTTCTAGTATAAAACCAATGGGGCAAAATCAGGAAATATATGAGTGTTTATTTTTTACTGTCAGCTAGTCCACATACAGTTCCTATAATTTTTACATGTACGTTCCTCAGCCTCTCCCAAACAGCGAGGTTCAATCATAGAAGCTCAGACCTTTAAACCAGGAAAAAATATTTTCTTGAATTGGCTGATTCCTAAAAAAAAAAACACAACTAAAAAAAAAACCCACAAGAAAAACACTTAAACATAATATATCGCTGCCATTTACACCTGGAAAATAAGAGAAGCCTAGTGGTTCGTGACCTGTACTTTCCTGCCGACAACCTTTTTGCCGTTTTATTTCCTCTTTAAAGCATTTAATTTCCCATATTACATTGATGTTCCGTAAACATGAAAGTGGAAAGTTTTACCGAGCAATCGTCTGTTAAAGCAAAAATAAAAATCAACAAAGGACATTACACATCTAAATGCATTACCGCTGTGTCTTAGGTTGTGTTTGAAAGAGTTTTGAATTTTTGATTGTCTTTTACTGAAGATCAGAATAATGTTATTATTGATTGTGTCTAACAACCCTAACCGCCCTGAATCCTTCAAAAATCCTCTTTGCCAAAGTGGAGAAATTTGGAGGATTGAGGTCACATGGCAAAAGTGCATTTATACTGATTTCGTAGGATGCACTTTGTCAAGGTCTTGGGCCGGACCTTGTGTTGTTTTTGCTCAGCCATGAATAAATATAGGCCTGGATTATGCTTGAAATCAGTCACTGCCACAGGATTTTACAGGATTCAGGCAGTGGTCACCCCTCCACGGACCATATTCAAGAAAAAATGGAGGAATTTGCAGGATTGAGGCTGTGTACATGCTATGTTTCATAATTGGAGGATTTTGCAGAATTAAGGCTGCATCCTAGCAAAAAGGCCTAGGGAGTTAGGTTTAAATAAAACTGTTTTGTGTATTAAATCGACATTGCTATTTTGTGCTAAGTTTTTACCTGAAAAAACAAACCACAATGCTGAAAAGGTTTTTTTTCCCAAATGAGTAATTTTTCCACTTTACAGCTTGTCTTCATTGTGGTGTGTCATTCTCTGAGGGGAAATTAAATGCCTGTTATCCTAGGACGATCTTAGCTCATAAACACGTAAGCTTCCTCCCCCAGCTCGAAACCTATCACATTTTGTCAAAACTTCATGTTTCAATAATTTTCCAATCCAACAGCTTTGTACAAAGACGTGGACAAAATATCTATACATAGCAATTATCAGGGAGGTTGGTTCATTAAAAATAGAAGAGAAAAAATAGTTTGTCATGTACATTGTACCTGGGGCTGAGTCACGCAAATAAAAATCTATAAATATGAATATGTTAATCTGCCCCGCCCTTGTGAGGTTTATTGTGAAGTTTAAGGTTAGACATTTCAGTCCTTCTGATTTGAAAATCACAGGTGTGTGGAAAAACGCACACCTGGATTCTTCTTGGCGTGGGATTCTTCTAGGCGTGTGATTTTTCTAGGCGTGTGATTTTTCTAGGCGTGTGATTTTTCTATGCGTGTGATTTTTCTAGGCGTGGGATTCTGTGGTCCAAGCTGGGACTGAACAATCTGGTATTGTTTTCAAAATATTCATCTTGGTTTACAGTAAAGCCATATTCTTTTCACCAACACACTTGATTTTTCTCAAATTATGAAGTATAATTATGCCGTAAATGTATTGCGAGGTGTGCGGTACTGAGGGATTCAGGCGTGCAATTATTTGCACTTCTCAGGAAGCATTTAGGCGTGTGATTGCGTGGGGGTGTGATCGCACGCCTCAAAACAGAAGGACTGACATTTTAAGGGATGGGTCCTTCTCTCAAGTTAGTTTTCCTTGTTTATTTTTGCACAATTCAGAGCATTTTTGCTGCATGAAGAACTTTTGATACATGTGTAAGTTTGTATACATGTGCACATGTACAAGTACAAGTCACAGAGATTTAACCTTTAATCGTCCTGGTATCGGTACGTACTGGTACGTGTACCACTTTGCCAAGCCTTGCATTTTGCCATTATGTTTTAAAGTGAGGTTTAGGCATACATGTACATGTACATACATGCACATAAGATTGGACAAAATTCTATTTATTCCTTGACAATTGTCTGTTGATACTGGATCCATGTACATGTACTAAACCGTCAAATCCCATGTGCACATATGTAAATGGACCTGGGTTTCCATGGTCGTGGAAAAATCATTGAAAGTCCTGGGGGAAAAAGTTGTCCTGGAAAGTCATGGAAAAGTCATGGAAAATTGAAAAATAAAATAAAAGAAAGTCATGGAAAAGTCATGGAAAATTGAAAAATAAAATAAAAGAAAGTCATGGAAAAGTCATGGAAAATTGAAAAAAAAAATAAAAGAAAGTCATGGACAATTGAAAAAAAAATAAAAGAAAGTCATGGAAAAGTCATGGAAAATTGAAAAAATAAAATAAAAGAAAGTCATGGAAAAGTCATGGAAAATTGAAAAAAATTTAACAAAGTCATGGAAAAGTCATGGAAATCAAGATTATGACAGGGTTATTTTTGATGGGCCACTTTAAGGATGGCTGTAAGGGGAGGATCGGAGGAGGCCATTAGTTATTAAAACTTATTTTGAAAAGCTAACAAATGGTTAGCCTAATATCAGCGGTTCATCAGAATCACAACACCGAACAACTTTTCTCTGCAAAATGGTGTCAAATGTCATAGAAATTGTCATATTTTAGTCCTGGAAAGTTCTGGAAAGTTCTGGAATTTGGTTTTCAGATTTCTGTAGGAACCCTGATATAGGTACATGTACATGGACAGCAAACATGATATTTTTATTCTCTGAATGGTACGTGAGGAACCTTTGTGTTACTGGCGGGAGGGGATTCATACTGAATTGGGTTCACAGCCTTTTTGCAAAGAAACTTCTTACCTAAGGTGTCCCACCCTTTGCAAAAGGCGCGTTGACACGTCGGCTCACAAAGTACATGTATGTTCCGGTACGAAAGGGGTACGACTCCTGATCAAGATGTTCAAAGGGGAAAGGTACATGTGTTAGCTGGGGATTAGACAAAAATCCGGCTGAGTCAATGGAATGTCTGGAAGTGGGCTGCCATGTTCCCCCCCCCCCTTCCCTCAAAATAGAAGTCGCAAGATGTCAGCAGAGGGGGGAAAGACTATGGACAATTGAAAAGAAGTCTTATGGAGAGTAAGAAATGTCTGCAACTTTTGTGTGAAAATATGATACCAGGTCTTAATTTACAGACCTGGACATTAACCCTAACTCCCTTGGCCTTTTTGCTAGGATGTAGCCTCAATCCTGCAAAAACCTCCAATTGGCCTCATGGAAAAATAGCATATAGCCTCAACCCTGCAAATTTCTCCATCATTTCTTGAATATGTTCCGTGGAGGGGTGGCCACTGCCTGAATCCTGCAAAATCCTGCAGCAGTGACTGTCAACATGTTGAGGCTTGGCCAGTGACATCCTGGAGCAGTACGGAGGATTTCAAGCATAATCCAGGCCTATATTTATGCATGGCTGAGCAAAAACAACACAAGGTCCGGCCCAAGACCTTGGCAAAGTGCATCCTACAAAATTAGCACCGCACTTTTTCCATGTAACCTCAATCCTCCAAATTCTTACACTTCGGCAATGAGGGTTTTGAAGGATTCAGGGCGGTATATTACAGGGTACATTTACTATCAATATTACAAATTAGAATGTATACATAATGCATGTCTGAGCATAAGATTCAAATTATTCTGAGAAGAGAAACTGGCTATTTTAGGAGGTTGTTAGTGTCGCCCTCCTCCCCGTCTCCCTCCCCCCCCCCCCCCAAGAAAAAAAAAAATGGGGAGATGGGGATTCTAACCCTCCAGTATGTCAGCCATTTGTTGAAAGGTAAACTAAATATTCTTTTTTACTTATATTATTAACACAATGTTAAAAAACTTGTGTTAAGATTACACGTCAATCTGCCAGCCTTTATGTGCCATACCATGGAATAGCCTGTGGAATGGTTCTCTGGAAATCAAAGATTCAAATCCCGCTCTGGTCAGTATTCTATCAACTGATTGCTTGCTGCTTGCTTACAGATCCGTCCCCTGTTCCACCTAGCCATAGCCGATCTAGGCCTGGCCCTTTGCTGGCTTGTGGGTGCCATCCTGTGGAATATTCCCTTTGATGGAGTGGGTTCCGTGGGCTTCCGGGTCTGCACTGTGCTGCAGGCCGTCACCGAGGTACGAACTAGAAGAAGAGGAATCAACAATAAAATTTCATTGCATTCTGAAAAAAAGAGAAACTTCTGTGAATCTTCCATTTTGAAGTTCTATTATAATGAAATGTCTATTTTTGCAGAGATTTGACTGGATGAAATCTAAAAAGCAAATGCTTACACTACCAATTAAAGAGGTAGTGAATATCGGGATGCTTATGAGCCATGAGAAAACCAATTTCAGAAATTGTTCAAATCTTGAGATTTTTCATCCTTGCATTTGTTTTTCTCACTAAAGTGCAGTGACATACATCATGAAACAGTTTGAAAACCAACAAAGCTTCATCATCTATTTTTGTTGAGAATTTTTTTTTTTAAATTATTAGAAATGCCGCAGATAAACATGAATGCAGATGTGTAAATTAAATTTCTCGTGGCTATCCTTTTTTGACATGCAGATGTTCAACGTCATCAGTTTCTTCCTAACGGTCAACTATGCACTGAACGTGTACCTCAGGTTGAAAGACAGACACAACAGAGCAAAGAAACTGACCCTATTACATGTAAGACACCATCTACATGTTTAAAAAATGTACATGTCAGATGCAATGCTGAGGTGGGATGTCAACCCACCCCCCCCCCCCCTCCCAATTTTTCTTTTGGTCAGCCAAATATTCTACCTGTCAGCAAAAGTGTGTGTGTTTGGGATAAATGTATGCAGCTTAGACAAGCACCCCTTTTATCTAATAGTGTCCAGTCCAATCGACTTTGAACAATGCCTCCCCTCCCCATTGGTCAGATGATTATACAGTTCCCTCCCTCCTCCCTGCATTTTTTTTTCTGCAGCAGACATCGTCTTTTAACCAATCACATCACGCATCCTAAAATGAATATTTATCACGCTGTGTGGATGGAAGACACTTAGGTTCTCGTAGTGTTTTCCCTTCAGTTCGCTCTTTTCACACTTCCGCCATGGGCATGCAGAGCCTCGATCTGGCAACTTTACACAATGAATATAGCCGGTTCAGTGATTCCCGTGTTGGGGTTCAGATCACTGAACCGGCTATTTTTATTGTGTAAAATTGCCAGATCGAGGCTATGCATGCCCAATGACAGAGTGTAAAAAGAGCAAATTAAACCTATCCCGACCAACAAAAAATATTTGATGAAAACGGGCATGGGCTCGAACCACGGATCTTGCAATTTGTTGTTTACTCCACTATCCACTAGGCCACAGTGGCATCTCGTCGAAAACCATTCTTTGAAATTGTTTAATGTACATGCATGACTGAGTGATACATTAGCAATAGTGTTACGTCATTGTTATTTACTAAGGGAATAAATGTGTGCTGCGGAGGTTTTTATCACTCTGTTTAAGACCACTTACCAGTAGAGTCTGGGTGCTGATAATTACCCGAGCCGGAGGCGAGGGTAATTATCAGCACCCAGACTCTAAGTGGTCTTAAACAGAGTGATAAATACCAACAGAGCACATATTTATTCCCATTCATAAATACATTTTCGGTAAAAAAAATCATATAATTCGTTCAAAACATCCCGATTTTGTTCAACAAATTCACTTTATGCTTTTTGAAACATCCCTCTTGCAAAATAATGGAGTGTTCAAGCTGGTGAGTAAGATGTAAACAACCCTTTTATGGAGATTGACGTGCGCGTATCATGTTCTGCGCGATGTCGCGCAGAACGCACCTGGCGCGCTGCGTTTTGAATTTAGAACTATAAAATTTTGACTCCCTGGTAGTGTTGCGCATGCCTACGTGAGGATTGTGAACGTTCAACCAATGAAACGATAAAAGGCACTGGATTTTTAGGAGTCCACATTTTATTGTGACACTGGAAAAGTGTTTAAGACCAGCTAGCCATGCCTTTATCATCCGTTTAAGACCGGCCACGTGACGGGCTCTCGACCAATTTGAATGCGTAAACTGTCTTAGGTATTTATGAATTATGAATAAACATCAAACTAGCTGAATAATCATGATCCATTGATGATGTGTGCTGCAAATAAAAACACTGCTCCCCCCTTCATAAAAAAGTGAGGGGCTAAAATTTGACCCATGCATTAGTTCCCACTTTGATTCTTTCTTTTGTTTGAATGGTAGGGGGTAGATCACTCAACAAGGGCATCCCACTGAAGTAGGTGGGACACACCTAGGGCGACCTGTCCCCCCTCAAAAATTCTTCACAGACAATATTTTGCTGTGGAGCCTGGCGTCACCCAAGCTCATTATTTTCCTTACTCATTAGTTTAAGGCATAAACTCTCATGGCCAAAAAATGTACTATGGCATACGTTGGTGTACATTCTAGTCACAGTATTGTGTGTATATCTGATGTTTTTAAAAATAAATGTGAATATCTTTCCAAATGCTTCAGAATGATGGATTGAATTTTTTAACGCCATGCTGTGTTGGTTTGAAGGTAAAACTACTCTCGGATCATGAAATATGAGTGATTTAAATTTTACCCATAATGCATTGCAGCATATGTATATTTACGCATAGTGCTGTTGTACATGTACCATTCTGTACAGCATTTATATATCATAGTGCCCCTTTCTGAAAACGTTTTTGAACTGAATGACATGATGTTACAGTGTACATGTATGTGTGTTCTGAAGTGTTTTTTTTTTAAGATTTCAAATTGAGAATTTGTTTTGTTTTTATATTCAGACAATGACTTCAATGAAGTGGATAATGAGGCTATTTTATGTCATTTCGTGGTGAGTACAGTAAATCAATATTTGCTCAATTCAAAAGTTTAGCACTTGGGTTTTTATAGTGAATTCAAATAAAATGGTAACAGTCACAGAGGGTAATGATGAGTTTATGCAAATAATTTGGAAGGGTCGTCGTTTGGGAAAACAAAGGTTGGAATTTGTTTTAGGGTCAATTAAAGGCCAAAGTCAGTGCCAGAAATAGGTCAAATTAATTGTTTTGTTTTCTAATTTGTGAGTTAAGTAATGTATTGAATGAAGTTTTGAGGAATGTTTTGTTGTTAAGGTTAAGAAAGGATAGTGTTGGGTTGGGTTTGGGTCAGAAGGTCAAAGGTCAAGGTCATCTTGTGAAAAATAGAGAAAAAGACATTCTAGAGGATAATTTATGGTCACATTTTTGTTTTATTGATCTTTGAAGAAGGGTTGCCCAGTCCTCCAGTAACTCCAGATTGGTGTTTGTTTATTTTGGGTTCAAAGGTCAAAGTTCAAGGTCACCTTTTGAGAAATGGAATAAAAGCTTTTTAATAGTTATTTTTCTCATGAAAGTACATGCAGTTAAAAAAAGGTTGCAATCATGTTGCAACATTTTGACCCCAAATGAATCCACATTTCTATAAGTTTTGGCGTCAGACTCAAAAAATCACAAGTTAAGGTCATGAATAATTGTTTGCGTTAGTGTAAGTAGTGTTCTTAATTCCATCACAAATCTGTCACTGATTGGGTCACACAAGTGTATCAAAAATCAGTGCATAAATCCGGTTTCCTGAGGTAAGGAAAGGGGGGGGGGGTGGAATCGTATCAAAACAATGCCTTTGTCATAGTTCCTTTGAATAGCTTGTGACTTATCTTTGGACTTGTGAGTGATTTTCAAATCTTATACACCCATCATCTAGTAATGGTCAAGGAGATTTGAGGACTTGGATATTTGGATCATTTCGTCGCGTCAGTGCAACAAGGTTGTATCTCCTAAAATGGCATGAACGATGCAAAACGCGAGTTTTAGAATGTCAAAAGGTCGTATCTCACTTAAAATAACCCGGATGTACACGCAAAGTCAGTGGACGTCGAGATACGACCTTGTTGCACGGAGCGTATTCGCGCAAGATGCAACTTTGTTGCAGAATGGAGTTATGACCTTGTTGCACTGATGCAACGATTTCTCTGAATCATTAATTTAAAAAATAGTTATCACGGTTAACTAGCTCTATCACAGACATTACAATTCCATTCCTAACGCTTGAATTACACTGTACTGAGGATTTGCCAGCAATACTGAATGAAGTGCCTGCCATAATAAATGAAGTGAACTGCTTACCTGACAGGTTACTACCCATCGCTGTCATGACACCAGTCGTGGTGGTGCACAATCGCCTGCGAGCACAGGACCCATGCACCGAGTAAGTCACACTACGTTACTTTGATTGCCACCCAAGTCTCAGGGCTGTGCAAACTCGATTGTGATGCGATCAAGCTAAATGAGTCATTTGTCGGGAATTTTTATTTGGAGATACAGGCCAAAATAAGATCACTTCATCACATTTCTTGGTGTTCCGACTTCCATAATTTTTGAACTAAAGATGGTATCAGCATGCGGTTTTCACAGCAGTAATGCTGAGATTGTGCTCTTTTCAAATCTGTAAAAAAAAAATTAAATTGATGAGGGTCGACAAACGACTCATGTAGCTTGATCGCATCACAATTATTTTATTCCTTATTTTGAAAGAAAGCTGCTTCTCATTGTGTCAAAAATTCTCTCCTTGAAGTACTTTCTGTCGTCATGCATAGCCTCAAATTGCATTCAGTGTGTCATAGTATCTTGGAATTATCAATAGCAATACAGTATTTGTGAATTGAATAACTTATACATAAATAGCCCCTCATCACCCCTCCCCCCCCCCCCAAAAAAAGGGGGTGGAATCAATAGGGCTGTGCATTGGAACAGGGTGTCCGAGTTCCCTACTGCTGATGTCAGGAACCGGTTCTAGATTATGGGATTGGGTACCCATAACCAACTTTACACCTTACTTAGTAACTTCTCAGACAATGAAAAAGAAAGGTTTTGAATATCATTTGTGGGGACCTCATAAAATGAAAACCAGGCAACATGGGAAAACAACATGTTTCGCGTTTATGATGCTCACGAAAGTTGCAGTTTTACACGGTAAAGCTCTGCTCACTGTACGCGCTTGCATCTTGCTGCATTGAGGCACAGCCGAAGTGGTAGTATTATCGTGTGGACAAATATCAGGGTTCGAAATTAGCGGTAGCCCGCTAGCCAAATGCTAGTCAAAACAGCGGCGGGCCAGTCAAACTATTCCTTAAGTAGCCCGGCTGGCGAGTCAAAAAATTATTGGGACACGGCAAAGATGAAAGGACAGGAAGAAATAAATCTTTAAATACAGAAAGAAAACCTCATCAGGTTGTGTCTAGTTTTTTCAACTGTTCTAGAAGGTTAAATTATTAGATCTGTTTATTAAAAACACTGAGAAAATTACCTCAGAATTGAGCCTGAAAATATGCCATTTTGTATTGGAGCTAAAAAAAATGCGGGCTAGTGAAAATGCCCGCGGGCTATTTAAGATTCTGTTTCAGTAGCCCGGCTGGCTAGTGAACAAAAAAGTTAACAATCTGAGCAGGGATTTGAGATTTGAATTGTGGGTTGGGTTTCTTTAATGGGTACCTAGTTACCCGTATTTTGTTCAATCGGGTACCTAGTTCCCGTACTTCCGGTTAATGCACAGCTCTTGGGACCAAGAAGGCAGTGAGTCACTGTGAAGATAATCTACACTTAAAAAGGTCAAGTTTATAGTTCTCCACAACGTAGTCGCGTTCAACTCTTGACATTAATTTTGATATAGTTCGGGAATTAAAGCAGATCTGCGTTGTTTTTTTTCTTTTCCTTTGCTGTAGGTGTTTGGTGCTGTTTTTCAAGCCTTCTGTTCAAGGGGTAAGAAAAACGAGAAATTTCAGAATAAACAAAAGTACATGTACTCATCTGGGCCCAGTTTCATAACGCTGCTTAACAGCCAACTTTGTGCTTACCGAGCCTCCATCTATTTCATAGGGACTGTTAAGCAGTAAGCACAGCAAAAGCACGCTTAACCCCAGAAGAAAACTTTGCTTAAATCAGTGACGTAACAATAGAAATCTCCATGCGCGCGCAACCGTTAGCATGAAATTGTGCTTAAGCAGCAACATGATTTTCTGCTATAGTAAGTACAACTTTTCTGCTTACTGATAAGCAGTGCTATGAAATTGGGCCCCATTGCGCTGCTTAACAGCCAATTTGTGCTAACAGAGCCTCCGTCTATTTCAGAGAGACCGTAAGCATAATCACAGCAATAGCATGCTTAACCCTGGAGGAAAACATTGCTTAAATCTGTGACGTAACAATAGAAATCTCCAGGCATGCGCAACCGTTAGTACGTCCACGCTATGAAATAGTGCTTAAGCAGCAGTATGATTTCATGTTAAAGTAAGCACAACTTTTCTGCTAACTGTTAAGCAGCGCTATGAAATTGGGCTTTGAAAGTATTTGGATCATGGTTACTGCAAAGAAAAAGCCCTGTTCCCTTCTTGGGTACTGATTTGCCAACATTTGTGTTCTGTGTTGGTATAATGTTTGGTGTCGTTGTTTTGCTTCTTGGCAGAATAATGGGTCCTTCGAATCTTGGTCCTGGGCACACTACGGAGCGATCTTCTTTGTGGTTTCATTACTTTTAAGTATGGTGTCTATTGTGGTAAGTACAAGTTACTTGCAAATAATTAGGGGTAAGGCCAAAAAAGATAATATTTCTGCTCCAGGTTACCCTACCTACCCTATTTTAACAGCCCCTACCCTAATTTTTTTGGGGGGGGGGGAGAATGAGGAAAAGAACCTGAAAACCATCAATTACTACCTTTTACCCTTTACTACACGCAGACACCTCCATATGAAATAAAAATTGCCAAAACAGAATTTCCCCTACCTACCTACCCTATTTTTAAATGCCATGTAATCGGAAGCAGAAATATTTTTTTTTTACCCAAAGCTTTTAAATAATGTGCATTTGTAAACATTTTGGTTGTCACCAGTTCACCCGTATATCCCACATATAAACCTGCTCACGTGCCTGAATGTACGTGTTCATCTTTTCAAACCGTGGACGAAAAATACCAGAGAACAAAAGAGAATAATATCGTCCACGATTCCCAGCATACGTCTGCGATTGGGGTCGTGTACAAAACCTATGGGAGTCTTCCTAAAAAGTTTGAGTACAAACAAAAGAGGGACAAAGAACGCCCACAATCGACGGTGAACACACGTTTGCGTGAATGCATTTACAGCACAATTTGATAGTTATGTTTGAAAAACAGTTGCCACAATAGTATGGGGTCATCCTATAAAATTTGAGGTCCACTTTTTTTCCTGTTTTATCTGAAATCAATGGTTTTATAACACTGGAAGCACTCTTTCATGCGGTCACCCTCCAAGAGTGATTATGAGTGACACACTAGCTACCCAACAAATAAAAAAAAAAAATGTGTGAAGTCATTCTGAACCTAACAGCCATCAAACCCCAACGGCATGTTTTGTTGGAATCTGTCAGGATGGGTACAGTACCCCTAAACTGACAGTCTTTTACATTGGGTTGGCACACCTCCAGAATCAAAGTCAGAAATATATGTGTGCAGTTTCCCATATGGTATTGGACTTTGCCAGGATGGGTATGGTTTCTACTAAATCATGCTCCCCAACGGCATGTTTTGTTGGAATCTGTCAGGATGGGTACAGTACCCCTAAACTGATAGTCTTTTACATTGGGTTGGCACGCCTCCAGAATCAAAGTCAGAATATGTGTGTGCAGTTTCCATGTATGGTGTTGGACTTTGCCAGGATGGGTACGGTTCCTAGGAAATCATGCCAGGGAGTTAAGGTTAATGATACTTGAATGGTAAATTACAAAGTTCAAAGGTAACAGAGACAGGCAAAATATCACTATTTGGACCCTCAATTTATACAGGGTGTTTCCAAAAAAAAGGAAGCCCAACTTCAAAGAATGAGTGTGGACAGACGATATGTTTACTGGCTATAAAACTGGTATCATCTGAAAGCGTAATCTCTATGCTTTTCAATGATGCTATGTTTAGGTTTTCTGAGTCATGCATCAGTGAGCATCATTGTCTTGAAAACTGGATGCAAAAATGCAGTTGGTTCACTTTCATAAAAAAAAAAACCACTGGGCACGTTGTGCCTATTGTTACGGAAATGTCTGTGAAATGGCTTGAATGTTAATCCTCGGGAAAATGGCACATTGTTTTGAATGTTGCTTGGTCAAAACGAGAAATTCATGACAAACAATAAAATTCAGTTTTGAAACCAACCCGACTTGTTTTGGGGTTTCTTTTTATGCACTCGTGTCTTCTTCTTGAATACTTATTCTCATGCACACCATGCCTATTGTGTTTGACATGAAAGTGAACCAACTGCAATTTTGCATCAAAATCTCATGACAGTGGCGCTTAGTGATGCATGACCCTGGAAATGTAAACAAGGTATCATTGTAAAGCATAGAGATTACGCTTTCAGATGATAACAGTTTTATAGCCAGTAAACATTTAGTCTGTCCCTACTGGTTCTTCAAAGTTGGGTTTTCTTTTTATTGAAACACCCTATAGAATAAAATACTGCAACATTTGGCCTATGCTGTATACAATGTCCAGCCAGGAGCTGAAATGTGTGTGTTAATTTTTTGTTGTTGGTAATTTGACTTTTAAGTGACTTTAATTTGGAACTAAATTGGTCCACTATTTTCAATTTGCTTGCTGCTCTGAGAATTCAAGTGAATATTTTTTTTATGAATTCCTTGCCATATTTAAGAATATTCATTTTTGATATATTTGATTGTTTGCAGACATTCTATGTTTTGTCGGCGATAGTTTACCGAAAACTCATGAAGGGTAATGGTAAGTCGCTTTCCCTGTGTTTTATTAGTGTCATTGGAAATAATAAGATTCATGTATGCAATGACTTGACGTATTTTCACAACATCTAACTTTTCTTTACCACTTGATTCATTCATTCATTCATTCATTCTTTATTATTTTTACCACATCTCATTTCATTATGTGACAAGGCATAAATACATACATGTAGTTTTGGATAATATAAAGTTCGAGCTTGTTTTACAAAATATATTTATACACTTGGACGCATTATTTTCTAATTAGAGATGGTGGAAGGGGATCCCCAAAAAGCGGAGCTTGTTGAGTAGAGATCCCCTTTAACATGGATTAATACAAACATTTAATGAAAAACAAACGAAAAACAATTGAACGTATAAATTTTAGATTGTACATAACACACGGAAAAACAATATTGCTGATCAGAAAAAAAAGAAATACAGAGTAGTAACCCAGTAAGAAGATTAATTTGAGTTATTATAATTTGATAGTAAATTCGATTTAAGTTTGGATTTAAATAATGGAAGGCTACGAGTGCCCTGGAGTGATTTATGTAAGGACTTCCAGTACTTAGGGCCTTCATGCCTAATTGTTTTTTTATAAACAGTTGTTCTTGCAAATGAAAAGTGAAATTCTCTACGTTGTCGGGTAAAATGGTGATGTATAGTTTCGTTTCTGCAGAACATTTGTGCAATGGGATTTGGAAGTAAATTATTATTCAAACGATGCATGAAGGCTCCAAGCTGAAGTGAACAAATGTCATTGACCTTGAGTGTTTTATGTTTACAGAAAAGAGGATTTGAATGTTCAGGTCTGTCGACAGAATTTATAACTCTCAATGCCCGTTTTTGTAGGTTAAGAATTCTGTTCACATAACTAGCTGCACAATTCCCCCATGCTAGGACACCATAGTTCAAATAAGGCAAAATCAATGTGTTATACAGCATAAACAGTACTTCCTGTGGGAAAAAGGCTTTGAGCTTACTAATGACACCTATATTTCTAGAGAAACTTGATCATTAATTTCCAATCACAAATACCAATTCGCAAGAGTTATTTCAAGAGTATTTGTACGATATTTCTTGCCGAAACCTCATATGTTTCAATACTGAGTACTTACTGGAGGGTAAATTGTACAAATGGCCGTGCACATTGGCCAATTCAAGATCGACACACAGTCCGCCTCCACAGACTTCATGGACTGTGTTTGTGTGTGTGTACAAAAGATAAGAGTAAATAGCATGTTTAAAATACATCACCCGGAGGCAAGTCGAGGCAATCTTGACATTTTAACCTGTCAGCCGTGCCTGTGTATAAAAACGGCTAGTGCCTGTTATCACGTCCTCCCACGCGAACTGGTTAACAAAATGACAAGGCATTGCTGGGTTCAAACTTTTGACTCGGCAACTGGCACACACAAAGTCGTAGAATGCCATGGTATAGTGGTTACGGTGTTTGACTCATGTACGATGGTGCGTGGGTTCGAATTCCTGCCAGGAACGTGGTGTTGTGCCCTTGGGCAAGACTTTCAACTACAATTGCTTCTCTCCACCCAGGAGTAGGAATGGGTACCTGTGAGGGTAGAGGCTGAATGTGCGCTGATATTTGCTGCCGCGTGGTCTCGTGGTCTGATGAACAAGGGAGTAATTGTAAAGCGCTTTGGAAAGCGTTATTAGCATTACAATAATAGTTATTAACCCTAACTGTATTTGACCAAATGAACACTCCCGACGCACACACAAGTCTAACCATTTCACCACTTGATCACTTCAACTGGGTTCGAACCCAAGACTTTGCATACAACAACCAATTACAAGTACTTGACCACATCAAGTTGAGTCTAACCCAGTAATCGCTTGACCACCTGTAACTGGGTTTGACCCCAAGACCATGCGGGCACGTGTTGCCAAGCAGTCGAGCACAGGATTTAAGATCGTGAGGTTGTGGGTTCGAGCCCTGCCGTGGCCATGCGTGTTGTGCCCTTGAGTAAGGCGCTTCACCTCAATTACTCCTCTCAACCCAGGTGTTAAATGGGTACCGGCATTATTCAATGCTGGGAAGGTAACAGACTCGCTGTGGAGGTGGTGTGGCGATCCCCCCACAGCAGCATATGAGTCTGGCCCAATCGCTAATGAAAGAGAGATGGGCACTCCGTTCCTGTGACGTGAATACAGATTCCTCCCCGTTACCTTTACCTTTACCTTAACTATGCAATGGCACACATGAATCTGACCATGTAATCATTTGCACTGGACCATCCTAGCTACAATCCTGGCCAAATCTTGCTGCCCCCCCCCCCCCCCCCCGGCCCCCGTTCAATGTTGTCTCTCATTGCGTGGTGTGTGCTCCATCAGCTGGAGAGAACAACATTGACCGGGGGAGCGGGGGAGTGGGTGACCGTGGCAGGCTCAGGAAGTGTCCCAACCATTTTGGCCAGGATTGTAGGTTCACACGAAACTCTACAGCTAGCAACCAGCGTGACTCGCAAGGCACAATGACCACTACGCCTCACCCATGTTATGAAAAATATTCTCATGTCTGTCATCTTATTCTTTTATGGTTAAGTTTGGACCAACAAGCAACGCAGGGCGCTAGTAGAACTGTGCAAGCGTATCTCCTTCTACATAGCTGCCTTCGTCATCTGCTGGATCCCTGGTGAGAATGCATCAACTTTTTCTGCTCTGCAAATTTCCTGTTATGACTCATTATTACTCACAGACAAGAGTCTAGTCTTGGTTTCGAGTTTTTGTTTCAAGGCCTAAATTTTGGTGTACACAGGCATGCAACTTTTCCTTGGATCTGCTGATTTCCTCGGTTTTTTTTTCTTCTCATGAATGCCATTACGAATTGAAAAACCCTGTACAAAGTCTTGTGTGGTTTGGAGTTTCCTTTTTTTTTTTTTTAATTTTGAGTTGCATGCCTGTGTACACTGTGAGTCAGAATGATCTGAATCCAAATTAAAGAAAGTATTAAAAAATATGTAGCAATTATCAAAACAAGTGCGAATGAGATATGTTATAGGCTGGTATTTTGGCCATGTTTGGTGAAAGTTTCGTGTATATCCATTGTACCATTTTGAAGAAAAGCGCTAGCAAAGAACACACACTAAAAAAACACTCTAACCACGGTTCCATGGTTCAACAAATTTATTGAAATCATGTACTGATGTGAAGCAGTGTAATAACAAATAAAAACCTAGTCATGGTGACTGACTCACTTGAAGTTATTGACACATTTTTTAAAAAAAAGGCATTTAACCAATTCCGTGTGCAGACTGGAAAATGAGCCACTTCAATGAAAATGACGTAACTCCTCACCACAGCCACTAATTTGGAAAAAAAAAAAATCAAAATTCCTGTGGAAGCCAAGGTAATAACCATTCATATGAAACGCTCAGTTTTGCCACAAAAAAAAAAATGGTGAACTTGGGTCCAGATCATTCTGACTCACCCTGTACATTGCCTAGGAACTTGTGCAGTCTTCTGACTTCATATGAATAGAAGATGTTATAACACCTCACCCACAGATTCTGTGTCTGGATTGGCCGAGAGTGAGTCACATGTTACTTTCTAATTTTGCTATCTTTCTGTGCACGGCCAAAAGTACTATGCGCATAGCAACCAAAGTACTATACCATTAGCAACCAAAGTACTATTTCCACGGCGCGGTATTTGTGTGCAAATGCATGCTGGTGTGCGCGTTGTGCGTAGCACGTATTGTTCCAAAGAGAGTGCGCCGCAGACTTGGGTTCAAACAGTTCGGGAAGGGGTAGTTTTTAAGAGAGAAATACATTTTCCACCAATTTTGTATTGAAATTGAAGTTTATTTCAACTGTGTTCAGATTTAAATAATTTAAAATATTAAAATCAAGCAGAATCTGTGGGTAAAGTGTTATAAAACAAATATTGAATGCTTTATCTCGTGGTGAAGTAAAACTAGCCTCCCTCGGTGATCCATGGACCATTCTATTTTCCCTCGGCTTCGCCTCCGGAAAATAGAATGTCCATGGTCACCTCGGGAGGCTAGTTTTACTACACCACTCGAAGCATTCAATATTTGTATACTATTCATATGATAAAATGGGCTATTCCAGCGTTATGGAAGGAAGTGTAATGTCCGTGACGGAGCCAATGAACCATGATATCTAATGAATGATTCACAGAAATGATCCAAAACTCCTAGTCTGTAATCTCCTTGACCATCACTAGATGATGGATGTATAAGATTTGAAAAATGCATGTTCAGATTTATTCACTGAGCTCTTAAAAGCTATGTCATGGACTTTTCCGCTGGGATTGCCCAAATGGGAAGGTATAGTTGGAAATTTTGACAAAATTTGACAACTATGGTTCTTCCCAAAACTTGCCTGATTTAAAGGGAATATACAACATTTGCAAACATCGAAAAATAAAACTACCAAGTTTTTACGAAATACCTTACTAGGATGTTGGTAAATGACAGTCTAAAGCATCCTGTAAAATTATGGCACCTGGTGTGAAGTCATTTTTAAGAAAATTGTATTTTTGTATACATTTCCAACAGTGGTCGGCCAACCACCGTTGGAAAACCTTACTAAGTTTCAACTACTGCTCCAACTTTACCCTTTTGTCAGTCCAAATTTTGTTTGCTATTGGTTACATGTTCATGAACGGGTGCAGGCCAGCTAGACTGGTTCACTTACCTTGCAATTTTCCGGCATTTATAAATTGATCCATTTTATCTTTAGTGGAGTCAAGGAACCAGACTACTTGAACATATTTGTCAGTGTAACAATATTTGATCTATTATACTAACCCCTCAAATAGTTCATTTCTGAAAATTACAGCAAAAGCCAATGATGTACATTCCTTTTAAGTACATGCTTGCAAGAATGGTTTTCACTTTAATTTTATTTGAAAACTATAATTATTTTTGACTTGTGTAGTATAAAACAAAACAAATGGCAGTTGATACACAATGAGTGCATCACCGACTGGACACGTCTCTGAGCTTTTGTTTCTGGGAAAAATAAAAAATAAAAATTTGCTGTTTTGTAACAAGACTAGCAGGGACCCTTAGTCTTAATATCTCTTATGTAAAATTTCACTGCGTAAAAAATTGCCATTCGGTTTCAGAAGTTTTAACTTTGAAGCTTCTTGTAGAAATTCCAGGAGCACATTAGTTATGCATTTAATTATTTGTACTTTATAGGAAATTTTACACAGTAAGATTAGTTCTTTTAAAATCCCTCTTTTGTTCCTCGCCTCTTATTTGCAGCCTTGGTCTTGAATGTTATGGATCTCTTCTGCAAAGACGGAGTGTCCTTAATCACATTTGATTGGCTGTATGTCCTACAGGTAAGCAGTTCAAAAATCTAATTTACCAATCTGCTTTCAAGCTTTACAACACCTAAGGCCCCCCCATCAAAAAAGTCTTCGGTTTCTGGTATGGAGCTTGCCCCAAAAGTGGTGCGGTGACACAGTTTTTTTTTCCCTTGCTTTTTTTCTTCAAATGTTGGATGATGTTGCAGATGACGCTTCGATCCCCTTAAAACTCTCAAAAATATCCTTCAGGGTGGAGCTTGAGGTGACCTCAGTAAGGCCATAAGGCTTGAGAATTCTGCACCCACTTGCGATCTCGACCGACACGAACATTCTTCGGGAAATTTGGATATTCAAGACAAAAATCAGAGAAAACGATAACGTCAGACCACACAGCGACATCGACATCGTGCTACCAGGCTTGTCATTAGTCTACTCCCTTGCATATTGCACTAATTAAAAAGCATTTAAAGGTTCCAGATACACGACCATCGCTCCCTCAGTCTGGCTTCCAGACACACAATTACAAAATTCCAATACCGTCAAAAATACCACTCCCCCCCCCCCCCCGGCCCCCCCCCCCCCCCCCCCCCCCCCCCCCCACACACACACTTCCCTCACCAGCCTGCTGGGTCTGCCACTGCATATCTAATAAGACGGAGTATACTATTATACAAAAAATGAATGTTGGTGAGTGCAATGGTAAGGATAATTTCATGTCACCAAATGAAATTATCCTTTCCATTGCACGAACGTGAAACATTCATTATTTGCTTTATATAACACCTGAATAAATCTTTGTCATCTGATTGGTTGACTTTTTAATAGCCAATTTATTCAGGTTAAAAACTGTTTAAAAGTTAAATTAATGCAAACTGTTCCAACAGGTTGCGAACAATCATACTCAATTTCATTCATCTTGATTAAAACAGCCCCACCACCAGCAGCAGTGACACCGTGCAATGGAAGTTCTATTCACAATAGAACTTCCATTGCTCTGTGCGCCACGCGCGCCGTGCGTTGTTACAAGTATTTCAACGACATGTGATCAGTGATCCACCAATCACATGACAGGGATTTATCAGAGATGAAACTTTTCCGATTTTAATCGGAAATCCGACTTTTTGGATTTTCCAACGAAATTTCTGATTTTTTTTACAGTGTGTCCCACAAAATTTGATTTTGTAACGATTTTTTCACAAAATGTCATTTTATTTCAATCATAATTTCGAAGAAATGTCGATGAAAAGTCGATGGAAATGGCATGTTAAAATCATCGCGAACGTAGTTTTAATCTCTTCCACCAGTCGTTATTGGAGTGTTTCAACGGTAGAAACACAGGGCATAACACTGATCGGAGCCTTCTCCGGCTGGACAAAAGGTTAAACATTGACAGGTGACATGGAAAAATCACTGTGTTGCACGTGCGTGCGAATATGCAATGGTACAGCGTACGTACCGCACCGTACCGTCCGCTAGAACATGGCCGGTTGGGAACGGGTAGCCTTGTGAACGATCCAGTGGATAAAATCATTATGTTGTGCGATTTTTGGAGGTTTCAAATGTACAATTTGTACAAATGCAGTGCTTTAAAAATCGTGATGATTATCTCGAGGATAGCGAAGGGAGCATTAGCGAAACATTTCACTGGCATTTGTTGAAGGAGAAAGACGATAATACCTGATTTGTCCCCACGTACGTATGAATGCAAGTGGAGTAGTGGAGTGGTGTGGTTGAATCATTTGAAGCACCATGAACGGTGCCCTTGTCTTTCGGACTTTTCCCTCGACTTTCTCAAGTAAGAAGTGAACTTCTTTATTGATGACTCCATTACTCTAACCGTAATTCAGGCATTTTATGCAATGAAAACACTGACTATTTTTTTTCATTGTAAAGTTTTGTTTGAATCGAAAATAAAGCAGGAGTTGGTGTCCGGAAATTGGGCATGAAGTGTATTGTACATGCATGTACATGTGTGTAACTGCAGCGCGGCCCAGATTTCGGACAAGTATTTTTGTTCGGCCTATTTTCCGATTTTTTTTGGCCACATAACAGTTTCATCTCTGATTTATTCAGGTGTTGTATAATTGTAAATACCATGCTGTGAAGATTCGGTAATATCCTTCAATTCTTTTATAAGTGTCCTGGTTTTCCTTTGTTTCCAGGGAGTCACAGCCCCGAGTCAGGGCTTCTTAAACTGCATCGTCTACGGCTGGACTCGAACCACCTTCCGCATGGCCAAATCCCCACAGGACATGAGGCCCATCCTCAAGCAGAGCTATCGTGTCTACGGCACGGCAAGGTTCCCCAGGATACCGACCTCCAGGCAACAAGCCCCATCAATAGCCTCAGATTTCTCGGACGATACCTCGACTGGAGGGGCTCCCATGTCAAATATGGAGGTCCCGTCACCATGAAATGTCAAAAGTTGGAACGTCCGTACATTAAGTAGAAGTATGAAACAAGAGCCAATACAGCCCATCAGGCCGGCATTTATCTCGTTTCCTTGGAATGAAACGACTGAGAATATTTCTATTCCGCCTGGATGCAGTGCCAGTCAATTGTAATGCTGGTACCCATTTAAACTCCAGGGTGGAGAGAGGATATTGGGGTGAAGTGGCTTGCCCAAGGACACAACATACGACCAGCAGCTGGATTCGAACCCCTGATCCTCTGAACGTGAGTCACGAACCCTAACCACTAGGCCACACTCCCCATTTGGGTTTGGCTCTCTCAAAATGAATTTTGAAATTGCTATTTTAGTTTTAACCGTTACAAGTTGTCAACATTTATTTTAGCTTTTGCTATACATGTGGGATACTCATATTGCAGTTTGAAAGCAGGGCAGGACCTTCTCTGCGTGAATCGTGCATTTTTGGTTTGTATTGGTGTCCCGTTTGTATTTTTCAAGTAGATTTGTACAACACAAATTTTAAATTTAGAGTTTGCAACACTTTTGTAACTTTGTCTTGTTGTGGTGCCACCAGAACTTATAGATCAAGATCTAACAAAAATTAAGGCTTATGACTAGCGCCCTTTGAACAAAGACATTGACTAAAATGGGGATCTGCCATCATAGAGCTGGATAGCTCAGTTGGTAGAGCACTGGAACGGTGATCCAAAGGTCGCAGGTTCAAACCCCGCTCTAGTCAATTTCTTTATTCAACCTTTTTGAACCTCTTTGAACATTTCTGAGGGTTAGGAATTTTAGGAAACTTATTGGAAATTTAAAGAAATTATTTTTTTGAGTGTTTCTTTGGCGGAATTATCACCAAAGTGAAAAAAAAGCGGTTTACCAGTTCTGCAGATATGCATGCGGCAAATTATGTTTGATTTTATAGAGCCAGCCACAACTATGTGTTTGATATCCCAATGAGGAAGGTCTAATGTGATATTAAGGGAATAAATGTGTGTTCGGTCGGTATTAAACACTCTGTTTAAGACCAGTGGGAGTCTGGATGGGTGATAATTACCCAAGGCAAAGCCGAGGGTAATTACCACCAGTGGCGTCACCAGACTTTTCAGTCTGGGGGGGGGCACAGGGGGGGCACCAGCATTTGATTGGGGGGGGGGGGCACTTAGGTGGATACGGATCGCCGTCCTGGGGGAGGGGTCTAAGGGGAGGGGGTACCCCCCTCCCCCTAGGAAAATTTTCGCATACGGAGGATGGGCTAGATGCAAAATGGTGCCACATTTGATGCTAAATTCGATCTGAAGATATCTCCAGAAATTGCTATTTTTGAGGTAATGATTTTAACAACGCGCAGAATTTTGCAGAGGATAGGGGGGCACCAGCATTTGATGGGGGGGCACTCGGGGGGCACTAGGTTTTCCAGGGGGGGCACGTGCCCCCCCCCGGCCCCCCCTTGGCGACGCCACTGATTACCACCCATCCAGACTCTGACCGGTTTTAAACAGAGTGTTTAATACCGACCGAACACATATGTATTCCCATTCATAAATACCTTTTCGGTCAAAAAACCAAATCTTTTCAGTCCAAAAATCAAAACAAGTCAAAAACTAGACGTTGCCAACCATTTTGTTCAACAATTTTACTCCATGTTTTACGAAACACCCCTCTGACTAAAATATGGAATGCCCCTCCACAACTCGTTACCTTATAAGGACATTGGCATGCGCGTCGCGCGTACTGCGCGATGTTGCGCAAAACGCAGCTGGGCTGGTGTAGTGTAAATTTAGGATCATGAAATACTGATTCACTGGTAGTATTGCGCATGCATACGTCAGGATTGTGAATGTTCAACCAATGAAACGTTAAAAGGCACCGGATTTCATGGGAGTCCAAATTTCATGTGACACTGGAAAAGTGTTTAAGACCAGCTAACCATGTCATATCATCCATTTAAGACCGGCCACGTGACGGGCTCTCGACCAATAGGAATGCATAAACTGTCTTAGGTATTTATGAATAATCTGTAAAATAGGAAGAAATGTGATTTCAAATGAGTGTTAACAGATTTCTTCAATGCAATACTTTAAAGTTGACGGCAGAGCAGTCAAGGAGAATATATTTTGTAAAGTATGTATTGTAAATAGTTGATGTAACAAATGAAATATACTATGTATATAATATATATATATGTATAACATCACATTAATTTCACTACTCCCGTTAAAAAAACTGAATTAACACACACAAAACTCTTACTTGAGATGCTGCTTCAGTCGATATTTCACAAACAGTCACGGCAGTAAAGCTCAAGAGAATCATTATGAATCTATTTTCCATTATAAAATGGCTTAATAAATCCCTGTCATCTGATTGGTTGGGCTATCACCTGCCATTAAAATATTCGTCCCAACGCACGGAGTGGCCGCGTGGCAACAATAGACGTTCCATTCCACGGTAGAAGGAAGTTCCATTGCCATTCAAACTTTTGGCAGCTCTGATCAATCAGATGACTAAATAAATTTGGTAAATTGGAGGCAGTACATGTATTTGGGGGGAAAAAAAAGTTTTCTTCCAATGATGGTCAGCCAACCATCATTGGAAATTGAAACAAAAATTTTTTTTTTTCTTGAAAATGACAGCACACCAGGTGCCATGATTTTACGGGATGCTTGAGACTATTTGTTTATGTTTGCAAATATTGTACATTATACCTTTAAACCATCAAGTTATGAATACAAGACCTATGCACTTGCCTTTCTACTTTACTTTCATAAATTTTGTTTTTTTTAGTATGATCTGATTTTCTTGTATAAATAAAAATACCCAAGTCATGTTAAGTTAATGTATGTTAGCATGCATTGTATTTATGTGCAAATGTTAAATGTTTTTCATATGGGCTTATATGTATTTATATTAAAAACAAATTTTAAATGTGAAACATTTTTATGCAAATGGATATAAATTTCTATTGTTTATGGAGTGTTTAAAATCGAAATTCACAAATGTTTTTTTTTATTTGAAAGTTTGTTTTGAGTGTTTGTGTTTGAAGTAAGTGCCAAAGTCATTTATGGTATATTTATGCAACATATCCAGAAATAAATTATAAATTTTAAAGTCATATTCACATTGTGTAAATTTTCTGTTTCTGTATTTTGTTATTATTATTTCTTTGTAAATTATTTTTTACTTTCTGTAGAGTGACTGCTCTTGTAGGAATTTTTGGAAATAATTCCTGAAATGAAATTGCAATAAGAGATGCAGAAAATATATTGAGATCAATAATAATATATTGATATGTTGTTATTGTTATATTGTATAGTCTTACTCATCTCATTCTTTGTTGGTTTGTTTGTTTGTCTTGAATCTACATGCATTGACTTCGCGTATTTTTTTAAAAAGCCTATGGCGTTTACGATTTTTAGGTTTATTGACTTTTCTCATAACAATGTAAAAATTCCTCTTCAGGTTGAAGAAGCGACAATAAATATTCAAAAATGCAAAGAAATTTAACATTTGGGCCAAAATCATCAATTTTTCGAGAAAAAAGTTAACATTTTAAAATTCAGAAAATGTTATTTTCAAAAGCCCATCTTTCCAGAAATCAAAATGGAATGTGTTCTTGGGTCCCTCAAGCATCTTTCCAGCAAGTTTGAAGCAGTTTAATTTTTTGGCCAAAATTGAAGAAATTGTAAGGGGTTAGCCTTACATTTTTGGTGAAATTTGGTGAAAAATTGACTTTTCTCCAAACAATGCAGAAATTCCTTTGGAGGTTAGAGGAGCATTAATCAACATTCAAACATGCAAAAATTTCAACATTTGGGCCCAAATTAGCAATATATTTAGACAAAAAAACCCAACAATTTGGACTGATTTGATCCCAATTTTTTCTTGGAATTTCATTTTCAAAAGCCCATCTTTCCAGAAATCGAATTGGAATGTGTTCTAGGGTCCCTCAAGCATCTTTCCAGCAAGTTTGAAGCAATTTCATTTTTTGGCCAAAATTGGAGAAATTGTAAGGGGTTAGCCTTACATTTTTGGTGAAATTTGGTGAAAAATGGACTTTTCTTTAAACAATGCAGAAATGTCCTTGGAGGTTAAGGAGCATTAATCAACATTCAAACATGCAAATATTTCAACATTTAGGCCCAAATTAGCAATATATTTAGACAAAAAAACCCCAACAATTTGGACTGATTTGATCCCAATTTTTTCTTGGAATTACATTTTCAAAAGCCCATCTTTCCAGAAATCGAATTGGAATGTGTTCTAGGGTCCCTCAAGCATCTTTCCAGCAAGTTTGAAGCAATTTCATTTTTCGGCCAAAATTGGAGAAATTGTAAGGGGTTAGCCTTACATTTTTGGTGAAATTTGGTGAAAAATTGACTTTTCTTCAAACAATGCAAAAATTCCCTTGGAGGTTAGAGGAGCATTAATCAACATTCAAACATGCAAAAATTTCAACATTTGGGCCCAAATTAGCAATATATTGAGACAAAAAAACCCCAACAATTTGGACTGATTTGATCCCAATTTTTTCTTGGAATTTCATTTTCAAAAGCCCATCTTTCCAGAAATCGAATTGGAATGTGTTCTAGGGTCCCTCAAGCATCTTTCCAGCAAGTTTGAAGCAATTTCATTTTTTGGCCAAAATTGAAGAAATTGTAAGGGGTTAGCCTTACATTTTTGGTGAAATTTGGTGAAAAATGGACTTTTCTTTAAACAATGCAGAAATTTTCTTGGAGGTTAGAGGAGCATTAATCAACATTCAAACATGCAAATATTTCAACATTTGGGCCCAAATGAGCAATATATTTAGACCAAAAAAACCCAACAATTTGGACTGATTTGATCCCAATTTTTTCTTGGAATTACATTTTCAAAAGCCCATCTTTCCAGAAATCGAATTGGAATGTGTTCTAGGGTCCCTCAAGCATCTTTCCAGCAAGTTTGAAGCAATTTCATTTTTCGGCCAAAATTGGAGAAATTGTAAGGGGTTAGCCTTACATTTTTGGTGAAATTTGGTGAAAAATGGACTTTTCTTCAAACAATGCAAAAATTCCCTTGGAGGTTAGAGGAGCATTAATCAACATTCAAACATGCAAAAATTTCAACATTTGGGCCCAAATTAGCAATATATTGAGACAAAAAAACCCCAACAATTTGGACTGATTTGATCCCAATTTTTTCTTGGAATTTCATTTTCAAAAGCCCATCTTTCCAGAAATCGAATTGGAATGTGTTCTAGGGTCCCTCAAGCATCTTTCCAGCAAGTTTGAAGCAATTTCATTTTTTGGCCAAAATTGAAGAAATTGTAAGGCGTTAGCCTTACATTTTTGGTGAAATTTGGTGAAAAATGGACTTTTCTTTAAACAATGCAGAAATTTTCTTGGAGGTTAGAGGAGCATTAATCAACATTCAAACATGCAAATATTTCAACATTTGGGCCCAAATTAGCAATATATTTAGACCAAAAAAACCCCAACAATTTGGACTGATTTGATCCCAATTTTTTCTTGGAATTACATTTTCAAAAGCCCATCTTTCCAGAAATCGAATTGGAATGTGTTCTAGGGTCCCTCAAGCATCTTTCCAGCAAGTTTGAAGCAATTTCATTTTTCGGCCAAAATTGAAGAAATTGTAAGGGGTTAGCCTTACATTTTTGGTGAAATTTGGTGAAAAATGGACTTTTCTTCAAACAATGCAAAAAATTCCCTTGGAGGTTAGAGGAGCATTAATCAACATTCAAACATGCAAAAATTTCAACATTTGGGCCCAAATTAGCAATATATTGAGACAAAAAAACCCCAACAATTTGGACTGATTTGATCCCAATTTTTTCTTGGAATTTCATTTTCAAAAGCCCATCTTTCCAGAAATCGAATTGGAATGTGTTCTAGGGTCCCTCAAGCATCTTTCCAGCAAGTTTGAAGCAATTTCATTTTTTGGCCAAAATTGAAGAAATTGTAAGGGGTTAGCCTTACATTTTTGGTGAAATTTGGTGAAAAATGGACTTTTCTTCAAACAATGCAAAAAATTCCCTTGGAGGTTAGAGGAGCATTAATCAACATTCAAACATGCAAAAATTTCAACATT